TAATTACGTTAAATGTGTGTCACCGTGCTGAAAGTTTCAATCTGGTATCTAGCTAATAAATTATAAACTATAATCCTGTATCATTGTGTGATATGGTCGTCTTTATTGAAAATTTAAACCACTTTTCATTTCTATCTGTGATATCATTTTATATAGTATTTTAACATGTGCCTATATTACTATTAGCTATACCCCTACGCTATGTACCCAACTTTAATATTAAACATACCTTATGCAAGAGCAAAGTCTTAATTTAGGCTTTAGATGTTACAGAAATTATAAATTAGATCTTTATTTAAACAACAAGCCCAAAATCAACTCTGTAGACCCACGGATGGCTCGGCTACAGCTCGGATTTAAATAGGATTTCACTTATTGATAAATTCAAATATGGCGCACCTTGATGAGAATACGTCAGTTAGATCGAGGCTAAATGATAGAGTGTACTTAGCGAGGCCGCAGTAGAGCGTTTCCGCATGCCATTGATAACTTTACTTGATAATCGAGATATGTAGGTCAAACGTTCGGCCAAGGTGAAGGCACATTTCACTACCATTTCTAGTCAAATATTCAACGATGATAACTATGTTCAGAATAAAGTAATTTGACTGAAATTTTCAATATATTCTTCTTTCATCATCTACTTTTGAACTGTTATAGCAAGAATGGCCAACTCTCTATAAAAATCTCCCATAATGTATCTTTAACGTATTCTCATGTTACTGTATATAAAGCTATATCTATCATGGTGTCTATTGTTACTTGTAAGTCAAATAATTCAATATCTAAGCCATCCGATGGTCTAGAGATTCGTTTAAAGGTTTGTCGTGTGAATTAATGTCTCAAGTGCTAAATGACATCATCATAAATATAACATTTGACCTACAGTAGGCAGATTTAGCGTTTACATAATGCATATTGAAAACTAAAAGAGAGAGAGAGACAAATGGGGTTTAACGTCCACTCGACACAAACTAGGTCATTTCGGGACTAACACATGGTTTAACTTTATTTCAATAATTCGCTTGCGCGTAGGGGTCTTTAGCAGTGGGAGGAAACCGGAGGACCCGGAGGAAACCCACGAGGTTGGACAGGCGACCCTACTCCTTGTCACGTACAACCGGGGATTCGAAACCACTAAAACTAAAAGAGGATGTGTATGATAATTACATATTGGTTGTTTCTATAAGGAGCGCCAACCAAACCAACGCCAAAGGAGCGCCAACCAAACCAAATCATATCAAAGGAGCGCCAACCAAACCAACGCCAAAGGAGCGCCAACCAAACCAACGCCTATCAAAGGAGCGCCAACCAAACCAACGCCTACCAAAGGAGCGCCAACCAAACCAACGTCTACCAAAGCAGCGCCAGCCTCCCTCAGAGAATTCGGGTGGCATCAAGACCTTCTTCCAGGTCCTCCATCATTTGGCCATTATGGAGAGCATGGAGAATGGAATACTACCGAGCTATGCTATCGGATAAACTGGAGTATTTGAAGTCATGTCACTTTACCAAAGACGCCGTACAAGAGTAATCCAGCCACGCCCTAGCATGGGCCAAAAAAGTCCTACGGGAAGCGACTTCAGGATAGTGTGAAGACAGAGTTCCATCGCCTCTTTTCTACTCTCCCAAAAGCTGTCACCCTTCCTCCCTCACCCACGCAGAACACACGCAACTTTCCCCAGGAAACACCAAAAACGAAACACACCTAACAAGATAACATTATCACCGGGGGAAGGCACATACAATATCTCCACTGAACGCTCTCGTCGACTGTCTGTCCCCTAGATCACCCATCATTCCTATCCCTGACACCACTACAAAGCCTTCTACAAGCTGCAAACGATCACTCAGACTTTCCAAAGGTAAAGATGAGAAGGGTTCATGGCACCTACCACCTGTGATGGCCAAGACCTTGGTTATTGGATCCTCTAACCTGGCAAGGATAGTATCCTTTGTCGGGGACTGGGAGATCCATAGCTATTCTGGACCAAAGATCTGCCACATCAAACAGATCCTACAGAAATACCTGGGACCTGCACCCGAGGAAATGTTTATACACGTCGGACTCAACAATAGGGCGGAAGCTGGACCAAGGATACACGAGCAGATGCTAGATCTGCTCACGGTGGCTAGAGCAGTTTTCCCAACAACCAAGCTCTTCACCACACAGATCCCCACTTTTCGCGATTCCAACTAGACAACCAGATCGCCTACCAAAACATCAACAGCTAAAACCAATTGATATTCACTGTGCCTTCACCAAACGCCACCACACTACCAAACTTCAAGGGCAAAGTAGAATTGAAACGAAACGACGCCATCCACTGCAGCATGACACGACCAGGGAGATCATCAACTACTGGATGGGGAATTTAAACTAGAATCTGCGAAAGGGAATGAGAAGCCGTCTTTAGCACAGACAATTGTCAACAAACTTCTCAGACCCCTAGAACTTAGCATACTTGACAAAGGCCTCAAGTTTATTCCAACCCCCACGGCAACCGATCGATTTCACAGAACACTTTCGTTGACTTATTTTTTAAGGAACAAAACCGACAGAGGTAAAAAATTATTCACAGAAAAATCCACATGGAAACCACCTAAAAAGTCAATATCACCAACCATACTAAAAGTTTTCGACGAAATAAACACATTGACTTATTTTTTTTAGGAACAAACCCGGCAGAGGTAAAAAAAAATCATTCACAGAAAAATCTACATGGAAACCACCGAACAATTCATTATCACTAGCCCTTATAAACACTTTCGATCAAATGAACACAAAAATATTATCCTCTCAACCGGGCTTCAAAAACAGCATTAGCATAATTGCAATAAATAGACGAACCCATAACGTATTCAACGTACACCAGCGTGTTTGCTAAATTTCTCATACGTCGGCATACGCTGACGCTATACGTCAATGTGTGACAGCCGCATAAGAGAAAGGGGATACTCCAAACGCTATCTCCGAAATATAAAAAACAAATACTCTAGCTGAACTTGCAGCCAAAGTAACAAACAATATGCAATATGCAGTCAGCAGTTAAAACCAAAACCTGTGGTCATCCCAGATGTCAAACATGCAAAATCATAAGCATATCCGACCAGTTCCATAACAAAACATCTGACACGCAATTGGGTCTATAAGAATTTAGTTTAGGACGCACGAGTGATTCTGATAACGTTAACAAATAAAATAGACTGGTACGTCCCTTTTTATAAATACCATGTAGATACACCATAGACACATTTTAAATGTTTTTGGTTTGTGAATTTATTTCTTCTCTGAATTCAAACAAAATAGCATCTTGAAATAAAGTGATCAATATTCATTTCAAGACCAAATTGTATTCTACTCATGGCTTTAATAACCCATCAAACACAACCGTAAGTTATTGTTATTTTCCTTACTTTTAACACGTATAACACATAAAACATATAACACTTTACTAATAAGTTTTTGACTTTTTCGTCGACATTAAGTATGGTTTACGAATACACTTCGCATGGCATATATCCGAGAATTCAAAATCAAGATTGACAGCTAACAGTACATTCAAATCCAACAATAAAATTACCCATTTTTTTACCATGGCATGTTTAAATATAAGTTTTATATCCCTTAGCGCGTGTTCTGTGGTGCGAGCCATTCCGGCCTGTGGGTCGAGGCGGCTAGGAGCGCCAGTTGGTGTCTTCCTAGGAACTCCGGGTGATGTCTCTCCCAAACATAAACCGCGCAAGTTGTTTATAAAGAGGATGCGTACGTCTCTCGGGAAATCGGCCAGGTGCTTCCTTTTTCTGATTGGGCAGTTTCAGAGCAGCTACCCTAGATTTGAACACAGTGGTCTAATATGGGCACCAAGAAGGAGGAGCGGATGATGGGTGTCCACTTGTCTAAAGCGTGGGATTCCATATTTGGATAAGTTTTTCATTAACCTTATGTTTATAAAGATGAGCTATTATGTACCCCAGAGACCTCCGATCTGATGTCTTATCGTAAAATACACTTAACACCTCAAGATAAATGGTGCCAGGGACATCATTAACCTAAGAGGTTTTCCTTTAATTAACACCCTGTTTTTCTTTAACCACTTCAATATATTAAACAGAACTGTAATTACTGAAATTTAAAGAACTGAAATAACCTCTACAGTGTATATTATATAGTATTACAATTTATACGTCTATAAATTGACGTGATGAATTGAACGAACGTGTTATATCTTATAATCAATAGCCAGTAAAAGCAATATTGATCTATAACTCCTTTTCGCATGATTGATTTACTTTTAATTGAATATGAGCCTTCTGAAAGGCTATAACGGAAATCTTAATAGGAAAGGATCGTATACAGTTTCTGCCGTGTGTACCTAACGACTTCTAGAAACTTTTAAAGTTTATTATACAGAGAATTAAAACCACATAATTATTACCAGCACAAGTATAATGGTGAATTGGACTAAAATTGTATTAATGCAAGCTGTAGAAACGCGTCCAATATGAAATAAAATTATTGAATAAATTGTGTATTACATGTAAGAACTTTATAAACATGTTTATATATGAATGCTATTTGTCTTCTTTAAATTATGGTTGTACGTGACAAGGAGTAGGGTCGCCTGTCCAACCTCGTGGGTTTTCTCCGGGTCCTCCGGTTTCCTCCCACTGCTAAAGACCCCTACGCGCAAGCGAATTGTTGAAATAAAATTGCCCCATGTGTTAGTCCCGAAATGACCTAGTTTGTGTAAAGTGGACGTCAAACCCCATCTCTCTCTCTGTATGTCTGTCTGTCTCTCTCTTTAAATTATACCCTACTTAGTACACTTAGTATATGTGTTATCTCGTATAATAGATATCTCGTATGGCTTTCTATATGTACATGATAATAAAGAATAGATTTGAATAAGCCATTCTATATAGTGAATAATTGTGAATGGCGTTGTTGTGAACGTGGCCCGTTATTGAAAAGGCAATATACGAAAATAGAAACTAGTCGACTAGGTAACAACTACCTATCAACAAAGTCGCCATATTGATAAGTGAATATGATTTGATTGCTCGGTTTAAAACACAGGTCAACAGATTCTATGAGAATAAAAGGGTATTTTTTAAAAACTGAATGAATCCAGGTGAGTAGAATACGATCTTGCGTTATATTGGCAATATCTTAATCTATAAACTTTTGAAAACGTACGTATTATGTATAAATTCGGATGTGCAATCTATAGCAATATTGTTACGTCCGAATATGTTAGCCTCTCTGAATCAAGATTTTATTTTCATGGTTATTTTAAAAAGTAGAAAAATACATGTATTTAATTTTAGAGTTAAATCTCCATGGCATGTCAGAATATTATCAAAGATGTCATTTTTATACGCCCACATAGTGTCGTCGCCCCAGTCCGTCCGTCCGTCCTTCAGCAATTTGTTTGTGGACAATTCTTGTCTGATTTTGACGAAACTTCAAATATATGATTATCCCCAAACGATCTCGGCTGCTATCGATATTGGCATGTATCGGATCGAAACTTCATGGATTATGGCCCCTGTTTGTACGACAAATCACGTTTTTAGCTTGTGGACCCTATAGAGGTCATAATTTTTATCCGATATAAAAAAACCGTATTATTATATCGCCGTTACACCCTAAGGAAGGTTGAGGTCGAATTTCGTGAAAATTGGACCAAAATTGCCGGACAAAATGGCCGCCGTTTTTACGCGAATAGTATAAAAATATGGTAAATCAAGGTTGTGGACCCTGTATAGGTCACAATTTTAATTCGATTTTGATGAAACTTGAAATGCATGTTTATAACCTAAAGATCATGGTTCCTTTCGATATTTGCGCATATCAGATAGTAACTTCCTGATTGTACGCAAAATCGCCTTTTTTTAGCTTGTGGTCCCTTTGGAGGTCACAATTATTATCCGATTTAAAAAAAAAACCGTTTGATTATATCATCGTTACACCGTAATGAAGGTTGAGTTTGAATTTCGTGAAAATCGGACCAAAATTGCCGGACAAAATGGCCGCCGTTTGTACGCGAATAGTGTTAAAATATGGTATATCCAGGATTTTGACCCTGTAGAGGTCGTAATTTTAATTCGATTTTGATGAAATTGCAAATGCATGTTTATAACCTAAAGATCTTGGTTCCTTTCGATATTGTCGCATATCGGATCGTAACTTCCTGAATTATGGCCCCTGATTATACGAAAAATTGCCTTTTTTAGCTTGTGGTCACTCTGAAGGTCACAGTTATTATCTGATTTTGAAAAATCGTTTGAATATCATAACACCATAATAAAGGTTGAGTTCAAATTTCCTGAAAATCAAACCAAAACTGTCAGACAAAATGGCCGCCGCTTGTACGCGAAAGGTGTAAAAAATGTGGTATATCAAGGTTGTGGACCCTGTAGAGGTCACAATTTTAATCCGATTTTGATGAAACTTGAAATGCATGTTTATAACCCAAAGACCTTGGTTCCTTTCGATATTTGCGCATATCGAATTGTAACTTCATGAATTATTGGCCTTGATTGTAGGAAAAATCACTTTGTTTTTAGCTTGTTCTCTATCCATCTCCCGAAAATGTGGGCGTATCCTGCCTGGCAGCCGCTGGTAAAACATACAAGTAGTGTCAATTAAATTGAAAATATCATTACATGCATAATAATACCACCAATGACATTAGTGTGCCCGATGTTGCAAATACAGTGTTATGTGAACTTGTTTTGAAATATGATTTTCCTGTTTCAGATAAAATATAAAAACAATATGGCCCACTACACTCCACGATATAACACCTGCTACTATGTAAGTTGGCCTTCAAACATTACAGTTTTAATATGGTTTAGATTTGTTTAGTATCTAGTTGTCCCCCGCCTTTCGAAGAAAGCAGGGGACTGTTAAAATGGGTTCGTCCGTCTGTCTGTCCGTCTGTCTGTCCGTCACACTTTTTGGGACACAATAACTCTCTTCCTAATTGAGCTAGAATGTTCAAACTTGGTGTATGTGTTTATTAGGTCAATGCCTTGATGGAGTTCGAAGATGAGCATTTTCCGCTTAGGGTAAGCAGAGATAAGCAATTTGATTGGTTGATGCTTTGGGACACGATAACTCTCTTCCTAATTGGGCTAGAATATTAAAACTTGGTGTATGTGTTGATTAGGTCAATGCCTTGATGGAGTTCGAAGATTAGCATTTTCCGCTTAGGGTAAGCAGAGATAAGCAATTTGATTGGTTGATGCTTTGGGACACGATAACTTTTAATTGAGCTAGAATGTTCAAACTTGGTGTATGTATTTATTAGGTCAATGCCTTGATGGAGTTCGAAGATGAGCATTTTCCGCTTAGGGTAAGCAGAGATAAGCAATTTGATTGGTTGATACTTTGGGGCACGATAACTCTCTTCCTAATTGAGCTAGAATGTTCAAACTTATTGTATGTGTTGATTAGGTCAATGCCTTGATGGAGTTCGAAGATGAGCATTTTCCGCTTAGGGTAAGCAGAGATAAGCAATTTGATTGGTTGATGCTTTGGGACACGATAACTTTAGTTCTAATTAAGTGAGATTGATGAAACTTGGTGTATAGATTTATTATATGAATACCTTAACTAAGTTCGATAATGAACATTTTTTGCTGAGGGTAAGCAGAGTGATAAGCAATTTGATTGGTAGAAACTTTGGAACACAATAACTCTCCTTCTAATTGAGGTAGAATGTTCAAACTTGGCATAGGTGTCTATTAGGTGAATGTTTAAACTTGATGTATATGTAGATGTTCATTAGGTGAATGTCTTGACTGAGTTCAATAATAAACATTTCGAGCTGAAGCTAAGCAGAGCTAATCGATTTCATTTGTCGATGGTTTGGGACAAGATAATCTTGATTCTATCTGATAGAGAGTGATGAAACTTAGTGAAAAAAATAAATGTGCGATTAATTAATATGTGTCATCTATTTATTTTGCAATTTCGGCGGGGGACATCAGCCTCACTGTTGGCTTGTTTTATTTTAATTTGACGACCCTTTTAAATCTAAATATATGTAAACTAATTAATTTGGTTATTTATTCAAGGGATCTTTTACATGTACACCAATGTGTACACTGGAATTCGTTTTTTCGTAACATCCGAATGACTAGATAGCTGTCCTCATCAGGCCCTCCGCCGTGTACCACTGATCAGGGGAAACCATGCAGAAATATGGATATATCGTACATTGTATATTACATAGCTAATCAAATATTTAAACATTATACAATATTAAAATTCATTATGTAAGAGCTAAATCTGACTAATTACAGGGTTTTATTTTGGCTTCAAATGATGTATAAATTATTCTTTAAACATTTATTCACATATAATCAACTCTCTAGATCATCATATGGCACAGATGTAAACGGATTAAAATACAATCTCCATTTAATGATTTAATTTAATAATGCGATCACTATTTAATGATTGAATATAAAAATGGAAAAGCAGGACTTAGTCTCGTTTAACAATGCTACAGTAATAAACAATATTTGCCAGATCTTGTCAAAAATTCAAACATCACTACAAATAAAGTAATTTGAATGAAATTTTCAATATGTTAATTTAATTTTGAATGATCTATTTCGGAACTATAATAACATGAACAGCCAACTCTTACCTAAATTATGTATAATGGATCTTTAAAATTAAGAGTAATAAATACAACTAAAAAAAACCCCATCAAAATTGAAAACACTAGGACAAAATAAAAATAACAAGTTAATAAAACAAATTACATTCTTAGTTCACAAATTTATCATAATCGCATCAAAAAATCAACAAAACAAAGAATGTTACAACATAATGAAGAAGAGTTTATAAGGCTGCAATAACATTAAAAATAAGTAAACACAATTTTATCACATTGTCAACAAATTACCATTACACAACTGCACGTCCTCAAAAAAGGGGTTAGACATCTGTGCTCCAGCAACAACAGTCCCAAACTGATTGAAAGTAAACAAAAGTAGCGAGATCTTAAATTTCAAAATTAGAAAAAGGTATAGTGCTTCCTATTGTTTTTTAACTACAGAGATCAATCAATCATGTAATAATATTTAATCTTAAACATACATTATGCAAGAGCTAAATCTATCTATTGCAGGTCTTTCTTTAGGCCTGAAATGTCTAAATTATTATTTAGACATTAATTAACCTATCCAGACCATAATCAACTCTAGATGGCATCGCTAGCCTGCGACCTTAAGTGGATTATGAGCCGATTTACTGCATAACTTTCCTTCACGATTTAACGATTAAATGGATAATCGAGACTATGCTATTTATCGTGCTGACTTTATTAATGATGATAGGGGTTAGGCGGACATTTCAATCGCTAGTGGATCAATTTGAATGAAATTTTCAGCAAATTGCCTTTACATTATCTAGTTTTTAACTATTATAGTGAGAACTGCCAAATCGTTATCGAATCTCCCATAATGTATCTTTAAAAAATGCCCAAACATCACAGAATTGATAGTAATACATGAATGTAGCTCAGTTAAAATAAGGGCCAGTTATCCATATTATATACGATCCATGTTTGAACTTGTAAAGGTCAGTCATCTTTACACATGGGTTTACCTCTCGTCCTTGACCTAAGATTTTAATTCCGCAGAGCAAAACAGATCAACACATCAAATTTAATGGAATTAAGAATAACCACATTTAGAAACAGATCCCGGGATACATGGACATCAATTAAGTTTCGGGCATACAATGGTCGAATTTATTTTCTTTTCTCAAAAATCTATTAGAATTGATATCTTTATCTTTCAGGATCACCAAGCACGACGAGATGTGTCACCTATACCTTATGTTGCTAATGATAAATTTGGTAAATATGATAAATATGCCCAACAACAAGAGGTAAATACAAACATACAGAATAATTATAATTTTTTGTTGGACTATAATTTGATGAGTTAACATCTAATTACTTCATTAACAATATTCTGATATCTTTAAGTCTAAGTTTAGCAAATAAACACCGTGAACGTTTTAAAAATCAGTCTGGCCCAAGCGTCTCTTTTTTTCGTTCTTCGGAATCCTTATTTAAGTAAAGCAATATTAGAAATTACGCAAAAAGTACACATTAATTACCAATCTGATTATAATACAGATCTATTTTTCGTTTCGTTTTTTTTTATACTTCCGATGGCCTACACTACATGAAGATCTGACAAGTTATAGCGATAGGTCACGTCAGGGGTCAAAAGACCGACTTATGACCCTTTTGACGTCAGACATTTGATTAACCAATCAGCATTGATGTTACTAGTGGATTACCCACAATTCCATGAAAAACACGCCTAAAGCTCGCCGTAACAGACCGTTTCATTGGCTTATCCCTGATACCATTCAGAACACGAGTTAAATAACAAATCTTCCAGATCCAAGTGTAGTAAAGACAAGTAAAACAAAATTTTGAACTAGAAAAACGAAACAAAATAGGATCTGTGTTTTAACCAGATTGATTAATTACAATACCACACTGCAGTGTATGAAAGCATGGTGTATGATAGAGAGATCAAAGAGAGACAAATTGAGCTCTTATTGTTGCGCATTACTGTAGTTTAAAGGAAACAACATGAAATACGAAAAATAAACGACAAATACACACCATGTACTCTGTTTATTATGTAGACTTTTGACTAATAATTTCATACACTTGCGACAATATCATAACATTTATGATTCATTTGACAATACGACGATATAAGACAGGACTGAGTAGTGAATCAATCTTTTGATTGTCTTTTCAAGTTAGATTTGGGCCCAAATATAGTTTATCTATACTTTACTTCATGATTTATAATCTCTATAATATAGGGACTGTAAATAATTTGTAGTATTGTTTAAAGACTATGCATAAATAATAATTATATATCATTGCCCACTCACAATATAAATTAGATATGCAGTGGTCAGTACTGTCAAAGGTTAATTGTTAGTACATAGTTTGTCATATCCTACGATAGAATCGATTTGTTAACCGAAATAAAAGCCTAACTTTACACCCTACTCGGCAGGGGTTGGATTAACAAGGAATGTGTGTCATGTTGCCCTAGAAAAACGCCACTGTCGTAGCAGGCACCATGATAAAACAATGATTGGTTTAAATGTATCTTCTGTGAAGTATGGTCTAGGCGTTAAATACTGTTCCATTCTGAACGTATTTAGCGTTTTGAATCGCATACGATTATGTACTTTTATTTTATGATCTACTTTTTATATTGATCCTAATTATAGCTATGGTCACCACGTGGATCACCGAGAGGAAGTCCCAGAAACGTTAGAGCAGAAGCTGGTTCTAGACTCGACAGAAATACATCAGTAATATAGTCCTACTTACTCACATATTCGCCCTATTGATTCGCACAATAAATTGATTCCTCGCTATAATTATTACAAGTAAATGTTAATTTATCTCATTTCATCAAATATGATTTTGGGGTCGAATAGGACTGTTTTGAAGGAGTTGTGATGGTTCAAAAGTAAACAGTTAAAAAGTGAGGTACCGTGTGATAGTCCGATGTAGGAATTATTTTCTGGTCGTCTTGGCAACATGTCGACATTATGTTGGAAGTAGGCTATTAATTAATGTTGAGTCAAGCGTAGGCTATATAATGTTTAGCATAACTACATGTACACGGTAGGTAGCACGATCTCCTTATATTTAGGCCGCTGACCTTACTTGTTTCTTTTTGCCCCCCCCCCCCGCGTTTCGAAGAAAGCAGGGGACTATTAAAATGGGTTCGTCCGTCACACTTTTTGGGACACAATAACTCTCCTAATTGATCTAGAATGTTCAAACTTGGTGTAGGTGTTTATTAGGTCAATGCCTTGATGGAATGCGAAGATGAGCATTTTCTGCTTAATGTAAGCAGAGATAAGCAATTTGATTGGTTGATGCTTTGGAACACGATAACTTTAGTTCTATTTAAGTGAGGGTGATGAAACTTGGTGTATAGTTTCATTACATCAATACCTTGACTAAGTTCGATGATGAGAATTTTCTGCTTAGGCTAAGGAGCAATAAGCATTTTGATTGGTGAAGACTTTGGAACATAACAACTCGTCTTCTATTTGAGGTAGAATGTTTAAACTTGATGTAGATGTTCGTCTTGACTGAGTTCAATGATTAACATATCGAACTAAAGCTAAGCAGAGATAAGCAATTTCCTTGGTCGATGCTTTGGGACAAGATAACTTTGATTCTATCTGATAGAGAGTGATGAAACTTAGTGTATAGTTGATAATCAGTTTGATTGCTTGATACTTTGCAAAAAAATAGATGTGCGATTAATTAATATGTGTCATCTATTTATTTGGGGATTTCTCTGATGAATTGTTAATGTAGGCACATTTTTGATTTTCTAAAATAAATTTTATATTTATATTGAAATACAATTAAAATACATTTTAGAAATCTGATCTGGGAAATGTCTGATTTGTAAAACAAATATTGATTTTAAGATACAAATGTTATTTTTAAAATACTGAAATACGACAACAAATGAAGAAATAAGAATTAAGGACTATGAATTAAGAAATAAGGACTTGGAACCCTGAATAAAGAGCTGTTTGGTCTTCCATAGAAGCAGTAATATTTAGCTTTTTGGTTATTACAGCAGCTTTAGAAATTACTTTCGTTTTATACTTTAAATTGCTTTATCATTAACTATACCGTTAGGTGGGGCATCTTTTGGTTTAGTACAAATAATATCTCTGAAAAACTCGGGTTAGACAGGAACATGATACTAGCAGTAGTTTCATTTAACTTTTATAAGGTTCTTAAAACATTTGTTGAGTTGCCTACCGTGCGAATTTCTAAATTTAGTTTCTTGTTCCAGCTTTCTGTCAAGTTTCGTAAAAAAGTAGTCTTGATTATCCCGGCCTGCTAATCAGACTGGGAATGGTCGATAGACTGGTTAAGCGAGACTAATTTCAAAACAAGGACACGTTACCTTATTTTTTGCTCAGTCAAATATAATATAATATAATTTGGATTTTATTTTACAGCCTCCATTATATCGAGAACAACATAATTCTTTATCTCGTCTAGAAAACTATGAGGACAACCAAACACAGGAACCACCCTTGTCATATCGCAGTCGCTATGGTGACCAATATGGCTTCCGATACCCTGAACAACCACTAGATACACACAGATATGAATACAAACCAAAAGTAGAATATTCCTGGGATAGGCCATCTTATAAACCGTTGGTAAATATTATCTTATTTATTGTTAGACAGCCAAACGCTTCAGTTTTACAGAATACATTTAATGGTCGAAACACGTATTGTTTTCGTAAGAGTTTTTATTATTATATTTACGTCCACACACGTATTATTTTCGTACGGGTTTTTAATAAGCTTTCATATTGACATAAGTCACGCTACTCACGCAAAACTTTAGTATAAAATAACCTTGTCAACTTATCATGTTTGAGAAAATGTTGTGTTTCAATCTTATTCTGTTGTGAGTATGTTAGTCTATAAACTAAATTTCTCCCAGGGAGAAAAATAGTCGGTCTCAAAATAAGTGCAGTCACTGCAGTCAGTCTCAAAATTTTGCATCGGCGACTCAATGAATCAATGAGGTAAACAAACAATGCCAGAATAGATCTTAAATACTATGTATTTGCATGAATCCGTGAGCCTAAATTGCATACGTCACACAAAACTATATTATAAAATAACCATGTCTGCTTGTCATGTTTGAAAAAATGTTTGTCACTTGGGGAAATTAAGGATCAAAGTTTTCAAAACAAAAATATCGAGGAAAAGTAGGTCAGATTGCCTTCAATATTTATTTTTTGTACTAGTTAAGAAATTACTGATGCGTACACATAATATGGAGTTTGTCGATGGAACCGGAAGTGCCACCATAATGTAACGTGAAAAATCCGAATGTTTTTTCAATATTTTACTTAAAGAAATCGGATTTACATTTTCTGAGATCATAACTTTCAATTCAGGTCAAATGTTGATCACAAACGATTACGCTGGTCAGTGGGGGCTTATTTTTAAAGTTTTGTCAAAATCGGTTGTTAACCTTAGGTTCTGTTCAATTTTTAAAATGTTAAAACTGAAACTTTTGCCCGGTTCAAATGTTTATTGTTATATTTTGTTCACTTTGGATTTTGTTCGACTTTTCACCTTGTAGATGGTGGCCTGAACTGTCCATAACCCTTGACCTATGTATATATGATGCCCTTGATGTCTACTAACAATTAATATAAAAAGTTCAGTCATGAAGTATAACTTCCAGTTTTATTAAGAGTTCAAAATGACAGTTTTTTCCACTTATTGGTATTGGATGTTACTGTACTCAATAATTCATGGTATAACTTGAATGTTGACGTGACAAGGCGTGACGTGACGTTCCGAAACACGTCAATTTCTAAACTAGTCACAAAGTTTGTTGTAGAAACAGAGGCAGTAGGCTTATAAATTAATAAATTCATATTAAATGCTTTTTTGACAGGATCAAGGGGCTTATTTATTTGTAAGGTTTCCAACACGCGGTGGTAGTAACATCAATGTAGTTGCCCAGTCATGTGTTCTCAACAAAAGATCGGCTGAAGTACAGGGAGGACGATTCCTGGGTATTGCTAGAAAGGTTAGTAAATTATCTTAAGTTTTCCGTACAAAAAACTGATGTGTCGATCCTTATCTTGGTTGCTCAGATTAAAGATGCATTATGTAACAATTAGATATAGAGATGGCCGTTCTTGCTATGATAGTTCAAAAATAGTTCTGGGCGAAATTCTGATTGTTTGAAGTTTTAACACGTATAACACACACTGAGATCCGATCAGTTAGTTATTGTATAACAGATGAAAGCTCCTGCTGTGTCGCCTACCATATATTGAGACGTGTAACTTGCCAGTAGTTAAAGGGACAATAACACTCTTGCTGGCTTGACAGCTCCAGTAAATAAATATTAGCCATATTCTAAGTATTAGATGTTTAGGTGTCCCACCTGTTGTGTAAATTATCCATTACATCCTATTTTACTTGTCCAGAGGGTTCGAAAATATTTTTAAATCCAAGTCACATTTGAAAAGGTTTACGATAGCCTTTTCAAATCATTTTGTTGAATTTTTCCAATTTTTTAAATTAAGTGTGTTAAGATGAAATTTGTATCATCAATTAATAGGAATACTGTAAAATAGTACAATTTGTTGACCAGAATAAAGATTGGGACATATTATTCTGTTACAACAAGAGTGGTATTGAGCCTTTAAGGGGAACAACACACGACAGAAGATGGCTGATTTGCCACTAGACCGGCGTGAACCATATCCACCTTTCACATACTGTCAGTAGATTACTTTGGCCCCTTCTACATTCGATTTGTTGAAAGAAGGGGTCCTGTACGTGAAGTAAGACCAGACCAGGGTTCCAATTTTATTGGTACTCGTAACGAACTCCCCATGGTGTTAACTGAAGTGGATCCAGATAAGATTCGCCAAGAACTATTGAAGGATGAACAATTTAAGATGAATGTTCTACATTCCAGACATATGCAAGGTGTATACGAACCGTTAAAACTGTATTATAAGCTATTTTAGACAACCACAAGAACCAGTTAGATGATGAATCATTTCGAACATTCTTTGTTGAAGCTGAAACCATAGTTAATAGCAGACTACTAACTGCTGTAATCAGTGATCCTGATAATCCTATAACTACGACAAATCATTTATTATGGCTGAAATCTAGAGTTGTACTACCACTACCAAGCGTATTTGGCAACCTTGATCAGTATTCTAAGAAAAGATGGAGGCGTATTCACCATCTAGCTAACCAGTTTTGGACCAGATGGAACAACCTTCACGAACGATCCAAATGGAATAAACCACATAGAAACATTCAAGTCAACCATGTAGTGACTGTTGCCCGTATCGTCCAGACGTATAACAATGGTAATGCATCAGTTCGAACGGTTAAACTCTTCCTCGCCGATGGAACCATTGATAAGTAAGGCAAACGTACTAAATCACCAACGTATATTGGGAGACCAAGATTTTGCTCTTGCTTCCAGATACATAAACATTTGTACGGTAATTTATCCACCAAGGAACCAAGATAGAGACCGTATTGTGTTGAACCTCTTCAAGACTTTGTTGTGTTGAACATTTTCAAAGTGTGAAAACTAAGCTAGAAAATGCCAAACTTTTGTGTTAACTATCCAGTAAAAAAAAACCTGAAAGTATACAATTTCAATATATCAGAAATATACCAAACCGCGAATTCGCCGATTTACATTAATTAATAACAGGGTTATTATCAATTTATCAGTTTGATGGAATTTGGTCAAGTTGCAACGTTAACATCCTTTTTATTGGGAAGTTTATGCGCATTGTCAATTGAGTATACCCGATCTCCAATTGTCAGGGCTAGGCAGTTGTGAGGGGAAAGAACCTCATATATTGCAAATTATGTGTATTACGTATTACTAAGCAATAAATTGGTATCATTAATACTTTATAGACAGACAGGGTAGCAATTCGGTGATGCAAAAAGTGAAACAACCTTGACATAATTATTATCCTGGAATGTCCGCTAATATAACAACTCGGATTCGAACGCAAATGGCACCGAGATTCTTTGTATGCAATGGCTTCATTCTAGAAGTTCAATCTGTCTTCAAAAATTATCTTTTTACTTTTAAAAACAACGAAGGACCTTTACCCAACCCTGGTAATATGGTAATCAACCGAATAATATTCGTTTTAAAATTTTCTGGTTTTCCCACCGAAAGCAGTCATTCAATTGCTTTTCCAAATATTAAGCTGTGTGTGTGGTTTTAAATAGCAAACAACGTCGTTGTCATAATAGTGGAATATAGCGGAGGAACCAGTCTAGAGCAACGATATGGTGCTTCAAATGTTGTTTTATCGGATGAATTGGTTATTGAAAGATTTTTAGTTGCCCTTACAAGCATCTTGTGCACATTCAAGAGATAGCTTCTTTGAAAATACAATGTTTGAATACAGTAATATTAAATTAAACTTAATTCACTACAAAGAAGTATACAACTTCAGTTGCTATCTTACATAATGTTGATGAACTATGTCATCTACCCAATCTTCGGGTAAAGAACAAATTTTAATGACTGTCGAAGTGACTTACATCCGCTATTCCAGGTGGTGTACAAGTAAAAGAACCCTTGACAGCTGGAATCCAAAATAGCACATTAGCCCGGCCGGATTGTGCAGAAAAGTAACACGTTAAATCCAATTTTATTTCAATTATTATTCGTTTCAGATACACGAGCATGGGACCCCATCTACGCACGATGAAGCTTTAGTTGTATATATATTTAATAAACCGGAAGCAGCTCGTCTATTTTTCATCAGTGATAAGAGATTTAAACAACCAGATTTTCCACCACCTGCTGGTCATTGTGAAGCGTGGTCTGTTTGTCGATATTATTCACCTGATCGCCAAGAAGGTAAATATAATCAGATAATCAAACAAATATTCTTGATGAAGCTTAATATTCCATAGAACTGTTATTACGACAAAATGCAACAAACAATGATGATTCAGTGGACCCAAACAGACATAATCAATCCTTACAATCTGGCTTCCAATGAAGCCCACAGTCTGGATGCAATTACAAACACCCACTATATCTCGGTTCCCGTGACCCTTTGAAATGTTTTGATATTTCCGACATTTGAATGGCTGTCTTATCAATGCCAGGAACACGATTTTATTAAATGTTTTATATTAATGAACTAACCATCAAAATAAACGGAACGAGTAATTTAATATTTTGTGTGTACTGGTAGTAGATTGTGCAACACAGAGATGCATAATATTTTGTAGATGCAATCAAATGACGAGTTCTCAGATCAAAACAATTTCCCTCTAGAAATAGACTAAAAAGTCCAGTACTTTTGGTCTGGTTTGTCTTTTTGTGTTTATGACTTTTGAAATTGGTTTCTTGTTATGATCGATGTTACTATATTTCATTATCCTGCACGCAAGGCAGACTATACTTACTATTTCAGTAACAACGGATTCTACTTCATTATTGGGGTATTAAATATTTTAATATATTCCCATATAGGTAGTTTACCTATTATTATGTGTCCGTTATGCCTTTCATTTTGTAGACTTTTCGCATTTGACTATTCCTTACCGATAATATTTGTATTAGTCTAAAAACCTTGGGATTTATTACCGACCATATTTGTATTGATCTAAAAGTTTCAAAATATTACCCCCAGTAACATGTTTTTCTTTTAAATTTATTGTGAAGCTTATTCGACCTTTATGATGTCTGAAGTACGTTTATTAAATGGAGTTAACCACACCCAGTATAAGGACGAATTCTGTTCAAAATTTGCGCAGCTGTTACTGGATTATAACGCTCACCCATTTGTAATCCAGGCCAATACTATAGTATATCTAAGACGCCATTTTACATCTGCTGATACTATAGTCACTTTACATTTATTTACATCGCCTCGTCAGTTAGAAGATGTCATGGCTGATGGTAAGTAAACTATCCAATTTCTCCACGAAACCATCGTCATCATCATTGTCGCTCTTATAAATCCCACGAAAGGCAAACACTGTTAAGAGAGATGTCATTTGAAAGCTGGGCATGGAGAGAGAGAGAGAGAGAGAGAGAGAGAGAAATGGGGTTTAGAGAGAGAGAGAAATGGGGTTTAACGTCCACTCGACACAAACTAGGTCATTTCGGGACTAACATATGGTTTAATTTTATTTCATTAATTCACTAGCGCGTAGGGGTCTTTAGCAGTGGGAGGAAACCGGAGGACCCGGAGAAAACCCACGAGGTTGGACAGGCGAACCTACTCCTTGTCACGTACAACCGCGGATTCGAAACCAGCTGGGCATGGACAATTCGGGAGGTTCTGCGTACAAAACTTTGATATTCCTTCATCTCGTGTCTATATCCTGGTTCAGGTCTCAAAGAATTGGGTTAATGAGTTAAAAAATGTTCCAATTACTGGTATACCGCCGGTCTGTCATGCATCTCATATCAATACTGGTACAAATATGGTTTAGGTGTTGTTCAGATATTTTCAAAACGTTGATTAGTTCCACCAGGCAGATACGGGTACATTACAAGAGCAAATTGATACATGTTAGACTTTGTGAAATGCAGAAGAATTTAGTTGGTATATGTATGGGTTGGCAGAACCGGTTTCTGATTTTGTAGACTACAGGTTGAAGTCCCCGGAAAGGCAGTGTTACTTTTAACTACAAATATATAAATGAACCGTACAGGCCCCGGGACTGCAGCCCCTAAAGTCGATGCCTTAACACAGCCTTTTGTTTGGGTAGCATTTATGTACTTTTTATATGCCCACATTTTCCTGTGGACGTATAAACGATTTATATCCAAAGATCTTGGTTCCTGTCGATATTGGCATGTATCGGACCATAACTTCATGGACTATGGCTCCCGACTGTACGAAAAATCATGGTTTAGGCTCGTGGACGCTCCAGAGGTGACAATTTTGATAAAACTTAAAATGTATGTTTATTACCCATTATGGTCCCTGATTGTACTAAAAATCGCGTATTTAGCTTGTGAATCCTCTTAATGGCCACATTTGTTATCCGATATAAAACAACCGTTCAATTATGTCATCGTTACATCAAAATGAAAGGTGAGTTCGAATTTCCAAAACTGCCAGACAAAATGCCCGCCGCTCGTACGCAAATAGTGCAAATATATGGTACATCAAGGTTGTGGACCCTGTCGACCATCGCGTATACCCGAACGTAACTTTCCGAATTATGGCCCTTGATTTTGTGATCCCTCTAGAGGTCACAATTTTATCCAATTTAAAAGAAAAACGTTTAAATATATCACTGTTATACATCAATGAAGGTTGAGCTCGAATTTCGTAAAAATGTGACGCAACTGCCGGACAAAATGGTCGCTCCTTGTACGCAAATAGTGTAAAAGTATGAAATACCAAGGTTGTTGACACTCTAGAAGTCACAATTTTTATCCGATTTTGATAAATCTCGAAATGTATGATTATAATCCATAGATCTTGGTTCCTTTCGATATTCGCGCATATCGGGCCATAACTTCCAGGATTATGGCCCCTGATTGTACAAAAAATCACTTTTTTAGCTTGTGGACCATTTAGAGGTCACAATGTTTACTCGATTTTCAAATAAATGTTGAAATGTATCACCGTTACACCCTAATGACGATTGAGTTCGAATTTTGTGAAAATCGGACAGAAACTGTCTGACAAAATGTCGCACCTTGTACGCAAATAGTGTAAAGAATGTAATACCAAGTTTGTGGACCCTCTAGAAGTCACAGTTTGATGAAACTTAAAATATATCTTTATATCCCAAATATCCCAGTCTGATATTCGCGCATTTCAAGCCATAACTTCCTGGACTATGGCTCCTGATTGTACGAAAAAACGCTCTTTTTTAGATTATTCTCTGTCCATCTCTCGAAAATGCGGGCGTATCTCGCCTGGCAACCGTTGGTTTTTAAAACGCAATGTCTCGGCTTCGTCGATGTGTGAGCAGGGATTCTTTAATTGGGGCATTTCAAACATTAAAATATTCTTAATTTTTGTGTTGTTCTTTTTCACAGATCGATATCTACAGTTAAAGAGGATACACTCTGAATTAGCATCCGAAATATGTACAGTATTTACCATAGATCCCATTTTATGCCCATAACAATATATTCAATAACTAATAAAATTTCCAAGGTTTAATTTCATGATGGACGCAGCATTCAATCAAAGTCTTTTGTTTGTGATTAATATATCAATTTTATGTATAGTATATTTGGTCAGAAATCAACTATATAATAATTAGGATTATCTCTTATGTCTGTGTGAATTGTTCGTTATTATCAAAAATCTAATTGTGATAAATACATTTATAAATTATTTTGATTTACTTGTTGTTATCTTTTATATTATTACCACGTATTATATTGTAATTATTGTAGGGTTGTTAGTAATCATCGTCTTATCCGTGTGCATGTCTATTCTTAATTACAAAAAAAAAAGATTTTACTTTGTTATAATCTTTTATATTATTACCAAATATTTTTGTTCATATTTGCAAAGTTATTATTCAAGTATTATATTGTAATTACTGTACCGTTGTTAGTAGTCATGGTCTTACCCGTCCGTATACCATATTCTTAATTACAAAAAATACAAAGTAAAATCTGTCGGATTAATCTAATTTGTTGTGTGTTTAAATTTTATCAAATTTTATGAATTTGCATAAAACTGCCAATTGTTATGTGCTTTGGAAAATTGAATGCACATACCCCTGTACACCTTGTTATAGATTTTCTCTGGCTAGGTGGTTAAGACGCTGGGTCACTAGTCTGGAGGTCCGGTGTTCGATCCCTGCATTGGCCGAGAAAGTCCATCTGGATTTTCCGACCTGGTATCTCCTTGTCAGTGGTGCAGAACGGAGGGCCGGACAAGGACAGCTGTCTAATCCTCCGGATGAGACGAAAAACCGAGGTCCCGTGTATACATTGGAATGCACGTAAAAGATCCCCTGGCAGTTGGAATTCGATATAAGAGTAGGCGATTGTGCCGCTGCCCGGGCAAAATTTCCCTCCCTCATAGCACACTGTATGGCGTATGCCCGTCTTCATTAGCCCAGTATAAGAGCAGAACAGTAGAACGTTAAACCCCATTTCATTTCATTTCATTTTTTACAGTGTCTTTATGAATGACTATTATGAAAATTGTTATCTACATATAAGATATTGTACATTTACTGTTATTAGAGCACCTATATAATAGTTTATATAACGATTATATCTATTCGATCTATCATAATTACATGTAACAATAATTACATATAAATTGATAAAATAAACATGCTATTTATTCATATTAAAATATTTTTCGCTGCATATTTTCACCTGATAATTTCACATATTTTACTCAAATTTATTTTGTCATGAAGATTATTTTTTTTAAACAAAAATGAATTTTAACCTTTTTTATTTGGTTTACGACAAAATCATTCCACTAGTTCCCCTACAACTTTTGGCCACAGATCACTAAAGATTACCCCATTGACTCCAATGTTAATTTTCGTATCTTAGACCGGCTCCATATTTTCGTTGGCTAGAACGCTTTCTGCCACAGACGGAGCAACATGTAGCAACCTCTTGCCCAAAAGCACATATGAGGTTCTTCATGAACAACTTGAGATACATAAGCTGGAAGTAGAGACAAGTAAACATGCAATTTCAGGCCCTACATTTCAACCTAACCAACCTCTCAACTCTTGTATCCTTCCGCATCAAAATTATGAATATTTACCAAAACTTGGCAGAAAATGTATTTTCAAACCCTTTTCTTCGATTCTATACCAAAAGGTCAACAAAAATCGCCATGCAAAAGGGGGAAAAAGGAAAAGGGGGAGAAAAACTAAAAATAGCTTTGGCCCTTGTTTCGTGGTTGACGGCGTAGGAATATTTGTTGATCTGTGTCCTATAGGAGTCCTATATAGGGGTGAAACTTCAGGTATTACCAAAAGGCCTTTTTTATTTGCTCCCCATGTGTTCTGGCAACATGCCGGTGAAGGAAAATCAAAATCAAAGAATAACTGCCAAAATGACGGCCCTTTAGTATTCATGCTGCTTTATATACACTGGTGCATCTCAGGTCCATGGGCCTTTTGTGCTAAAATTTAAAAATCTGTCTTATGAAAGGCAGTATTTGAATTCTCTGAAACAATTAGACAAGTTGCAAACAAACTATATAGAAAACACTCAGAATTTGGATTTTTTTCAAAAATATAATTTTTTACTGCCATGTCATGAAAAATGTACAAAATTTAAAAGTAGCATCTTTCACAATACCAATAATTTGCCACCTTTTAAAATATTCAGACTGGCAAGAAATACATTTTTAGAACCTGTGGACAATATGCAAACAGAAAAATTGCGAACCAATTGCATTGATTTTAATATTAGAGATCTATACTGAAACATGTATCCCTACCCCCTCCCCTGAACATGCCGCTGATTGAATCTTATATTTGGTTGCAGAACGAACATTACCACAGGAATCTGTCTAATAGCAATGTTTTACCATCCCTGGCTAACATGTGCAAATATAAACTAAAATATGTGCAATAAATATGAATTGCGGTTACAAATAGGCCTTGATGAATGAAAAAATGCCACATTTGCTCTATGGTCACCCCTCTCTAACAGAAGGGTCACAGAATACACAAGTTTGGGAATGTTTCAATGTTTCCAACAACTCTAACATCAGAAGCATCATACAAATTTGTATTGCAATCCATGTGCTGAAGAAAGATGTCTGGAACTTTACATCAATTTCCTGAAAAATGAAGTCAAAAAGTAGTTATGACAGATTTGACAACATAAAGGGCGCCTGAAAGGAAGAAAAATTAACATTTTATTGTTCTATAAGCAACATAAATGCAACATGGTTCTAATTGGACGAGAGTGATGAAACTACGAGTATAGATTTATTATATTAATACATTGACTAAGTTCGATGATGGGAATTGTCTGCTTTTCTAGTTAAGACGTTGGAACATAACAACTCAGCTTTTAGTTGAGCTAGAATTTTTAAATGTGCATTAGGTGAATGCCTTGACTGAGTTCATTGATTAGCATTTGCCGCTAACACTAAGCAGAGCTAAACAATGTCATTAATCGATGCTTTAAGATAACCTTTATTCTAACTGATGGAGAGTGATAGGACTTAGTGTATAGTTTCACCACCAGGTACCCCAAAACCTTGACTGAGTTCAATTGGGCACTTTGACTGCTTATATAGTCTATAGATAATTAGTTTGATTACTGGATACCTTTTGAAAAAGATAAATGTGCAATTAATTATTATGTGTCATCTATTTATTTTGAGATTGTAGAGGGGGACATTACCAGCCTCACTGTTGGCTTGTTATATCATTATCAATACTGGTATATGGGTCATTCTTCTGATAAACCAATTCATTATTCTGTTTATCAGTCTGAGTTATTTCCCCTGATCTGTTATCCGTGAATGCTCCGGTAAGGATGAGGGTCAATCCCTGCAGCTTCTGGACTGTCATAAATATTGTCACCGTTCTTCTTACGTATTACACTATAATGACAAACATGAAATATATATATCAAATTTATTCGAATCTTCTATACCCATACATTTCGAAACGTATCTATTGCCAACCAAATCCGGCAGCCCGACTTTGAGCACGGTTTCGTTAATATTTGTATATATTCTAGGGCATACCCTGAGAGAGAGAGAGAGAGAGAGAGAGAGAGAGAGAGTTTGGTTAACGTTCACTCGACACAAACTAGGTCATTTAGAGACTAACATTCTATTTCCATAATTAGCTTGCGCGTAGGGGTCTTTACCAGTGGAGGAAAACACACGAGTTTGGACAGAAGACCATATTCCTTGTCACGTGCAAGCGGGGAATCGAAACCACACCGCTTGAATCAATGCCAGCTAGACCATAATTAAGTCCCCCACCCCCGTTCCGTGTAAACAGTGTGGGCATTATAAATGAGGTAAATGTTGAATTGTATCACTTTTAGATCCTGACCTAGAATTGATTTATTAAAGATATAAGATATTTAAACTTACCACACAATTATGATAATGATGACGATTATTACAGATAGTCCTCCAATAGATCCACCAATAATAACACCTACTGTAAAATATAATTTATATACAATAATAACACCTACTGTAAAATATAATTTATATGCAATAATAACACCTACTGTAAAATATAATTTATATCCAATAATAACATCTACTGTAAAATATTATTTATATCCAATAATAACACCTACTGTAAAATATAATTTATATCCAATAATAACACCTACTGTAAAATATAATTTATATGCAATAATAACACCTACTGTAAAATATAATTTATATCCAATAATAACATCTACTGTAAAATATTATTTATATCCAATAATAACACCTACTGTAAAATATAATTTATATCCAATAATAACACCTACTGTAAAATATGATTTATATCCAATAATAACACCTACTGTAAAATATGATTTATATCCAATAATAACACCTACTGTAAAATATGATTTATATCCAATAATAACACCTACTGTAAAATATGATTTATATCCAATTATATTATAAAAATATAAAATATTCTGACTGACTGGCGTAACCCGAGAGGTTGTTATCTAAGGCCAACTCCCCAGAAGTAACTCAAATATTTGTTGTAATACCCCCAGTAAGCAGGAAAGGCGATGAAGCTGATTGTTGTCAGAAAATACAGTGATCTATAGTATTATAGTCTTACGCCGCAGCCATCTTGATTGCATACCTCTATGCGAGACTCCAAATTACAAATTTCAGCTGTTTTTTATGATCTTGATAGTTAAGAACGTTTTGTTCAAATAAAGCACGAAACGATATACAACTCACCGTGGAAAAGAGGTTACCGAAATCTGAAGGCTGTGGATTTTGTAATGACGGTGATATAGATATAAACCTACATTTCCTTTGAACATTATCAGCATTTTCATCTGTAGATGTTAAGTTTGTGTTTTGATCTGTGACCCTTTCATCCGTGGTCGTCTGTGTTGATTCTGGCACCGCTGTATCTGGTGTAATCTCCGTAGTAGTAGTTGATGATGTCATTCCAGTTATATTTGGTTTCAGCGTCAGTTACTGAAGTTATATCAGATTTAAAGGCAACTTTATTTTTATAGTAGATTAAAATTTCCATTGGATTATATTTTATGATTTTACACTACATTGTAATTTAACTAATTTTTATTCACCACCGCTTTATGTCAGAAAGATTTAAAGATGGGTTGCCAGGCAACGAAAAATACGCCCACAGCAGCCAAGTCGTCCGATTGTCGAGAAGGGATGTCGCATTTTTTTTTTTTATTTATTTTTTTTTGTCAGAAATGAAAAAAATTTACAACACTCTAAAACCTGATTACAAGTAACAACCCATTTGGCTTCTAGGTCTGACCTAATCTAACATTAAAGGCTCAATATCGCTCTTGTTGTAACTGAATAATATGTCCCAATCTTTATTCTAGTCAACAAATTGTACTATTTTACAATATTCCAATTAATTGATGATACAAATTTCATCTTAACACACCTAATTTAAAAAATTGAAAAAATTCAACTAAATGATTTGAAAAGCCTAACGTAAAGCTTTTCAAATGTGACTTGGATTTAAAAATATTTTCGAACCATCTGGACAAGTAAAATAGGATGGAATGGATAATTTACACAACAGGTAGGACACTTAAACATCTAATACTTAGAATAAGGCTATTATTTATTTTCTGGAGCTGTCAAGCCAGCAAGAGTGTTATTGTCCCTTTAAGCATACAAAACATTTAATATCAATTTCCAAAATCATTTGAAATCATTGAAAATGAATAGACTTCTTCGTCTGATGACTTTAAACACTGTACATGTGTATAAATCTAAAGTGAATAAGACGTTAACTTGAGCTTGTAGGGCGTCCACAAGATTTTTCAAAGTGATCAATTGCCATAACGTCAGCATATTGTGTATAATGAGGTCGAATATATATTTACTTTCTAGTGAAATATAGATGTTTTATTTAGATTAACTACACATAAATATAAGTTTCTAACATTTTATTAGCTTAGTATTTATTTCATTTTACTATTTAGATAAAAGTATAAATTGATGCAAGAGAAATCCTAGCAAAAATAACATGGTTCAGTTACGTAATGAAGTGTTTAGAGAACTTTCTTCAAAAGCTACACATTCATGCCACGTTATTTAAACACGTTGTCTCATCGTCCCTACCTGTGGTTCAATAATGTTGTAATTACGTAAAATGTTTGTCACCGTGATGAAAGTTTCAATCTGATGTCTAGCTAATAAATTATAACCTATAGTCCCATATCATTGTGTGATATGGTCGTCTTTATTGAAATTTAAACTACATTTCATTTCTCTCTGTGATATCATTTTATATAGTATTTTAAAATATTATTGTAAACTATACTCCTATATTATGTATTCAATTTCAATATTAACGTGTTCTCATGTTGCTGTATATAAAGCTATATCTATCATAGTTTCTTTATTGTTACTTGTGAGTCAAATAATTCACACATAAAGATGCATTATGTAAGACTTAGATAAAGGGCTGCCCGTTCTTGCTATAATACTTATAAAACAATATGGTCTTGTCACGTTAATAAATGTCTAATTAATAATTTATTTAACATTTAAGGCCTAGAGGAAGACCTAGAATGGGTACATTTAGCTCTTGAATAATGTATCTTTAAGCGGTTCCTCGCGATTCTTTACAACTGAAATTGTGCACTAGGTAAGATTAAACCAAGGCCTGGCTGATTGTTTGTATTCTTTGATAGTAAAACGGCTGATTTAATGATTTAATTTAAAAATGGATAATCGATACTTTGTTTACTACTGTAACAACGGTAGCAATGACAATCGAGACTCCAAACAGCCCTAACATCGCTCAGAATGAAGTAATTTGATTGAAATTTTCAAGATATTCCCTTTATATTATCTAGATATCAACTATTATAGCCAGAACTGTCAATTTTTTTTTATCTAAATCTTACATAGTGCATCTTCAAGTTACCTTTACCTGACCAGGAAGTTTTACTTGTCAGTGTACATATATATACACCTTCACATTACAACATTCATATTGTTGATCAAGGTAGGATTGAAGAAGATACGTCTACAACTAGAGATTTATTTTAACTAACGATACTACAAACTGTTACATCTGGTGATACAGACGTTGTTTACAATATTTACCTATAATATATTTTGAGGAAGAGAAATATGCTTCGATCAGATTTACCAATACTGATAATAGCTAGTATATCGGTAGTAGGTAAGTTAATGTTTTATAATAGAATCAATTTGTTATTGCTAGATTTGTCAAATCTTTGTTTTCATTAGCAGGAAAGTAGGACGTTAAACTTCGTTTCATTCCATTTGCCATATACTTCTATTTTAACTGATATTTATTTTTATATACCACTGTAGTACTCTGATATTATTCAGTTTGGGTCTTTGAGATAACCACATATTTCGAGCAATATAATCCTGTTGGTGCTGGCGTGTCATAAAATACCCTTTCATATCATAGATTATGGGTATTTTCTTCCTGCGTGGTTCGGTGGCCGAATGGTTAACGCGTACGCGTTGGATCAGAAGGTCTGTCATTGAGTCAAGTGGCGTGATTTCGATTCCCCGCTTGTACGTGACAAGGAGTAGGGTCGTCTATCCAACATCTGGGGTTTTCTCCGGGTCCTACGGTCTCCTCCCAATGCTAATGACCCCTACGCAAAAGCTTATTATTGATATGAAATTGAACCATATGTTAGTCTCCCCCCCCCCCCCTCTCTCTCTCTCTCTCTCTCTCTCTCTCGTATCTTCTTCTATACAGATATATAAAAAACTAAAAGCCAATTGTTAGCTGTTTGAACATCAACGAGTACTGGGAGTATGTATTGTAATACAAAACATGGTATCTATAATAATGATGCAAGATGTTGGCTAATAATTTGTTTCTAATTTGTTTATGACCGAAATAAGTCACCAAGATCTGTTCTGTCTTTTCAGGTAGTTTAAATTGCCTCCCAAATGGTAAGACACATTTTTATAGAAACAAATTATACAGACATAATGCTGAATGTTTAAAGGAGCTAAATCGCACGTAGAAATGGACACAGATGGGTCGCAACGCATATAATAATGTTATATGAATGTATATAAACTAATTTAAATTCAATCAGTTATGTTCGGCTAAATACGCAATGAGTCCGAATTGAATTGCAGTCTTTAGCGTCTGGTTATTCCAGTTTACACCGGTAATATTCTCCTGTGGCGTATGTGTAGCCTCGTTCATCGAGTGGCTGCATTACAAATGGACCTCGAAAGCATTCTGACACGCGATTCGTGTGCCAATTTAAAAAAAATTATTTTGTCTTAAATATTGGATATCAGAAGCACACCTTTTCAGTGCAAGATAACAGCATCAATGTTGATTTACATTGACCAATATAAGTCGTGTTTGCAATGTCGAAGACTGTGGATGATATTGAGTTAAAGACTTGGCTCGTTTAATATTATCAGTAAATGTTTTTATACGGTATTTTAATGCTCAGAAAAACGAGTAGAATCTGGAAGGCTGCAAAACAGTAAAGTGGTAACAATCTCAATCAATGGGCCGGGACATTTCGTCTGACTCAATCATTCCGAGTGAAAAGATATCCATCACTTATCCTTAGACCCATGTTCTTGACATTAGGTTTTCATGTCTGGGGCTATACAGTAGCAGAATGCTCAATTTCAGTTTATTCGTCCCGCCACTTCTCGCGCCAGAGTGAAGCCCATTTTCTGAAAACCCCGTGAAAACGATAGAGGCTGAAGATTTCGACGGATTCTTTTCAATTCAGTTTACCGTGATTATCTGTTCTGGAGTTTTCCCCCCTTTTCCGACACATTGCGGTCATGAGCGGATGAACCCTATCAATTTTCAGCGCTCTGTGATTTTCCTTTCAGAGTTATGTCCCCTTAGTCCAAAATACCTTGTGAACGCGATAAAAGCTTTGGTTTTTAATGGATCTTTTTCATATTTGCTTGAAATATTGGTGACGCCGATGCCTATCAATATTCATAATCCGCAGCCGCCCATTCCTGAGTTATTCGTCCCCTTTGCCGAAAACTTTGTTTCCGCATTTTAACAGATTTCTTTTTTCAAATTTAGATTGAAGCAATAGGGTCAAAAGAGGATGAACCCTATAGATTATAATTTTTCAAGGATCCTACAGTTGCTCAACATCCCAGTTTTCCTTTCGGATAAACCGCAGTTGAGACAAATCTGCTGCATGGACGTAATTCTCGCTTTACGTGGCCATCTAAACTTTTAATTGTGTAATGTTACCCGATGTTTATTAAAACCGTGTCGGTGTTGACCATATTATGTATTGTTTAATGGTCGAGAGCGAGACATTGCGTAATATATTGTAACAACATGAGGGCCATGAGGCCCGAATGTTTTTACAATATATTACGCAATGTCTTAAGCTCGGGACCATTAAACAACTAAAAATACAGACACTTGCACGTGCTTTTCAATGAAATACGTCACTCGGGTTCAATATTTTAACTAGTTACAATTGGCACATTGCCTGTATGATTATTTGAAATAATGGTACTCAAACATCAAAGGATGACGTCACATCTGTATTTTAATTAATATTAAAAACTATTTGTAATAAATTGTAAAAGAAATCTTGACATGACATTTTATATTTTATATTACAGGCAATTTTATACCAGTATGTAGTGATGATTCTATAACTGCTAAATTTGTTTATCTGTCTGGTGTTATAGCAGGTGATAATACTACACAGTGTTCATGTTCTTTATCTACTGGATCACCAACCAATGTTACAATAACCAAACATAGGTCACTACATGGATGCCAATATAAATTCCAATTCTTATATATGACTGAAAGCTGGATATATTCATGTAATCAGGAATACGTACCAATCATATCAATAAAGACTGACGACAGCATTGAGATTAATTTATTAACAACAGGTCAACATAATGCAGGTGGATTCATGGCCTGTGTGCAAATACAATCAGGTAATAATATAATTATATATTCAGTCACCACTCTACGAAATGAACTGCCACATCTGAACTCAGTCTCATAAAAGTTGAGCATGGACAGGGTCGAGAAATTTCAGATCGTCTAATTGGACTGCTCTGTATATACCCAAATATACAAATTGTCCTTTATATTAATCATTCACTTATAATTGTTTGATTACTTTTCAGCATCATCATCATCTGTAACACTGTCATGTGGTAAATCAAGATGGTCAACAACAAGCTATAAACCTACTGATATAGAAACATCTTTAACAAAAAGTATAAGTTAGTTGTTAATATTCTGTTGTATTTGTTTTTACACATAATACGAGTTATTTATTCCAATCCTTCACTTCTTGTATGTTTCATCGTGTCACATTCCATCCCAGAACAGTGTTCACCTACTTTTCTGCACTAAAGGGCTTAATGAAGACGGACATACACCATACAGTACTATGAGGTACATTTTTCCCGGACAGCGGCGTTATGGCCTACTCTTTTTATCGATTTCCATCCGCCAAGGGTTATTTTTCGTGCTCACCAACGTGCACACTGGACCTCGGTTGTTCGTCCCATCCGAATAACTAACCATACGTTGTCCCTTGCAAGACCTCCTGTCCTACACCACTGGCAAGGGGAACCATGCCGGAAAATTGCAATGAACTTTCTCGGCCAACACCGGGATCGAATAAGAGACCTCCGGGTTAGCGAGCCGGACATCCTCCTCACTGAGCCACGGCGGCTCACAAAAGCGGGGAATATAAACCTCATACTACCAAACAAACAAATGCCAGAAACAAGCAAATAACACCACTACTTGGTGGTAAAATCAAGTCAAGATGAGCGTCCGGCTTATATAGCCAACTTTTCAATGGATAATTGTTTAAATTTTACTTTAAGTATGTTATTGGATACTTGATAGAAAACCTATTCCCTTCTCATTAATAATAGCGACGGGTGATGAATCTAACCAACCAACATCTGATAGGGAATCTAACCAACCCACAACAATAACATCTGCTAGTGAATCTGAGCAACAGACAACACCAACATCTAAGAATGATAACTCGAGTAAGTCCATCTTTATATTGGAAAGAGACCACCCAAATGTATTTCTTCATTTCTAAAAAGCGTAGTTAGATATTAGTAGCGACTAGAGTTGATAATAATTTCTATAAGATCTGATATCACGTCTTCCTTAAGGCATTAAAATAGCCATCAACGTTGAGAAGATTTATGGTGATTATCTGACAGTTGTTGTAATCTTGTATTAAAGGATTTTGTTACCTTCCACCGTTTAAACTAGAAATTATATATTTGAAAGAATAAATCATTATTATATCTTATGATATCGTTGAAAAAGTTTTACGAATGTTATATATTCCAGTGTCTGCTATAATTGGTGGAGCTGTAGGAGGATTAATTGTGATAATCGTCATCATTATTACCATAGTAATCTGGTTAGTATCATCTCTATATTATATTATATTCCCTGTATATCATCTCCACAAGAGTGCGTCTTAAAGTAAATCTATCCGAAGATCCTTTGGGTTTTACTAGACAACAACTCACTTCACTTTATTTGTGTATAGTTTAATAAATACACGTTTTATCAGTCGGGGCAACTCACTTCAACTTATTTGTATATTATAGTGTAATACGTAGGAAGAACGGGGACAATATTTATGACAGTCCAGAAGCTGTAGAGACTGATCCTCATCCCTACCAGAGCATTCACAGATAACAGATCAGGGGAGATAACTCTGACTAATAAACAGAATAATCAATTGGTTCATCAGGAGAATGATCCATATACCAGTATTAATAATGATATAATTAAACCTAGCAACGGTAACCAAGGGATGGACTATCTGTATATTAGTTCTGATGATGTCACTGATGACGTGGTGGTTGATGATAAACTAAAAGTAAAACTTCCGGTTGTGGCAGAATACGCCCAGGTTAACCAATCCAATGCGAACAAAACCGCGATTGAGAAATTTAAGATGGGACCAAAGGGTGATAACTATGCTGTTGCTAATATAGGGGGAAAATGATCAATACTGATAAACGTAATAGGTAATAGTGGAGATCAATACGCTGTTTTTAATAAAGAGGTGAGGGGGTACAAATAATTAATCAACCATAAAGTTGATTGTTTAAACGTTTGAAAAGGAAGTTTAACGTACACCATCTTGTACATAGTGAGACGAGTAGATATTTGTATACCTTTGTTAAAATATAGTTTATGGATTGTCAGCATATTGTGTATATAGTGATGTCAAGTATATATTTACTTTTATATTTACATTTACATTTCTAACATTTTATTAGCTTAATATTTATTTCAATTTATTAGTCCATAATTAAAATGTGTATTGTTTAAAACGTGAAAATTCACGTAACAAGACATTCTAGCTTAATATTTATTTGAATTTATTATTTTATAATTAAAATAAGTTTTGAGACTGTCATGTGGTAAATCAAGATGGTCAACAACAACAAGCTATAAACCTACTGATATAGAAACGTCTTCCACAAATAGTATAAGTAAGTTGTTATTATTCTATTGTATTTGTTTTTACACATCACACAAGTTATTTGTTCCAATCGTTCACTTCTTGTATGTTTCATCTTGTCTCATTCCATCCGAAAAAAGTGTTCATTGCCAATCTATCAACCAGGTCTTCACACTTTGGTTTTCATTCACAACCATTAGATTGCATAAAGGTAATGAAATGGGGTTTAACGTCCTACTTTTCTGCACCGAAAGGGCTTAATGAAGACGGACATGCGCCATACAATACTGAGGTACATTTTGCCCGGACAGCGGCGCTATGGCTTACTCTTTTTACCGAATTCCAACCGCCAAGGGCTCTTTTTTGTGATCACCAACCTGCACACTGGTTTTTCGCTCCAACGTCTTATCTCTTACACCACTAGCACGAGAAACTTAAATAAACTTTCTCGGCCAACACCTGGATCGAACAAGGGACATCCGGGTTAGCGAGCCAGACATCGTCCTCACTGAGCCACGGTGGCTCATAAAGGCGGGAAATAGAAACCGCATACTACCAAACAAACAAATGCCAGAAACAACCTAATAACACCACTACTTGGTAGTAAAATCTGCTCAAGATGTGCGTCCGGCTTTAGGTTTATAGTCATTTTCTATAGCCAACTTTTGAATGTATAATTGTTTAAATCTTACTTTGAGTATTGGATACTTGATAAAGTTAAAATATTGACATGAATCTATTCCCTTCGCATTAATAATAGCAACACCCGGTGATGAATCTAGCCAACCAGCATCTGGTAATGAATCAATCCAACCAACATCGAAGCAACCAACAACACTAAAATCTGACCAACCAATATCTGCTATTGAATCTACGCAACCACCATATTCTAGTGAATCTAACCAACCAACATCTGGTAGTGAATCTAACAAACCAGCAACACCAACATCTAAGAATGATAACTCGAGTAAGTCCATCTTTATATCGGAAAGAAACCACCCAAATGTATTTCTTCATTTCTAAAAAGCGTAGTTAGATATAAGTAGCGACGAGCGTTGATAACTATCTGTAGATGATTTTATATTAAGTCTTCCTTAGGGAATTAAAATAGCCATCAATGTAGATTTACCATACGTTTAGAAGATTTATGGTGATTATCTGACAGTTGTTATAATCTTGTATTAAAGGAGTTTGTTACCTTCCACCATTTAAACTAGGAATTATATTTTTGAAATAATAAATCGTTATTATATCTTATGATCCTGGAACTTGTTGAAGAATTTTTACGAATGTTATATATTCCAGTGTCTGCTATAATTGGTGGAGCTGTAGGAGGAGTAATTGTGATAATTGTCGTCATTATTATCATAGTAATATGGTTAGTATCATCTCTATATTACATTCCTTGTAATTTATCATCAATATTCCCTGTATCATCTATATATATTCCCTGTAATTTATAACATTACCATGGTAATATGGCTAGTATCAACTCTATATCACAATGATTTATAATGCAGAGTTATTAAAGTTATGATAGCTACACTAACTTACTTATTAGTTTCATCATTTTAACACATTTAATAATGAAAGACGTATCTTCGGTATTACATGTTGACTAGAGAAAAAAGCCAATGACAAAATTATTATGTGGCATTACGAGTAGAATTGTTTGTCAACGTCCGATATCAGGTTAAAGATATGTCGAACCCATTCACGAATACGCAAGTACAGAGGCTTGTTGTAATAATAGTCTAAAGTTGCTGTTCTTACAGCGTCAATGACACAGTGATTGTGAAAAGTTATACTTATACGCTAAATGAGTATTTTAAAACGGCTTATCTCACTATAGTAAACCTAATTCGACAAAGGGTTATTTTCCCTACACAGTCGTACTCAAGCTTCGATTGTGACTAACAAGAGTGCGCCTTAAAGTAAATCTATCCGAAGCGTCTTTGGGTTTTACTAGACAACAACTCAGTTGACTTTATTTTGTGTATAGTTTAATAAATACACGTTTTATCAGTCGGGGCAACTCACTTCAACTTATTTGTATATTATAGTGTAATACGTAAGAAGAACGGGGACAATATTTATGACAGTCCAGAAGCTGTAGAGACTGATCCTCATCCTTACCAGAGCATCCACAGATAACAGACATGGGGAGATAACTCCCACTGATAAACAGAATAATGAATTGGTTAATCAGGAGAATGATCCATATACCAGTATTGATAATGATATAATTAAACCTAGCAACGGTAACCAAGGGGTGGAATATCTAGAAAATGATCTTTACATTAGTTCTAATGATGTCACTGATGACGTGGTCGTTGATGATAAGCTAAAAGCAAAATTTCCGGTTGTGGCGGAATACGCCAAGGTTAAAAAATCTAACACGAACCAAATCACGAATGGGAAATTTAAGTTGGGACCAATACACTGTTGTAAATAAAGGTGAGGGGGTGGGGGGTGATCAAGATGATAAAAGTAATGAACAATTTAAAATAGGGCTTAGTGGAAATAAATACGCTGTTGTTAATAAAGAGAGAAAGAAAAACAAGAATGAAGCCGGGGAAGAAATTAAAATAGGACCTAGTGGAGATCAATACGCCGTGGTTAATAAATCGGGGAGGGAGCAGAAATAATTTACCCTTGGGTAGATTGGTTAAACGAATGCGAGCTTGTGCATAATGAAAACGACTAGCTATTTTTACACCTTTGTGAAAAAAGTTTATGAACTGTCAGCATGTGTATATTGAGGTCGAGAACGTTTTTGTATTTTTTCTAATTTTATATAGATTTTATATTTTATTTTATATTTAGATTACCTACATATAAAACCAAGTTTCTAACATTTTATTAGCTCAGTATTTATTTCAATTTATTAATTTATAATTAAATCATGTTTTGTTTAGAACGTAAAAATCCATGAAAAGTGACATTTTAGCAAAACTGCCATGGTTCAGTCAAAACCCTATATCTATCATATTCCTGGAGCAATGAACCGAGAAATCCCTCTCTGGTCATTGCTGGATTGACTTATGTTACTTGAGCTTTTGAGGGAGTCTGTCTATTCTTCCCCTTCAATCAAATGTATCGCAAATACAGCAACATGTCAGCCCTTCGTTTATTCTGGGGTCTTCCCTAAAACTTTGGACATTGATTAAAGGTATTAAAAAAGGTGAAAGTATTGTTCGTCTCCAATCAGTATTGTTTACACTGTAACCGTTGATAGCCTCGTTTGTCACGCAATTAGTTTTTCTGCAATATTCTACTATGCACTGGTTAATTGTTGGTAAAAATATCGTGAGTCATGACGTAACGCTATGTAAACAATGTGGAGCTCTTTTTAAACCCGAATTACATTGTTACCCAGTTCGGCATTGGTTATTAATCGGAGTATTGACCAGTCATTATTTGGAATAGAAATTTGCATTCATTACGTCAGTGCTTGTGTAGAAATAAGGTGTAATCCAACGAAACACTGCGAGGAGTGTATATATCTATACACGGTTTTGGGTTCACTTACATAATGGAAAGTTTTGGTCAAGGCATTAGCTTTCTACAAAACGTTCAGTGTTATAGCCAGTACTGTTTTGACATTCTTTGTGCGATGAGGTTGGACTGTGTATGACGCCCTAGATTTTGAGCTCCGCCTCCAGATACAGTTTCTCGGTCATCTACAAAATTTCTATAAACTATAGCCCTATTTATCATTGTGTGATATGGTTATAATTTCTATAAACTATAATCCTATTCATCATTATGTGATATGGTTATAATTTCTATAAACTATAATCCTATTCATCATTGTGTGATATGGTTATAATATCTATAAACTATAATCCTATTCATCATTGTATGATATGCCCGTCTTGATTAAAAGTAGGACGTTAAACCACATTTCCTCGTGTGATATAATTTTATAAAGTATTTAATATATGCCTATATTACTGTTAACTATACTCCTATATTATGTATTCAACTTTAATGTTGCTGTATATAAAGCTATATCTATCATGGTGTCTTTATTGTCATTTGTAAGTCAAATATTTTATTCGCGCTTTATGCTAGACGTACCTTACGATTCTTTACAGGTGAAATTGTGCACCAGGTAAGATTCAACCAAGGCCTGGCTGAGTGTATTCATTGATATTAAAACGCATGAAAATACAAAAGAAAAAGGAAAATATGCAAATTGAATAAAATTGTTCAACAAAGAATAAAATTACAATCATGCATGCATAAACACGCACCTATAGACACGTACATATTTATAGAAACACCCAATGTGTAATTATCATACACATCCTCTTTTAGTTTCAAATATGCATTATGTAAAAGCCAGCCAACGTCTTACTCACTGAGCCACTGCAGTCCCCAGAAATAGGCGAAATAACCTTGATATGTACTTTAATTAAAGTTCGCTGGGCGTGATATGGACTATAGAGGAATCCGCGTAAAGTTAAATTTCTAGTAGAAATATCAGTCCAATATGTTTTAATTCCGTTCAGTATTTAGAAAGATATGATGAAACAATAAATTATGTTGATATATGCTACCCCTTATATTGTCATCTCGCTTCACTTTCTTGGTGGAATTTGTCGACAAAAAAAATAGGTCCAGATATCTTACAAGTTGAGGCTTCCGCCATTTTGTAGTTACAGTAGATTGATCACCAATGTCAAGTTAGTTTACTGTTAAATGACGTCATGATATGGTAACGCCCCGCTGCACCAAAAGTTGATTGCTATCGGCCTGTCTTTAAAATGATGTATTTTGAGTACCTATTAGCGTGGATTAAGCTGTGGGCAATTTGATATCATCCGGAAATTACAAATCGCGCATCGTTACTTTAGTAACGCAGAATAACAGTGTTCAAACAGTGTTTTAAAATGTCTTATTCCTTGGTTGCTTTGTCATGGTACAAGCGTAAACTGAATTTACTGAAAACAAAACAGGGTGGGAGTAACTTAACTTGGAAAGGTTTTAAGTTATAAGGACAAAACTTAAAGGGACAGGTCGTCTTCTGCCGTTTGTCTCATCACTACTAGAAATAGACATCAGATTAAACAAATTGTGGTCAAAGAGATAATACTCCTTTACATTATAGAACCGCAACTCTTATATACTAATGGTATAATATTACGAATAGTCTCTTTTATTAATTGTTCTTCGGGTAGGTCGTAAAACCGAGGTAGTGTATACAGGTTGGCGTGAACGTAAAAGAACCATTGATGGGTAGGTGAAATATGATGTAAGAGTAGGTCGTAGCGCCGCTGTCATTTTACAATATGCCACAAAGCACACTGTATGGCGTATTTCCGTCTTCATTAGCCCCATCGATTTCATTCTAAATTATAGGACCGCTACTCACATGTTTTAGGATTCTGTGAAATGATATTATTATTACCTATGACCTCTTCTTTTATTACACGTTAATAATAAGTACAGGGGGACTGCACCACCCACAAACAATTACACAAGACAAACCCACAGGATACAATATGATATTTTCAATATATTCCCTTTTCATTATCTAGTTTTTTAACTATTATAGCGGGAACTGTGAGCTCTTTATCTACATCTTACATAATGCATCTTTAAGTAAGGAAAAACTTAACCAGGATGTTTTTGCCAGTATGTATACACCGTCAAGTTACAACATTCATATTGTTGATCAAGATAGGATTGAAGAAGATAAATCAACAACCAGAGATTTATTTTGAGTAATACTACTACATACTGTTAATCTGGTGATATAGACATTGTTTAAAATATTTACCTATATGAGGAACAGAAATATGATTCCATCAGATTTACTAATACTGCTAATAGCTAGTATATCGGTAGTAGGTAAGTTAACTTCTTATGGCTGTCTAATTATAACATAGTCAATTTGTTATTACTCTAGTATATCGGTAGTAGGTAAGTTTACTTGTTATGGCTGTCTAATTATAATAGATTAAAATCTGACAGTTTTCATTAGCAGAAAAGTAGGACGTTAAACTGCCATATCTAACAATAATTCATCAGACATGCGGATAAAAATAATTACATTTTACACGATAACCTGATATAGACATTCATTTTCATTTATCCATCTACATAAAATGTAATGTTGTTTGTTCGTTCGTATTAACCTCCCCTTCCATAGATGGTGATATCTCAGACAGTCAATTTATCCATTTTGTGTAAGCTCATTTCGTACATATAGATGGGGTGAAAGTGTTGTGTGTCTCCCTCGCATTCGTGTCATTTAAAAATCATCTTAGGCAAATACTACAGAACGTATTTGAAGGATGTACTGTTGTCAGTCATTTCACAATATATTTACCCATCCGGACGTCGGAGCAAACAGTAGGATGTTAAATCCTCATTTCAAAACTCACCATTAAACTAATCATCCAAATCTTCAATAACGACTGGACACAATACTAGTTTGATTGTCCAATAATTTGGTTCAAATTTGTTTATGACCGATTTAAGTCACAAAGGTCTGCTTTTTCTTTTCAGATAGTTTTAATTGCTTTCCAAATGGTAAGAAAATCTTTTTAGAACTATATTTAAGTATTAAACTTGTGATATCCGTAACAAAGTCACTCAAACATGAAGTGACCCGATAAGGTGGACTTGATTGGCGGCACACAAATATCTTTCAGTGATGTCAATTTCAACAGATATAGTTCGTCAAACCGAGTGGAAAGTTGCTTTCAGTCCAACATCCTAATCTGATCCATGTGTTAATACATTATATCAATCAAAACTTGTCACAATGAGGCTATATCATTAACAGAAGGGTTGTAGATTATGTTGTAAAATAATAACAAAGACAAATCAATTATTAAAGATGCATTATTCAACAGTTAAATCTTCCTCAAATATTATATAAATCATTAATTTACACACATTTATCTACATACCAAGCCCATATCCAACTCACTAGATCATCGGATAGTTTTGATTTTCAACAGATTTAAATACGATTGGCACTAAATGATTTAATTTAAAAATGGATATTGCAAAGGTAGCAATGACAATCAAGACTACACTCTTCTGAATTTTCAACATAATCCATGTCCGTTGTTTGTCTAAATCTCACATAAGGCATTTATTACAAGTACATCTGATCAAGCTAACGTATATATCAACAAATATTAAAATACCCCATTTAAGCTTTTTATTTTGTAATGATCTGTTACTCTGTTGTAAAATGTCTAAGATTGGTAACATTCATAATAAATCTTAACATTTTTAATTTTTGATTACATTCTATTTTATTGGTAAATGATTTATCATTGATGATGAATTATAAAATAAATCTGGATATATTCCACATCAGTATGTAGTGCTATTTCTATGACATGATATTTTATATTTATATTGCAGCCAATTCTATACCAGTATGTAATGATGATTCTATAACTGGTAAATTTGTTTATCTGTCTGGTGTTAGAGCAGGTGATGATACTACACAATGTTCATGTTCTTTATCTACTGGATCATCAACCAATATTACAATAACCGAACATCGGATACCAGGTGGATGCGAGTATAAATTACAATTCTTATATATGACTGGAAGCTGGATATATTCATGTAGTCAGACATCAATGACATCAATGACATCAATACAGACTGACGGCAGTATTGAGATCAGTCTATTAAAAGATCAAGACGATACGGGATTCTCGGTCTGTCTGAAAATAACATCGGGTAATAATATAATTATATATTCAGGGACGAATCCAAGATTTTTACATCTACGTATATTGATGAGTTGTAGTCACCATTCGCCACCGTCTAAAGCGGGAAAAGCCCACGACGGGCTGCATTATACGACCACATCATTCTTGTTTGAATGAAATATGAAATGGCTGCACCGCCTGTAATATGACAACCCTAAAGTAATAGTTTCTATATGAAATGAATAACAGGGACCGTATCAACAAAATTTATATTTAAAAACATGCAACCGGTAGAATGCTTACAAACATTCACGAAATGAATGATACTGCCACATCTGAACTCAGTCTCATAAAAAGTACAGACTGGAAGTCGGGCATGCAACAAAAGCAATAGGTGTGGTCCTTCGTGCAGGGGCAATACGTGTGTCAAGTTTCAAGTCGAACTCACCTCACACCCGAACCCATAATACACTTACATTATGAATGTGGACATATTGAAATGGATCGACTATCTGAACCCCTAAGTTGAGCATGGACAGGGTCGAGAAATTTCAGATCTTCTAATTAGACTGCTCTGTATATACGCAAATATACAAATTAATCATTCTCTTATAATTCTCAAGCTGATTTTTTGTTTCTTTTCAGCATCATCATCATCTGTAAGACTGTCATGTGGTAAATCAAGATGGTCAACAACAAGCTATAAACCTACTGATATAGAAACATCTTTCACAGAAAGTATAAGTTAGTTGTTATTATTCTGTTCTATTTGTTTTTACACATAATACGAGTTTTTTGTTCTAATTGTTCACTTCTTGTTTGTTTCATCATATCCCATTCCATCCAAGAACACTGTTCTTGTCAATCCATCAACCGGTCTTCAAATGGGGTTTTCGACGTCCTACTTTTCTGCACTGAAGGGCTTAATGAAGACGGACATGTGCCATACAATACTGAGGTACATTTTGCCTCAGCGGCGTTATGGCCTACACGTTTTATCGAATTCCAACCGTCAAGGGTTCTTTTTCGTGGTCACCAACGTGCACACTGGACCTCGGTTTTTCGTCCCATCCGAACAACTATACGTTGTCCCTTGCAAGGCCTCCTGCCATATACCACTGGTAAGGGGGAACCATGCCGGAATATTGCAATGAACTTTCTCGGCCAACACCGCGATCGAACAAGAGACCTCCGGGTTAGCGAGTCAGACATCCTACACACTGAGCCACGGCGGCTCACAAAAGCGGAAAATAGAAACCGCCTACTACCAAACAAACAAATGCCAGAAACAACCAAATAACACCACTACTTGGAGGTAAAATCAGCACAAGATGAGCGTCCGGCTTTCGGATTATAGTCAGTTTCTATAGCCAACTTTTTCAATACATAATTGTTTAAATTTGACTTTGATAAAGATAAAATATTGACATGGATCTATTTCCTTCTCATTAATAATAGCACCATCCGGTGATGAATCTAGCCAACCAACATTTGGTAATGTATCTATCCAACCAACATCTAAGCAACCAATAACACCAAAATCTGACCAACCGACATCTGCTAGTGAATCTGAGCAACAGACAACACCAACATCTAAGAATGATAACTCGAGTAAGTCCATCTTTATATCGGAAAGAGACCACCCAAATCTATTTCTTCATTTCTAAAAATCATAGTTTTATATAAAGTATATTTCTTGATTTATAACAAGCGTAGTTAGTTATAAGTAGCGACGAGAGTTGATAACCATTTCTAGAAGATCTGATATCCCGTCTTCCTTATGGAATTGAACTAGCCATCAATGTAGGTTTACCATACGTTGAGAAGAGTTACGGTGATTATCTGACAGTTGTTGTAATCTTGTATTAAAGGAGTTTGTTACCTTCTACCATTTAAACTAGAAATTATATATTTGATAATCGTTATTATAACTTATGATGTTGAAACTTTGGCATTGTTGGTTGATATATAAATGTTATATATTCCAGTGTCTGCTATAATTGGTGGAGCTGTAGGAGGATTAATTGTGATAATCGTCATCATTATTATCATAGTAATCTGGTTAGTATCATCTCTATATTACATTCCTTGTAATTTATTATCAATATTCCCTGTATCATCTCTATATATTCCCTGTAACTTATAACATTACCATGGTAATATGGCTAGTATAAACTCTATATCCCAATGATTTATAATGCAGAATTATTAAAATTATGATAGCTACACTAACTTACTTATTAGTTTCATATTTTTAACACATATTTAATAATGAAAGACGTATCTTCCGTATTAAATGTTGACTAGAGACAAAAGCCAATGACAGAAGTATTCGGTGACATTACAAGTAAAATTGTTTGTCAACGTCCGATATCAGGTTTATTTTGTGTATAGTGTAATAAATACATGTTTCATCAGTCGGGGCAACTCACTTCAACTTATTTGTATATTATAGTGTAATACGTAAGAAGAACGGGGGTAATATTTATGACAGTCCAGAAGTTGTAGAGGTTGACCCTCATCCTTACCAGAGCATTCACAGATAACAGATCAGGGGAGATAACTCAGACTGATAAACATAATAATGAATTGGTTCATCGGGAGAATGATCCATATACCAGTATTGATAATGATATAATTAAACCTAGCAACCGTAACCAAGGGATGGAATATCTAGAAAATGATCTGTATATTATTTCTGATGATGTCACTGATGATGTGGTCGTTGATGATAAACTAAAAGCAAAACTTCCGGTGGTGGCGGAATACGCCCAGGTTAACAAATCCAACGCAATAAAAACCGCGAATCGGAAATTTAAGATGGGACCAAAGGGGGATAACTATGCTATTGTTAATAAAGGCGGGAAGATGATTGACTTTATATATTAAATGGTTTCCCTATTGATTAAGATTAATTATCTGTTATTTGTTTTTGTATATAAACCTTCTGTACATTATTCATCATCATTTGCTTGAAAACGTTGAGAGAACCCTCAACGAAACGTCACTTTAATTAAAATAGTAATTGTGTTCCATATTATGTTTTTGTGTTTATTATGATCAATAATGATAAACGTAATGAACAATTTTAAAATTGGGCCTAGTGGATATCAATACGCTGTTGCACAAATAATTAACCTTTGGAAAAGGAAGTTGCACATAGTGAGACGAGCAGATATTTGCATACCTGTGTGCAAATATAGTTTCAGGATTGTCAGCATATTGTATATAGTGATGTCAAGTATATATTTACTTTTATATTTACATTACCTACACATAACCTTTCTAACGTTTTATTAGCTTAGTATTTATTTCATTTCATCAAAATTCATGAAACGAGACATTCTAGCAAAACTACCGTGGTTCAATTAAAGCCATATATCAATATTCGGTTTTGGTTTCAAAAGCTACAAATTCATACAAATTCAAAGTGCCTATATTCATGTATTATGTACTCATCTGTACTGTTTACTGTGTTCATGTATATAAAGCCAGATCTATCATGGAATCTTTATTGTTATTCGTAAGTCAAATTTGCCACGGTTTAAGAAATTCCTCGTGATTATTTACAACTGAAATTCTGTAATATGTAAGATTATACCAAGGTCTGGCTGATTGTGTTCATTGACATAAAAAAAATTAGATGTAAATACAAACAAAAAGAGAAAATATGCAAATTGAATAAAACTGTTTACAAAAGAATAATATTGCAATCATGCATGCATAAACACGTTTATAAAGTGACGGACCTGTTATAAAGAAACAACCAAAAACATCCTCTTTCAGTTTTAAAGATGCATGTAAAAGCTTATGTCTGTCTTGCTTTAAATGTTCTATTAATTATTATTTATGATATCAATGATGATGCCATTTAGCACTTAGAAATTTATTCACGTGACAAACCCATAAACATATCTCTAGAACACCGGATGGGTTCGATATTGAAGGGATTAGGCCATTAGAGTAATGTAACCGATTAACCATGAAATGGAAGTTACTCAAGAAAAAGTTTGATAATCGAGGCTTCGTTTATTATTATTGCAATGTTACTTGACAATCGCTATTGCTTGTCAAAACTTCAAACATTAAAAAATTGGCTCAGAATGATTTAAAGTGACTGGAATTCTCAATATATTCATTTAGTATTATCTATTTTGAAACTATTATAGTAAGAACGACCAACTCTTACATAATGTATCTTTAAACAGTAGCCGACAATCTGATTCTTGTATCAATGGATCATAAAGATACAAGGGTTTCCATCCAATCAGTAAATATAGCCTAGCCAATGGGGTTTAACATCCCCCTGCACTTACTATTACTGTTCCGCACCGACTGGGATAATGAAGAAATACAGCGTGCTGTGAGGCAATTTTGCCCGAAGCGGCACTATGGCCTACTCTTAAATCGAATTCCACCTGGAATATGTACAGTGTGCTATGAGGCAAATTTGACCCGAACAGCGGCACTAAGGCCTCCTCTTAAAGCGTATTCCAACTCGAATATGTACAGTGTGCTATGAGGCAAATTTGACCCGAACAGCGGCACTACGGGCTACTCTTATTTCGAATTCAAAATGCCAAGGGTTCTTTTATATGCATCTCGATTTTGTTTTTCATCACATCTGAAAGTCTAGACACTGTTCTTTGTCAGGTTATCTACGCTGTACCAATAACACGGGAAAGTTTCTCGGTCAACACCTGGTTAACGAGCCAGCGTCTTACTCACTGAGCCGCTGTGGTCACCATAAACAGGTGAAATAACCGTGATATGTGCCTTAATTAAAGCCTATGAGCGTGATTTGAGCGATAGAGGAATCCAGTGGAAAAGTTGATTTTCTAGTAGAAATATCATTTCATTCCGTTCAGTATATGTTTACAACTAGTAGCAATATCAGTATACAAACGGTTAACTTGCTTTCAGTATAACAAATATATGACGAAGCAAAATTGTGTTAATTTATGCTGCTCTTTGTGTAAACGGTTTACTTTAATTTGTTTTCTGTTGGATGACGTCATAATATTACATATAAAGTTACAACCTTCATATTGTTGATCAAGGAAGGATATAATTTATCACATTCTAATAAGAGGATAAATCTACAACTTGAGTTTTATTTTGATTAACACATGGATTACTATATACTGTTAATCTCGTGATATATTTGTTGTTTAAAATATTTACCTATAGGAGTTAGAGAAATATGCTGCGATTAGACTTAATAATACTGATATTAGCTAGTATATGGGTAGTAGGTAAGTTAACTTCTTATGGCTGTCTAATTATAATAGAGTCAATTTGTTATTACTCGATTTGTCAAATCTGACCATTTTCATTAGCAGAAAAGTAGGACGTTAAATTGACATATCTAACAATAATTCATCAGACCTGGAGATAAAAATAATTATATTTTACACGATAACCTGAGATAAGGATTCATTTTCTTTTATCCATCTACATACAATGTAATGTTATTCTTTCGTAAGATTTAACCTGCTCTTCCATATCTCAGACAGTCAATTTATCCATTTTGTGTAAACTCAGTTCGTACGGATAGAGGGGGTGAAAGTGTATTGTGTCGCCCTCGCATTCGTTCGTTCATTTAAAGATCATCTTAAAGCGAGATGGGATCATTTGGTAGTTAGCTAAATTCGACAGTAAGTATCTGATGTCAGCCATTCCAAAATATATTTATCTATCCCGGCGTGTATTTGTTTTTAAATGAGACAAATGTTTATTATAAATTGTAATTGTTTATTATATGTAACCTGATTCTATATCTTAAATATTGATATTTTATTTACTAATCCCTGATATTTGTTACACGTCCATATTGAAATGGGTTGTATATTGTCGTCGACCTCGTCCGTCGGTCCGTCTGTCCGGCATCCAAAATTGCTTTTGTGGACACCATAGAGGCTAAATTTATACACAAGGTTTAAGGTCATTGATTTTCAACGATTTCCGACGGTAATTAATGCCAGATTTATGCCCCATGATCACTTTGGAAAATCATGTGAACGCCCTAGATGGAAAATTATAATATCCAATTGACTTTGAACTTGTACACAGTGTTTAAGGTCACGAGACGAAGAAACCTTTTGATATTCGTAGATTCAGTGAATGTGGTCTTTTCCAATCAGGAACGTCAAAACAATGATAATTAATTAGTGAATCACTGTGGATTTGTGTTGGTTTGGGTAAAACTAATCTCGTCTTGTTTTCTCGCATTCTGGCACTCGATTTCGTGCTTTCTCGACATCTCACTGCGAAAATATAACATGGCCAAAATAGACTTCCGTAGAAAAGCGATGCTGCTGGATAGAAGATAAACACGGGGTCAAAAGTCACCAGCACATTCGGAGTAGAACAGTAGTATAGGTTAAAATCCTCATTTCAAAAGTCACCATTAAGCTAATCATCCAAATCTTCAATAACAACTGGATACAATACTGGTTTGTTTGTCCAATAATATGGTTCTGATTTGTTTATAAACGATTTAAGTCACAAAGGTCTGTTTTGTCTTTTCAGATAGTTATAATTGCCCTTTAAGTGGTAAGAAAATGTTTTTATAACTTTATTTAAGGATTAAACATGTGATATCCGTAACAAAGTCACTCAGACATGAAGTGACCAGATAAGGTGGGCCTGATTGGCTGCACAAAAATATCTTTCAGTGGTGTAAATTTAAACAAATAGTTCGACTATATCATTAACAGAAGGGTTGCAGATTATGTTGTAAAATAATAACCTGCATTATTCAACAGTTAAATCATCCTAATGCAGATCTTTCGTTTTACCTCAAATGTTATATAAATCATTAAGTTACAAACATTACTTTACATACCAAGCCCATAACTCACTCTCTAGAGCATCGAACAGTTTTGGTTTTCAACAGATTTAAATAGGATTGGCACTTAATAATTTAATTTAGAAATGGTTAACCGAGACTTTGTGTATTTCAAAGGTAGTAATGACAATCAAGACTACACTGTTCTGAATTTTCAACAAAATCACTTTTCATTGTTTCTCTAAGTCATACATAAGGTATTTATTACAAGTTTATCTTATCAAGCTAACGTATATATCAACAAACATTGAAATAGCATATTTTAGCTGTTTATTATGTTACAGTATCTTACTCTGTTGTAAAATGTCTAAGATTGGTAAAACTGTTTATCAACATTCGTAATAAATCTTAACATTTTTAATTTTTGATTACAGTCTATTTTATTGGTAAATGGTTTGTCATTGGCGATGAATTATAAAATAAATGTGGATATATTCCACATCAGTATGTAGTGACTTGTAAATCTTGACGTGCCATTTTATATTATTTCAGTAAATTTTATAGCAGTGTGTAGTGATGGTTCTATAACAGGTGATATTGTTTATCTCTCTGGTGTTATAACAAATGAAATTCCTACACAATGTTCATGCTCTTTATCTTCTGAATCACCAACCAATGTTACAATAAATACTGTTCGGAGACCAAATGGATGCGGGTATAAATTCCAATTCTTATATATAACTGGGGCCAGGACATACTCATGTAGAGATATATACGGATCAGTCATACCCATACAAACTGGTGATATCGTCGAGATAAACTTATTACAAGATGATACACGTAAAACGAGAGATTTCGCGGCCTGTGTGGAAATAAAATCAGGTAATAATATAATTATATATTCAAGAGAGAATCCAGGATTTTTATATCTCCATATTAAAGTGTGGTAGTCACCATTCACGACCACTGAAGGCGCGAAAGGAGCAACGCAAACGCTGCATTATATGTTCACATTCCTGTTTGAATGAAAACATGAAATGGCTACAATGGCTGTAATATGGCAGCCCATAATTATACAGGCATATTGCAAGAGCTAAATATGCCTAATGCATGTCTTTCTTTAGGCCTTAAATGACACATAAACTATTAATTAGACATTTAATAACATGAAAAGACCATAATCAACTCTCGATGGCATCAGATGTCCCCAATATTAAGTAGATTAGAACGATTCGGCCATGTCATGATTCAATTTAAAAATGGAGAAGCGGGGCTAAGCTTCGAACAATCAGTACGGTAGTTACAATCAATGCACGCATCTTGTCAAACTTTCAAAGTCTAATATCTTCGCTCGGATTAAAGTAATTTGAATGAAATTTTCAATATATTCATTTTGCATTATCTATGTTTGAACTGTTATAGCAAATATAGCCAGCTCTTTATCTAAATCTTACACAATGCTTCTTCAAGAGATGAAATCATAGCCATATGAACAAAATCTGTAACAAAATTAGGGTGCTTACAGACATTGACGAATATTCTGTCGTCAACGACAATGTCACATCTGGAAAAAGTCTCATAAAGAGTACAGCCTGCATGAGGGTTTGATATTAAATACTAATAATAAATTTGGCGTGGCACTGCCCCTGGGGGTTGGATATGGATCAATGGAACTTCGTCTAACATTTGCACTATTCTAATTTGATTGCTATGTATATATAGTAATCACGCATATATACAAATTGTCCTTTATATCATTCATTCACGTTGTTTTTGTTTTATTTTCACCAGATTCATCTCTAACACTGTCATGTGGTAAATCAAGATGGTCAACAAGTTATAAACCTACTGATATAGAAACATCTTTCACAGAAAGTATAAGTTAGTTGTTAATATTCTGTTTCATCTAATCACATACCATCCAAGAACAGTGCGCATTGTCAATCGGCCAACATCGTCTCCATACTTTGGTTTACATTCACAACCATTAGATTACATAAAGGCAATGAACTGAAATGTGTTGATGAAGGGGGATTTGCGGTAAATTCTGCTCGGACAGTGACGTTATGGCATACTGTTTTTTCGAGTACACACCCGAACAAATGCCAGGCTCCCTGTCCTACACCACTGATTAGGGGGAACCACTTCGGAAAAAGTATCTCGGGATCGAACACGGGACCTCCAGGCTAGTGAGCCAACGTCTTACGCACTGAGCCACGGCGGTTGAACAGGAAACAAATTGGTGTAGTTAACGTTTCTTTATTGACATCACAAATAGAAGCCGTATACTAGCAAACAACAAATTGCCAGAAACAACCAAATAACAAGATGTGCGTCCGGCTTTAGGTTTATAGTCATTTTCCATAGCCAACTTTTCAATGCATAATTGTTTAAATCTTACTTTGAGTATTGGGTACTTGATAAAGATAAATATAAACATGGATCTATTTCCTTCTCATTAATAATAGCGCCACCCGGTGAAGAATCTAGCCAATCAACATCTACTAGTGAATCTAGCCAATCAACATCTACTAGTGAATCTAACAAACCAACAACACCAACATCTAAGAATGATAACTCGAGTAAGTCTTTATATCGGAAAGAGACCATCCAAATGTATTTCTTCATTTCTAAAAGATATATGATTTGATAACCATCTGTTAGAAGATCTGATATCACGTCTTCCTTAGGGAATTAACCTAGCCATCAACGTAGAGAAGATCTATGGTAATCTTGTATTAAAGGAGTTTGTTACCATCCACCATTTAGACTAGAAGTTATATTATTCAAAGAATAAATCGTTACGATATGTTATGATGTTGAAACTTTGGTATTGTTGAAGAAGTTTATAAATATTCGAAATATAAATTTAAAGCGGAAAGTACTCGCAAAAACCTAGTTTTCTTTCCTAAGACAACTTTATTTCCAATATCTACCACCTAAGAGTAGCTTTAACGATAACCTTTTACTATATATATTCCAGTGTCTTCTATAATTGGTGGAGCTGTAGGAGGATCAATTGTGATAATCGGCATTATAATTATCATAGTAATCTGGTTAGTATCATCTCCATATTATATTTCATGTACTTTATCATCAATACTCACTGTATCATCTCTATATATTCCCTGTAATTTATAACATTACCATGGTAATATGGCTAGTATCAACTCTATATCCCAATGATTTATAATGCAGAATTATCAAAGTTATGATAGCTACGCTAACTTACTTATTAGTTTTTTCATTTTAACACATTTAATAATGAAAGATGTATCTTCAGTTTTAAATGTTGACTAGAGACAGAATTATTCGGTGGTATTACCACGGACTAACACAGCCGTACTCCAGCTTCGATTGTGACTAACAAGAGTGCGTCTTAAAGTAAATCTATCCGAAGATCCTTTGGGCTTTACTAGACAACAACTCACTTCACTTTATTTGTGTATAGTTTAATAAATAAATGTTTTATCAGTCGAGGCAACTCACTTCAACTTTTTTGTATATTATAGTGTAATACGTAAGAAGAACGGGGACAATATTTATGACAGTCCAGAAGCTGTAGAGACGGATCCTCATCCTTACCAGAGCATTCACAGATAACAGATATGGGAAGATTACTCTGACTAATAAACAGAATAATGAATTGGTTAATCAGGAGAATTATCCATATAACAGTATTAACAAGCCAACAGTGAGGCTGATGTCCCCCGCCGAAATCCAAAAATAAATAGATGACACATATTTATTAATCGCACATTTATTTTTTTCAAAAGTATCGAGCAATCAAACTATACACTAAGTTTCAGCACTCTCCATCAGATAGAATCAAAGTTATCTTGTCCCAAAGCATCGACTAATGTAAATCATTGAACTCAGCCATGACATGACAGCAGAGAATATTCATTATTGAACTAAGTCAAGGTATTGATGTAATAAAGCTATACACCAAGTGTCCTCACTCTCACTTAATTCGAACTAAAGTTATCGTGTCCCAAAGCATCAACCAATCAAATTGCTTATCCCTGCTTACCCTAAGCAGAAAATTCTCATCTTCAATCTCCATCAAGGCATTCACCTATCAGACACCTACGCCAAGTGTGAACATTCTAACTCAACTAGAATGAGAGTTACTGTGTTCCAAAATCTTGACCAATCAAATTGCTTATCTCTGCTTAACCTAAGCACAAAATGCTCATGTTCGAACTCCATCAAGACATTGACCTAATGAACACCTACACCAAGTTTGAACATTCTACCTCAATTAGAAGGGGAGTTATTGTGTTCCAAAGTCTCGGCCAATCAAATTGCTTATCGCTCTGCTTACCCTAAGCAGAAAATGCTCATTATCGAACTTAGTCAAGGTATTGATGTAATGAAGCTATACACCAAGTTTCATCACTCTCACTTAATTAGAACTAAAGTTATCGTGTCCCAAAGCATCAACCAATCAAATTGCTTATCTCTGCTTACACTAAGCAGAAAATGCTCATCTTTGAACTCCATCAAGGCATTGACCTAATAAACACCTACACCAAGTTTGAACATTCTGGCTCAGTTAGAGAGAGTTATTGTGTCCCAAAAAGTGTGACGGACGGACAGACACACCGATTTTAATAATCCCCTGCTTTCTTCGAAAGGCGGGGGACAAAAATACAAATATTATATAATAAAGAAGTTAAATAACATTTGCAGGAAAACGGAATATGAAAATCGATTCCCTCCTTCCACTACTTATTTATGAGGGCTATCCAGTTCTATATCAGCTAAATTGCGATAAAATAATATTTTATATCAATAATTATTATAGCTTGTGCCATCGTGTATTCTATGCCGTTGATTGTGTGTCAACCGAATAATTATTATCTAGTTTATATGCTAAAAACTGTATCACCAAAGGGGGATAATTTAGATAACAAGGTATTACTGTAATGAAACTATACACCAAGTTTCATCAATCTCACTTAATTAGAACTAAAGTTATCGTGTCCCAAAGCATCAACCAATCAAATTGCTTATCTCTGCTTACACTAAGCGGAAAATGCTCATCTACGAACTCCATCAAGACATTGACCTAATCAACACATACACCAAGTTTGAACATTCTAGCTCAATTAGGAAGAGAGTTATCGTGCCCCAAAGTATCAACCAATCAAATTGCTTATCTCTGCTTACCCTAAGCGGAAAATGCTCATCTTCGAACTCCATCAAGGCATTGACCTAATAAACACATACACCAAGTTTGAACATTCTAGCTCAATTAAAAGTTATCGTGTCCCAAAGCATCAACCAATCAAATTGCTTATCTCTGCTTACCCTAAGCGGAAAATGCTCATCTTCGAACTCCATCAAGGCATTGACCTAATCAACACATACACCAAGTTTGAACATTCTAGCCCAATTAGGAAGAGAGTTATCGTGTCCCAAAGTATCAACCAATCAAATTGCTTATCTCTGCTTACCCTAAGCGGAAAATGCTCATCTTCGAACTCCATCAAGGCATTGACCTAATAAACACATACACCAAGTTTGAACATTCTAGCTCAATTAGGAAGAGAGTTATTGTGTCCCAAAAAGTGTGACGGACAGACAGACGGACGGACGGACGGACGGACGGACGGACGGACAGACAGACGGACAGACAGACGGACGAACCCATTTTAATAGTCCCCTGCTTTCTTCGAAAGGCGGGGGACAATAATGATATAATTAAACCTAGCAACGGTAACCAAGGAATGGACTATCTGTATATTAGTTCTGATGATGTCACTGATGACGTGGTGGTTGATGATAAACTAAAAGTAAAACTTCCGGTTGTGGCAGAATACGCCCAGGTTAACAAATCCAATGCGAACAAAACCGAGATTAAGAAATTTAAGATTGGACCAAAGGGTGATAACTATGCTGTTGTTAATAAAGGCGGGAAAATGATCAGTACTGATGAACGTAATGGGTAATAGTGGAGATCAATACGCTGTTTTTAATAAAGAGGTGAGGGGGCACAAATAATTAATCAACCATAAATTTGATTGTTTAAACGTTTGTAAAGGAAGTTTAAGGTACACCATCTTGTACATAGTGAGACGAGTAGATATTTGTATACCCTTGTAAAAATATAGTTAAGGATTGTCAGCATATTGTGTATAGTAGTGATGTCAAGTATATATTTACTTTTATATTTACATTTACATTTCTAACATTTTATTAGCGTAATATTTATTTCAATTTATTAGTCCATAATTAAAATATGTATTGTTTAAAACGTGCAAATTCACGAAACGAGACATTCTAGCTATATATTTATTTCAATTTATCATTTTATAATTAAAATAAGTTTTGAGATTTTAATTGCTATAAATTATAATCCTATTCACCATTATGTGATATGGTCGTCTTTATTAAAAGTAGGACGTTAAACCACATTTCAGTCTGTCATGTCATTATATTTTTAAAAGTGTCTATATTCCTGTATTATGTACTCATCTGTAATGTTTACTGTGTTTTTGTGTTGCTGTATATAAAGCTATATTTATCATGGAATCTTTATTGTTATTCGTTAAGTCAAATTTGCCACGGTTTAAGAGATACCTCACTATTCCTTACAACTGAAATTGTGCACCAGGTAAGATTAAACCAAGGCCTGGGTGATTGTATTCATTGATATTAAAACGACTGATAATATAAAAGAAAAACGAAAATATGCAAATTGAAAAAAAATGTTTACAAAAGAATAAAATTACAATCATCCATGCATCAACACGTTGATAAAGCGACGCACGTATTATAAAGAAACACCCAATACATCCTCTCTCAGTTTTAAAGATGCATGTAGAAGCTAAATCTGTCTGGCTTCAAATGTTCTATTAATTATTATTTATGATATCAATGATGATGGAATTTAGTGTTTAGACATTTATTCACGTGACCAACCCATAAACATATCTCCAGAACATCGGATGGCTTCGATATTGAATGGATTAGGCCATTAGAGTAATATAACCGATTAACGATGAAATGGAAGTTACTTAAGAAAATGTTTGATAATCGAGGCTTCGTTTATTATTAATGCAATGTTACTTGACAATCGCTATTGCTTGTCAAAACTTCAAACATTCAAAACTTGGCTCAGAATAATGTAAAGTGACTGGAATTCTCAATATATTCATTTAGTATTATTTATTTTTAAACTATTATAGCCAGTACGACCAACTATTTATCTAAATCTTACATAATGTATCTTTAAACAGTAGCCGTCAATTTTACTTCTTGTATCAATGAATCATAAAGATACAACGGTTTCCAACCAATCAGTAAATATAGCCTAGCCAATGGTTTAACACCACCATGCACTTACTATATTACTGTTCCGCACCGACTAGGATAATGAAGAAATACAGCGTGCTGTGAGGCAATTTTGCCCGAAGCGGCACTATGACCTACTCTTAAATCGAATTCCATCTGGAATATGTACAGTGTGCTATGAGGTAAATTTGACCTGAACAGCGGCACTAAGGCCTACTCTTATTTCGAATTCAAAATGCCAAGGGTTCTTTTATATGCATCTCGTTTTTTCGTCACATCCGAAAGTCTAGAAACTGTTCTTTGTGAGGTTATGCACGCTGTACCAATAACACGGGGAAGTTTTTCGGTCAACACCTGGTTAACGAGCCAGCGTCTTACTCACTGAGCCGCTGTGGTCACCATAAACAGGTGAAATAACCGTGATATGTGCTTTAATTAAAGCCTATGAGCTGGATTTGAGCGATAGAGGAATCCAGTTGAAAAATTGATTTTCTAGTAGAAATATCAGTTCATTCCGTTCAGTATATGTTTACAACTAGTAGCAATATCAGTATACAAAAGGTTCACTTGCTTTCAGTATAACAAATATATGACGAAGCAAAATTGTGTTAATTTATGCTGCTCTTTGTGTAAATGGTTCACTTTAATTTGTTTTTTGTTGGATGACGTCATAATATTACATATAAAGTTACAACCTTCATATTGTTGATCAAGGAAGGATATAATTTATCACATTCTAATAAGAGAATAAATCTACAACTTGAGTTTTATTTTGATTAACACATGGATTACTATATACTGTTAATCTCGTGATATATTTGTTGTTTAAAATATTTACCTATAGGAGTTAGAGAAATATGCTGCGATTAGACTTAATAATACTGATATTAGCTAGTATATGGGTAGTAGGTAAGTTAACTTCTTATGGCTGTCTAATTATAATAATAGAGTCAATTTGTTATTAATCGATTTGTCAAATCTGACCGTTTTCATTAGCAGAAAAGTAGGACGTTAACTTGACATATCTGACAATAATTCATCCGACCCGGGGATATAAATAATTATATTTTACACGATAGCCTGAGATAGGCATTCATTTTTTTTCATCCATCTACATAAAATGTAATGTTGTTCTATCGTAAGTTTTAACCTCCCCTTCCATAGATGGTGATATCTCAGACAGTCAATTTATCCATTTTGTGTAAGCTCATTTCGTACGGATAGAGGGGGTGAAAGTGTTATGTGTCGCCCTGGCATTCGTTCGCTCATTTAAAAATCATCTTAAAGCGAGAGCATCAACCACAATGGGATCATTTGAGAGAGAGAGAGAGAGAGAGAGGGAGAGAGAGACGGGGTTTGATGTCCATTCGACATCAATTCAGGTCTAACATATGGTTCAATTTTATTTCAATAATTCACTTGCGCGTAGGGGTCTTTAACCCTAACCCTATTCCCTAACCCTGGCAGGGTTAGGAAAGCCGAGGACCTGGAGAAAACCCACGAAGTTGGACAGGCGACCTTACGCCTTGTCACGTACAACCGTGGAAGCGAAACCGCGCCAATTGTCTCAATGACATACCTTATGATACAGCGCGCACGTGCTAAACATTTGGTCATCCAACACCACTGGGATCATTTGTAAATTCGGCAGTAAGTACCTGAAGGATATAGTTGTCAGTCATTTCACAATATATTTACCTATCCAGGTGTGTATTTGTTTTCAAATGAGACAAATTTTTATTATAAATTGTAATTGTTTATTATATGTAACCTGATTCTATATCTTAAATATTGATATTTTAAATACTAATCCCTGATATTTGTTATACGCCCACATTGAAATGGGTTGTATATTGTCGTCGCCCCCGTCAGCCGCTCCGGCGTCCGAAATTGCTTGTGGACACCCTAGAGGCTAAATTTATACAGTGTTTAAGGTCATTGATTTTCAACGATTTCAAACGATAATTAATGCCAGAATTATGCCCCTTGATCACTTTGAGGGGAAAACATAATATCCAATTAAATTTAAACTTTGTACACAGTGTTTAAGGTCATGAGACGAAGAAGCCTATTAATATTCGTAGATTCTGTGAACGTGGTCTTTCCCAATCAGGAACGTTAAAACAATGATAATTACTTAGTAAATTATTGTGGATTTGTGTTGGTTTGGTTAAAACTAATCTCGTCCTGTTTTCTCGCACTCTGGCACTTGATTTCGTGCTTTCGCGAATTCTCACTGCGAACATATAACATGGCCCCAATAAGCGATGATACTGGATAGACGATGTCACGGGGTCAAAAGTCACCAGCCCAGTTGGAGCAGAACAGTAGGAGGTTAAAAGCCTCATTTCAAAACTCACCAATAAGCTAATCATCCAAATCTTCAATAACAACTGGACACAATACTGATTTGATTGTCCAATAATTTGGTTCAAATTTGTTTATGAACGAATTAAGTCACACAGGTTTGTTTTATCTTTTCAGATAGTTTTAATTGCCGTCCAGGTGGTAAGAAAATGTTTTTAGAACTAAACTTAAGGATTAAACATGTGTTATCCGTAACAAAGTCACTCAAACATGAAACAACCCGATAAGGTTGGCCTGATTAGCTAAAGTATCTTTCAGTGGTGTCAATTGCAAAAAAATAGTTCGTTAAACAAAGTGGAAAGTTGCTCTCAGTCCAACAGTTTTGATTTTCAACAGATTTAAATACGATTGGCACTTAATGATTTAATTTAGAAATGGATAACCGAGACTTTGTGTATTATCGTAAGAACGGTAGCAATGACAATCGTGACTACACTGTTTTCAACATACTCCCTTTTCATTGTTTCTCTAAATCTTACATAAAGTATTTATGATAAGTACATCTGATCAAGCTAACGTATATATCAACAAACATTGAAATAGCCCATTTTAGCTGTTTATTATGTTACAGTCTGTTTATCATTGAATTATAAACTAAATCTTGATCTGTTCCACATCAGTACGCTATGACTAATAAATCTTGACGTGACATTTTATATTTTATATTACAGCCAAGTTTATACCAGTATGTAGTGACAAGTCTACAACTGGTAATATTGTTTATCTGTCTTGACGTGACATTGTATATTTTATATTACAGTTAATTTTATACCAGTATGTAGTGATAAATCTATAACTGGTAACAGCGTTCATCTGTCTGGTGTTAGAGACTCTGATGATACTACACAATGTTCATGTTCTTTATCTACTGGATTACCAACCAATGTTACAATAACTCCAAATACGATACCACATGGATGTTATTATAAATTCCAATTTCTTTATATGACTGGGGTCAGGATATATTCATGTAGTCAGATATACGAATCAGTTATACCAATACAAAATGGTGGTAGCGTCGAGATAAACTTATTACATAATGATACAAGTACACCGAGAGTATTCACGGCCTGTGTGCAAATAAAATCAGGTAATAATATAATTATATATTCTAAAGAGAATCCAGGATTTTCATATATTAATGAGTTGTAGTCACAATTCACCACCGTCTAACGCGGTAAAAGCCCACGACGGGCTGCATTATACGACAACATTCCTGTTTGAATGAAATATGAAATGGCTGAAATGGCTGTAATATGGCACCCCTAAAGTAATAGTCTTCATCCTCTATTTGAAATAAATAACAGGGACCGTATCAAGAAAATCTGTATTTAAAAACATGCAGTCAGTAGAGTCCTTACAAACATTCACGAACGTTCGGTCTACGAAATGAATGATACTGCCACATCTGAACTCTGTCTCATAAAAAGTACAGTCTGGAAGTAGGGCATGCAGGGACAATAAATGTACCAAGTTTCAAGTCGACCTCACTCCACACCTATAATACGTTAACATTATGAATGTGGACCATTTGGGGCCTGAACCCCTAAATTATGCATGGACAAGGTGAGAAATTTGACTGCTCTGTTTATACGCAAATATACAAATTAATCATTCTCTCATAATTCTCAAGTTGATTTTGTTTCATTTTAGCATCCTCATCATCTAAAAGACTGTCATGTGGTAAATCAAGATGGTCAACAACAAGCTATAAACCTACTGATATAGAAACATCTTTCACAGAAAGTATAAGTTAGTTGTTATTATTCTGTTGTATTTGTTTTTACACATAACACGAGTTATTTGTTCCAATCGTTCACTTCTTGTATGTTTCATCTTATCTCATTCCACCCAAGAACAGTTTTCATTGTCAATCCATCAACCCGGTCTTCAAATGGGGTTTAACGTCCTACTTTTCTGCACTGAAGGGATTAATGAAGACGAACAGGTGCCATACAATACTGAGGAACAATTTGCCTCAGCGGCGTTATGGCCAACTCGAATTATCGAATTCCAACCGACAAAGTTTCTTTTTCGTGCTCACCAACGTCCACACTGGGCCTCGGTTTTTCGTCCCATCCGAGCAACTATACGATGTCCCTTGCAAGGCCTCTTGTCCTACACCACTGGCAAAGGGGAACCATGCCGGAAAATTGCAATGAACTTTCTCGAGCAACACCGGGATCGAACAAGGGACCCCCGGGTTAGCGAGCAAGACATCATCCTCACTGAGCCACCTCGGCTCACAAAAGCTGGAAATAGAAACCGCATACTACCAAACAAACAAATGCCAGAAACAACCAAATAACACCACTACTTGGTGGTAAAATCAGCACAAGATGTGCGTCCGGCTTTAGGTTTCTATTCGATTTCAATAGCCAACTTTTCAATGCATAATTGTTTACATCATACTTTGAGTATGTTAATGGATACTTGATAAAGATAAAAATATAAACATGGATCTATTCCCTTCCATTGATAATAGCGACACCCGGTGATGAATCTAACCAACCAACATATGGTAGTGAATCTAACCAACCAACATCTGATAGTGAATCTAACCAACCAACAACACCAACATCTAAGAATGATAACTCGAGTAAGTCCATCTTTATTTCGGAAAGAGACCATCCAAATGTATTTTTTCATTTCTAACAAGCGTAGTTAGATATAAATAGCGATAACCATTTCTAAAAAGCGTAGTTAGATATAAGTAGCGACGAGAGTTGATAACCATTTCTAGAAGATCTGATATCACTTCTTCCTTAGGGAATTAAAATAGCCATGAACGTAGGTTTACCATACGTTGAGAAGATTTATGGTGATTATCTGACAGTAGTTGTAATCTTGTATTAAAGGTGTTTGTTACCTTCCACTTTTTAAACTAGAAGTTATATTTTTCAAAGAATAAATCGTTACTACATCATATGATGTTGAAACTTTAGTATTGTTGAAAAGATTTATATATAAATTTTATATATTCCAGTATCTGCTATAATTGGTGGAGCTGTAGGAGGATTAATTGTGATTATCGTCATCATTATTATCATAGTAATCTGGTTAGTACCATTTCTATATTACATTCCTTGTAATGTATCATCAATATTCCAAGTATCATCTCTATCTATTCCCTGTAACCTATAATTTTACCATGGTAATATGGATAGTATCAACTCTATATCCCAATGATTTATAATGCAGAATTATCAAAGTTATAATAGCAACACTAACTTACTTATTAGTTTCATCATTTTAACACATTTAATAATGAAAGACATATATTCGGTATTAAATGTTGACTAGAGATAAAAGCCAATGACAGAATTATTCGGTGGCATTACGATTTGAATTGTTTGTGAACGTACGATATCAGGTTACAGATATGTCGAACCCAATCACGAACAGGCAAGTACAGAGGCTTGTTGTAATAATAGTCTAAAGTTGCTGTTCTTACAGCCTCCATGACATAGTGATCGTGGAAAGTTATAAGTATACGCTAAATGAGTATTCTAAAACGGCTTATCTCATTGTAGTAAACCTAATTCAACAAAGGGTTATTTTTCCTACAACAGTCGTACGCCAGCTTCGATTGTAAAGTGCGTTTTAAAGTAAAGATATCCGAAGCCTCTTTGGGTTTTACTAGACAACAACTCACTTCACTTTATTTGTGTATATTGTAATAAATACACGTTTTATCAGTCAGGGCAACTCACTTCAACTTATTTGTATATTATAGTGTAATACGTAAGAAGAATGGGGACAATATTTATGACAGTCCAGAAGCTGCAGAGACTGGTCCTCATCCTTACCAGATCATTCACAGATAACAGATATGGGGAGATAACTCTGACTGATAAACATAATAATGAATTGGTTCATCAGGAGAATGATCCATATACCAGTATTGATAATGATATAATTAAACCTAGCAACGGTAACCAAGGAATGGAATGTCTAGAAAATGATCTTTATATTAGTTCTGATGATGTCACTGATGACGTGGCGGTTGATGATAAACTTAAACCTAGCAACGGTAACCAAGGGATGGAATATCTAGAAAATGATCTGTATATTAGTTCTGATGATGTCACTAATGACGTGGTGGTTGGTGATAAACTAAAAGTAAAACTTCCGGTTGTGGCGGAACACGCCCGGGTTAACACATCTAACACGAACCAAATCACGAATGGGATCAAGGAGAGAAAAATACACTGTTGTTAATAAAGAGTGGGGGGGAATGATCAATAAGGATAAACGTAATGAACAATTTAAAATAGGGCCTAGTGCAGATAAATACACTGTTGTTAATAAAGAGGGGAAGAAGAACAATGATGAAACTGAAGGAAAATTTAAAATAGGGCCTAGTGGAGATACATACGCTGTTGTTAATAAAGAGGGGAGAGGAACCTTAAATAATTATGTTGTAATTATGTTGAATGTTTGTCACCGTGCTGAACCTTTCAATCCGGTGTCTAGCTAATCCAAAACGCTTGATACGTCTACTAAATGTTATATTGTATATTGAGATTTGCTTATAATTTCTACAGGTGCCGATGTAATGAGACCCCACCCCATCATGAGAACCAAGTAAGCACCCCTGAGGTTCACCAAAAACAATAACAAAATCAATAACAATCTTAAATTAACATGAACTTTATGTCAACTTGAATAAAACTGTTTTCCGGCGAGATAACGATCGGCGAGGAACTATAATAGGGAATACGATCAATGGTTCAGCGAGGAGCTCAGTGTTATAGCCACTATTGTCTTGACATTCATTGTCCGGTGGGACTGTGGATGGCGCCCTCGATTTTAACAGACCCCCCCCCTTCCCCACCCATCGATTCACAGCTTCTAGATCCACTACAGAATGTCTATAAACTATAATCCTATTCATCATTGTGTAATGGTTATAATTGTTATAAATTATAATCCTATTCATCATTGTGTGATATCCCCGTCTTCATTAAATGTATATATATATCATGGTGTCTTTATTGTTATTTGTACGTCAAATATTGCACGGTTTAAGAGATACCTCACGATTCTTTACTAGTGAAATTGTGCACCAGGTAAGATTAAATCAAGTCCTGGCTGATTATGTTCATTGATATTAAAACGCATGAAAATACAAAAGAAAAAAGAAAATATGCAAATTGAATAAAATTGTTTACAAAAGAATAAAGTTACAATCATGCATGTATAAACACGAACATAAAGCGATGCACATATTTATAGTAACACCCAATCTATAATTATCATACACATCCTCTTTTAGTTTTAAATATGCATTATGTAAAAGCCAGCCAACGTCTTACTCACTGAACCACTGCGGTCCCCATGAGTAGGCGAAATAACCTTGATATGTACTTTATTTAAAGTTCGCTGAACATGATATGGGCAATACATGGTAAAGTTGAATTTCTACTAGAAATATCAGTCCAATAGTTTTAATCCCGTTCAGTATTTAGAAAGATATGATGAAACTAAATTATGTTGATATATGCTACCCCTTATATAAATGGTTTACTTTAATTTTTCTATCTACTCGCTTTACTTTCTTGGTGGAATCTGTCGACAAACAAATAGATCCAGATATCTTGCAAGTTGAAGTTTCCGGTGATGTTTGTTTACTTTTAATGTAACGCCCGCTGCACCTAAAGTTGATTGCGATCGGTCTTCCTTTAAAATGATGTATTCTGGGTACATATTAGCGATGGGTCTGGCTTTAAAATGATGTATTCTAGGTACCTATTAGCGTGGATTAAGCTGTGGGAAATTTGATATAATCCGGAAAATGCAAATCGCGCATCGTTTATAGGGACAAACATTAAAGGGACGGGTCGTCTTCTGCCGTTTGTCTCATCACTACTAGAAATAGACACCAAAATAAACAAATTGTGGTCAAAGAGGTAATCCTCTTGTGGTCAAAGAGGTACTCTTTTAAATTATAGAACCGCAACTCTTATATACAAATGGTATAATATTACAAATGACATCTTCTTTTATTACTAGTTCTTCGGGTGGAACGTAAAACAGAGGTAGCGTAGACAGGTTGGCGTGAACGTAAAAGAATCCTTGATAGGTAGGTGGAATTTGATGTAAGCGTAGGTCGTAGCGCCGATGTCATTTTACAATATGCCACAAAGCACACTGCATGACGTATACCCGTCTTTATTGGCCCTGTCGGTTTTATTTTAAATTATACGACCGCTACTCGCCTATTTTAGGATTCTGTGAAATTGTATTATTATTATCTATGGCCTCTTCTTTTTTACACGTTAATAATAAATACAGGGTGACTGCACCACACACAAGCAGTTACACAAGACAAACCTATGGACAGGACACATTATGATATTTTCAATATATTCCTTTTTCATTATCTAGTTTTTTATCTACATCTTACATAATGTATCTTTAAGTAAGTATCTTAACCAGGATGTCTGTGTCAGTATATATATATATACACACCATCAAGTTACAACATTCATATTGTTGATCAAGATAGGATTGAAGAAGATAGATCTACCACTAGAGATTTATTTTCACTAAGAAAAGTTTTATAAACACATGGATTACTACATACTGTAAACTGATAATCTGTTGATATAGATGTTGTTTAAAATATTTACCTATATGAGTAACAGAAATATGATTCCATCAGATTTACTAATACTGATATTAGCTAGTATATCGGTAGTAGGTAAGTTAATTTATTATGTTCGTCTTATGCCTGTCTAATTATGATAGAACCAATTTGTTATTACTCGATTTGTCAAATCTGACCGTTTTCTTTAGCAGAAAAGTAGGACGTTAAATTGTCATATCTAACAATAATTCATCAGACCTGGAGATAAAAATAATTATATTTTACACGATAACCTGAGATAAAGATTCATTTGTGGACACCCTAGGGGCTAAATTTATACACAATGTTAAAGGTCATTGATTTTCAACGATTTCCTACGATAATTAATGCCAGTTATGTTCCTTGATCACTTTGAAAAATCTTGTGAACGACCTGGAGGGAAAAGATAATATCCAATTGACTTTCAACTTGTACACAGTGTTTAAGGTCGCGAGACGAAGAAGCCTATTGATATTCGTAGATTCAGTGAACGTGGTCTTTCCCAATCAGGAACGTTAAAACAATGATAATTAATTAGTGTATTATCGTGGATTTGTGTTGATTTGGGTAAAACTAATCTCGTCTTGTTTCCTCGCACCCTGGCACTCGATTTCGTGCTTTATCGACTTCTCACTGCGAAAATGTAACATGGACGCAATATGTATCCACAGAGAAGCGGTGCTGCTGGATAGACGATGGTCACGGGGTCAAAAATCACCATCGCAGTCGGAGCAGAACAGTAGGAGGTTAAAATCCTCATTTCAAAACTCACCATTAATCTAATCATGCAAATCTTCAATAACGACTGGATACAATACTGGTTTGATTGTACAATAATTTGGTTCTAATTTGTTTATGAACGAATTAAGTCACAAAGTCTGTTTTGTCTTTTCAGATAGTTTCAATTGCTTTTCAAGTGGTAAGAAAATATTTTTAGATCTACATTTAAGGATTAAACATGTGATATCCGTAACAAAGTCACTCAACCATGAAGTGATCCAATTGGGTGGACATGATTGGCTGCACAAAATATCTTTAGTGGTGTCAATTTCAACAAATAGTTCGTCAAACTGAGTGGAATGTTGCTCTCAGTCCAACATCCTAATCTGATCCATGTGTTAATACATTATATCAATCAAAACTTCTCACAATGAGACTATATCATTAACAGAAGGGGTGCCGATTATGTTGTAAAATAATAACAAAGGCAAATCGATTATTAAAGATGCATTATTCAACAGTTAAATCTTCCTCAAATATTATATAAATCATTAATTTTCATACATTTATCTACATACCAAGCCAATAACCAACTCTCTAGATCATCGGACAGTTTTGATTTTCAGCAGATTTAAATACGATTGGCAATTTATGATTTAATTTATAAATAGATAACCGAGACTTTGTGCATGACAATCAAGACTATACTGTTCTGAATTTTCAACATAATCCATGTTAATTGTTTCTCTAATCTTAAGGGCCGGTCACACAGGCTTCCGCGAGTTGATCACGAGTGTATCGCGAGGAAGAACTGTCAAACGCGAAGTAAGCGCGGTCACAAGTGAATGACACGTGAATGAAACGTGGTGGACTCGCGAATAACAAGTGCGCACACGCGCGAAAAATTTTACACGCGCACGGAGTCCGATTTTATTTTTGAGCAGCACAAAAATTAGGCGCAACGGCCACCGCGTGTCGCACACGTGGTGTAAACGCTGTACAAACGCGGGCCAAACGCGATAACACGTGGTACACTCGCGGATCACAAGTGGACGACAAGTGGTCACTCGCGGGCAAACGCAAAATTTCTTCGTGTGACTGCGTGTGTAGCACTTGTCATCCACTTGTGATCCGCGTGTCTACAGCGTTCCTACCACCTGTGATAGCGTGTGCTCCACGTGTAAAAGGCTTCCTCAGGGATTGTGTCACGAGTCATCCGCGGGCCATTCGCGTGTTTTCGCGTTGAATCGCGATTGAACCACGACTGATTCGCGTGTCGTCCACGACCCAATCTCGTTTGTACCACTAGTTATTTCTGCTATAAAAAGATCGCGTGTGGGCCATTTTTCATCAGTTGTGATCAAGACGTTGAAGAGGCAACATGGATCCGGCGCATCGTAATGCTTTGGTTATGCTGTTCCAGCAACATCAGAACCAGCTACTTCAGGTTCAGCAAGCCCTGGATGTCAGAAGAAGAGTGAGGAGAAGACAAAGAAGAGTCAGAGCCATATGGGTGCGCCAATGGATCAACCGCAGGCCACAGCTGGGGCTGTATGACAGGCTGATGGTGGAGCTGAGGAACGAGGACCCCCGTGCCTTCAAGAACTTTATGAGAATGCCTCCGGTGATGTATGATGAACTGGTGGAAAGGCTGACACCAACACTGACGAAGGAGACAACCAATTGGCGAGCTCCCTTGGACCCAGGCTTAAAGGTGGCCATCACCTTGAGGCACCTTGCATCAGGCTCGAAATACAGGGAGATGCAATCGTGCATGTATATCGTGAGGAGATGCTGTCACCTCCAGAAACCCCCGAACAGTGGCAACAAATTACAGACGATTGGCTGAACAGGTGGAATTTCCCTCACGTGATTGGAGCTATAGACGGCAAACACATAGCATGCAAGGCCCCTCCCAACTCTGGCTCTGAATTCTACAATTACAAGGGTTTTTTCAGCATTATTCTCTTGGCTGTGGTGACCAGTGATTACAAGTTCTTATGGGTGGACGTGAGTGGCAAGGGGGCCTCATCAGACGCGCATATCTACAATGCCAGTGAGTTTAAAGAAGGCTTACAGAACGGTGACATTCTTGGATTCCCTCAGCCTACTCCCCTCCCAGGGGACACAGAAGATCTACCTTACTTCCTGGTGGGTGACGATGCATTTGGATTGAGAAGCTTTATGATGAAGCCCTTTGGGAACAGACAGCTATCAAGAAAACAAAGAATCTTCTACTAAAGATTGTCAAGAGCAAGACGGGTGGTGGAAAATGCCTTTGGCATTCTTGCCAACAGATTCCAGGTGTTACTAACAACAATGATGCACCAACCAGACACGGTTAGGCTCATTGTCAAGGCATGTGTGGTCCTCCACAACCTGATGCGCACGAGGTATCCTGTCATGCAAAACAGACTTGTTGACATTGAACGCCCTGATGGAGCCCTGGTGCCTGGTGAATGGCGTCGAGGAAAGAATCTGGATGACACAAGACCTGAGAACCTACCAGGAACCAACAGAGACTACAAATTGGCCAAGGCTCAGAGGAATCTCATAATGGAATGGTGTTCATCCCCTGCTGGGAGTGTTGCATGGCAAGACAACATGCTCCTTGACTAGTTCTTGTGGAAGTGACAGTGTGGACAAATGATAGTGTTTGGGGGCATTGTGGCAGTATGTGTTTGGGGGGGGGGGGCAGCATTTGTGGCAATAAAACTTTGATAAAACTATTATATAATAAAATAAATGAAAAAAATCCTTCTTTGATTTCGGTGCCATGATTTTGATCTTTACTCTACGGAATATTGATCGATACTGATCCAGAACACCGGACGCGGCGGCTTTTATACACGCGGGCGGCAAGCGGAGCACAAGTGATCGGCACGTGATTCACACGCGGAGCACATGTGGAGCACAAGTGATACACACGCGCTGCGTGTGACCCCATTTTCTGACCACAAGCGCTCACACACGGAGGACTCGTGGTGGACACGCGATGCACACGCGCGCGTGTGGTCCACTTGTCATTCGCGTGTCCAGCATGTCTGAGACAAATTGGTTGATTTTCACCGCGTGTAGAAAAAATTTGCAAAATTTATAGCAAAATTACACGTGATCAACTCGCGGAAGCCTGTGTGACCGGCCCATTACATAATTATAAGGTATTTATTACAAGTACATCTGATCAAGCTAACGTATATATCAACAAACATTGAAATAGCCCATTTTAGCTTTTTATTATGTTATAGTCTGTTACTCTGTTTTGAAATGTCTAAAATTGGCAAAACTGTTGATCAATCTTAAAATGTTTAATTTTTGGTTACAATCTATGTTATTGGTAAATGGTTTATCATGGATGATGGTAAATGGTTTATCATGGATGATGAATTATGAAATAAATCTGGATATATTACACACCAGTAAGTATAGTGACTGATAAATATTGACGTGACATTGTATATTTTATATTACAGTTAATTTTATATCAGTATGTAGTGATAAATCTATAACTGGTAACAGTGTTCATCTGTCTGGTGTTAGAGACTATGATGATGCTACACACTGTTCATGTTCTTTATCTACTGGAACATCAACCAATGTTACAATCAATACTATTCGGATAGCAAGTAAATGCCGATATAAATTCCAGTTCTTATACATGACTGGAAGCTGGGATTATCTATGTAAGCAGAGATCAAAGATATCAATAAATACTGACGGCAGTATTGAGATAAATTTATTACCAGGTACAGTGAATAGTGGTGGATTCGCGGTCTGTCTGAAAATAACATCAGGTAATAATATAATTATATATTCAGGTATAGAATCCAGGATTTTCATATCTCCATATATTGGTGAGTTGCAGTCACCATTCGCCGACCTCTAAAGCGGAAAAGCCCGCGACGGGCTGCATTATACGACCACATTCTTGTTTGAATGAAATATGAAATGGCTGAACTGGCTGTAATATGGCAACCCTAAAGTAATATACACAAAAACACATACTTATGGAAAAAACAGCTACTTATTTATTTTGGCGACGTTTCGAAGAGTATTCTCTCAACGTTATCAAGCTAATAGTCTCTATGTCAAATGAATAACAGGGACCGTATCAATAAAATATGTTTACATTATGAATGTAGACAATCCAAACTCACTCTGTAATCTAACACTAACATCTCAAGAAGTTAAAGACATGATCTTATCATTAAATACCTCCAAAGTTACTGGGCCTGATCATATAAATGGCAAATTATTAAATTCTATCTCATCTGAAATATGTAACCCCTTATGCAATCTCTCCCTTTCGACAAAAACTGTACCGATAATCTGGAAATCAGCTAATTTTATTTCAATACTGAAAAAGGGCGAACCTTCTGAATGCGGTAATTACATACCAGTTTCCCTTTTAAGCATCATTGTTAAAATTTTCGAAAAATGTATTTACAAGCATGTCTATAACTTAATGAGGGATAATGCAGTCATAACTAACTTATATAGCGGTTTTATGCACGGTGACTCAACTACCTATCAACTAATTAACCTTAAGCATTTCTTTTGTCAAGTCACAGACGAGGGTCAGTATACGAGGACAGAATTCTGTGACATTAGCAAGGCATTTGACAGGATGTGGCATGTTGCACTGTGTAAGAAGCTTGGGGCGCCTGGAATCAGAGGTTACTTGCATCAATGGGTCAAAAATTATTTGTATAACAGAAAGCAAAGCGTCGTTGTAAGTGGAGTCTCCTGTGATCCTAAGACCGTCCATGCTGGTGTACCACAGGGCTCTGTCCTCGGCCCTCTTCTCTTTCTTATATATATAAATGATATCGTTAAGAACAAAAACTCGAATATACGAATTTTTTGCGGATGACACTAGCATCTATCTAAAAATTAATGACCCAGCCGCATGTGCGACTGTCTTAAATAGTGATCTTGAAATGTTAAACAAATGGGCAAAAACGTGGTTGGTTTCTTTTAACCCAATAAACGATACCCACTGTTACCTACACTAAATTTGGACGGAATTCCTATTAAAGAATTTTGTCAACACAAGCATTTGGGGATTGACATTTCAGACAATGGGACAAACACGTTAACATTATTTTGACTAAAACGAGTAAATGATTAATTGTCTTAGGTCTTGAAAACTATATACCTCTTTTATCACTCTGCAAGAGAGGCGAAGGCGTCACAAACTCATCTTAATGTACAAAATTATTAATCAGCTAACCCCTCTATACCTCCACAATTTAATTCAGTTTTCCAAAGCTCCTTATAATCTTTGCAATAGCAATAATTTAACTGATTACTGTTGTCGAACAACTTTATTTTCTAAATCCTTTATACGTTCTACCATAAAAGAATGGAATAACCTTGATATAAATATTAACAATTCGACCTCTATAAGTATATTTAAAACTAAAATGATTGATAAAGATAAAAATTTACTTTGGCAAAGGTAAAAATTTAAATATTATATAGTCGTCTTCGTCTCTCTTGCAGTGACTTAATGGGGCATACATTTTTTAGGCATATTTCGGACAGCCCCGAGTGTGATCGTTGTCATTCCTTCAAAGATACCGATCTTTTTCTTTTACATTGCTCCTTACATTCTGATCCAAGCAAAATATCTATAAATATTTTACCACCGAATTTTATCAATACACACAATATGTTATACGGTGTAAGCAGCAGTTATATTTCGTTAGCCATCTTTGAAAAGGTCCTCATGTTTTTGACAGCAGCAGAAGGTTTTAAGATCAGTGTAACATCTATATCGATCAAAATGCGAATATGAACAACTGCGTGGCCAATGTGTAAATATGTATATATAAAATGTTGTTTTGTTGTTTACTCACTTATTTTTTTTACATATCCATATTAATTCTTGTATTTAGGAGAGAGGTCATATAGGCCATGCCTGTTCCCCTAATCCCTTTCAATTTCTGAATAAAATAGTGTTTAAAACAAATGTGGACATATTGAAATGGATCGACCATCTGAACCCATAAATTGAGCATGTACAGGTTCGAGAAATTCCAGATCTTCTAATTCGACTGCTTGGTATATACGCAAATACACAAATTGTCATTCATTCACTTATAAATGTTTGTTTTCTTTTCAGCATCATCATCATCATCTGTAAGACTGTCATGAGGTAAATCAAGATGGTCAACAACTTAAGCTATAAACCTACTGATATAGAAACATCTTTCACAGAAATGTTTGTTTTCTTTTCAGCATCATCATCATCTGTAAGACTGTCATGTGGTAAATCAAGATGGTCAACAACAAGCTATAAACCTACTTATATAGAAACGTCTTTCACAGAAAGTATAAGTTAGTTGTTATTATTCTGTTGTATTTGTTTTTACACATAATACGAGTTATTGGTTCCAATCCTTCACTTCTTGTACGTTTCATTCCACGAGAGAACATTATCAATCCGGTCTTCAAATGGGTTGAACGTCCTACTGTTCTGCACTGAAGGGCTTCATGAAGATGGAGATACACCATCCAATATTATGGCCTACTCTTTTTTTTATTCCAAACACCAACGTACACACTGGACCTCGGTTTTTCGTCCCATCTGAACGACTATACGTTGTCCCTTTCAAGGCCCCCTGTCCTACACCACTGGCAAAGGGAAGCCATGCTGGAAAATTACAATGAACTTTTTCGGCCAACATCGGGAACGAAAAAGTGACCTCCGAGTTAGCGAGCAAGACATCTTCCTCACGGAACCACGGCGGTTCACAAAAACAGGAAATGGAAACTGCATATTACCAAACAAACAATTGCCAGAAACAACTAAATGTAAGACCTTTGCTAGAATTTTTGCTCTTATAATCAATGATGGCATTATATTGTATCAATTAATTGTATTAAATGTGCACTAAAATATGAGTGACAGATGGGTATATAAAATTGAGTTATAGAACCAAAACATAGCTGGTTCTATTTGTCAACAACATGTTACCAGATTACACGTGATTGGAAATTTACCTATTGCATCCTTTGGTTTAAGTGACCAATCATATCAGTAATTGCACAGGTTCAGTGTCATGATTAGCCTAGTATGTACGTGATGTAAATAGGTCCTATAAAAGAAATCATGGCAAACTTTTAAGCAGATTTCATTTGATTCCGGAGAGATTACCATGTGAGTTCCTAGACAGCAGACAGATTCTGGAAGGGAAAAGATGTAACAATTTCTAACAGCAGAATGGCCGGCTAGTGTTTGAGAATGACTTTAGTATTGTAATCTGTACTATGCTTGTATCCATGTATCCGGCTATGATATATAAAATGTACAAACGAACTGTTGCATTGTTATTCCTGGTAAGAAAAACTTATGTCTTAAGAAAACAGTAAGGAGTAAATACACAACGTGAAAATACTAGAAGATCACAAGGCTACTAAGATATGTAGTAAGAAAAGATGCATGGGTCGTACGTAGGATGTGGCTACCGGTTTTGGTTCCCTCGCTTTCCACGTCTGACAGGAAGGCCCATGGTACTACACAGATAACACCAGTACTTGGTGGTAAAATCAGCACAAGATGAGCGTCCTGCTTTAGGTTTATAGTCATTTTCTATAGCCAGCTTTTAAATGCATATTATTGTATAAATCTTACTTTGAGTATTGGATACTTGATCAACATGAGTCTATTTATTTCTCATTAATAATAGCGCCATCCGGTGATGAATCTAATCAACCAACATCCAGTAATGTAACTAACCAACCAACATCTCGTAGGGAAGCAAACCAACCCACAAGAATAACATTTGGGAATGAATCTGAGCAACAGACAACACCAACATCTAAGAATGATAACTCGAGTAAGTCCATCTTTATATCGGAAAGAGTCCACCCAAATGTATTTCTTTATTTCTAAAAAGCGTAGGTAGATATAAGTAGCGACGAGAGTATGATAACCATTTCTAGAAGATCTGGTATCACATCTTCCTTAGGGAATTAAAATAGCCATCAACATAGCGAAGATTTATGGTGATTATCTGACAGTGGTTGTAATCTTGGATTAAAGGAGTTTGTTACCGTACACAATTTAAACTAGAAATTATCTTTTTGAAAGAATAAATCGTTATTATATCTTATCTTGGAACTTGTTGAAGAAGTTTTACGAATGTTATATATTTCAGTGATTGCTATAATTGGTGGAGCTGTAGGAGGGTTGATTGTGATAATCGTCATCATTATTATCATAGTAATCTGGTTAGTATCATCTCTATATTACATTCCTTGTAATTTATCATCAATATTGCCTATATCATCTCTATATATTCAATCTATATTACCATGGTCATATGGTTAGTATCAACTCTATATCCTCTATGATTTATAATGCAGAATTATCAAAGTTATGATAGCTACGCTAACTTACTTAATAGTTTCATCATTTTAACACATTTAATAATGAAAGTCGTATCCTTGGTATTAAATGTTGACTAGATACAAAAGCCAATGACAGAATTATTCGGTGCCATTACGAGTAGAATTGTTTGTCAAAATCCGATTTCAGGTTAAAAATATGTCGAACAAAGTACAGAGGGTTGTTGCAATTACAGCGTCAATGACACAGTGATTGTGAACAGTTATACGTATAGGCTAAATGAGTATTTTAAAAAGGCTTATCTCACTTAATTCGACAAGGGATTATTTTCCCTACGCAGTCGTACTCCATCTTCGATTGTGACTAACAAGAGTGCGTCTTAAAATAAATCTATCCCAAGCCTCTTTGGGTTTTATTAGACAGCAACTCACGTTTTATCAGTAGAGGCAACCCACTTCAACTTATTTCTATATTATAGTTTAATACATATAAACGTTTTACCTGTCGAGGAAACTAAGTACACTTTATTTTGTCTAGGCCTATTACAGTTTAATACATAAACGTTTTATGAGTTCGCAACTTATTTTGTATATTACAGTGTAATAAACAAACGGAGAAAAGACAAGAATTATAAAAGTTCAGAAGCTTTAGAGACTGATCCCCATCCTTACCAGAACATTCCAGATAACAGATCAGGGGAAATAACTCACCAACCTAAACAGAATAATGAAATGATTAATCAGGAGAATGATCCATATACCAGTATTGATAATGATATAATTAAACCTAGCAACGGTAACCAAGGGATGGAATATCTAGAAAATGATCTTTATATTAGTTCTGATGATGTCACTGATGACGTGGTGATTGATAATAAACTAAAACCTAGCAACGGTAACCAAGGGATGGAATATCTAGAAAATGATCTCTATATTAGTTCTGATGATGTCACTGATGACGTGGTGGTTGATGAACAATTTAAAATAGGACCTAGTGGAGATCAATACGCTGTTGTTGAAAAAGAGGGAAAGAAGAAGAATAATGGTGAAGATAGGGCAGAATTTAAGATAGGACCTAGTGGAGATCAATACGCCGTGGTTAATAAAGGTGGGAGGGAGCACAAATAATTAACCTTTGAAAGGGGAGGTTAACGTACACCATCTTGTATATAGTGAAAATGTGTAGCCATCTGTATACCTTTGTGAACATAAAGTTTAAGTACTTTCAGCATATTGTGTATTGTGATGTCGAGTATATATTTACTTTTCTAATGAAAGACAGATTTTATGTTTTATTTTATATTTAAATTAACTACACTTAAAACTTGCGTTTATTATTTTATAATTAAAATATATTTTTGTTTAAAACGTGAAAATTCATCAAACGTGAAAATTCATCAAAGTTTTGGTTTCAGTAACGTAATGAAGTGTTTTGGTTTAGGGACCTTTCTTCAAAAGCTACAAATTCATACAACGTTATTTAAACACGTCATAAGACGTGTATATATTTTATGTGGTCGGATCGTACCTACAAGCATACTGTGGTTCAATATTGTTATAATTACTTTAAATGTCTGTCGCCCTGCTGAAACTTTCAATCTGGTGTTCAGCTAATCTAAAATGCTTGGATACTACTACCCACCCTACCCCACCCCACCCCATGAGACCAAGTAAGCGCCCTTGAGACCAAGTAAGCGCCCCGAAGGTTCACAAAAAATCAATAACAATCATAATATGACATGAACGTTATGTTAACTTGATAAAAAAAACTGCTTTCCGGCGAGATAACGATCGGTGAACAACTATATAGGCAATATGATCAGTATTCTACCAGGACGATCAGTGTTATAACCAGTATTGTTTTGGCATTCATTGTGGCGTGGGATTGTTGATGGCGCCCCGAGATTTTGACGCCCCCCCATTCCAAGCTTCTATATCCGCTACAGAAATTCTATAAACTATAATTCTATATCATTGTGTGATGTGTCATCTTCATTAAAAGCAGGACGTTAAACCACAGTTCATTTCTTTGTGTGATGTCATTTATATTAAATTTTTACATGTGCCTATATTACTGTTAACTATACTTCTATATTATGTACCTAACTATAGTATTTACCATATTCTTATGTTGCTGTATATAAAGCTATATCTATCATGGTGTCTTTATTGTTATTATTTTGTAAGTCAAATATCCCATGGTTTAATTCACGCTTTAAGAGATTTTTTACAACTGAAATTGTGCACCCGGTAAGATTAAACCAAGGCCTGGGTGACTGATTGTTTTCATTGATAACGGCTGAAACTATGAAAGAAAAAAGAAAATATTCAAAATGAATAAAACTGTTCACAAAAGAATAAAGTTACAATCATCCATGTATAAACACGTAGATAAAGAGACGTACATATTTATAGAAACACCCAATGTGTAATTATCATACACATCCTCTTTTAGTTTTAAATATCTAAAATCTAAATCTACCTACTGTATCAAATGTTATATTAATTATTATAATATCAATGATGATGTCATTTAGCGTTTAGACATTTATTCTCATAACAAGCCAATAATCTAATCTCTAAACTATCGGGTTTCTTCGATATTGAATCGATTAGACTATTCGAGCCATATAATCGATTAACAATGAAATGGACGTCACTGAATAAAAGGACTTCGTTTATTATCATGACAATGTTACTGGACAATCGGCTATTGCTTGTCAAAACTTCAAACACTCATAACTTGGCTCAAAATAAATTAAGTTGACTGGAAGTTTCAATATGTTCATTTGGTATTATCTATGTTTAAACTATTATAGCAAGAACGACCAACTCTTTATCTCCATCTTACATAATGTATCTTTAAACAGTAGCTGTCATGTTACTTCTTGTATCAATGAATCATACAGATACAAGGTTTTCAACCAATCAGTAAATTCAGTCTAGCCAATGGAGTCTAACTTCCCCTTGCACCTACTATTAATGTTTTGCCCCGACTGGGCTAATGAAGACAGACATGAGCAGGTACAGTGTGCTATGAGGCAAATTTTGCCCGGACAGCGGCGATATGGCCTACTCTTATTTTGAATTCCAATGGAAAGGGCTGTTATACATGCTCCTTGGTGCCTTGTCAGACCACCCATCCTGCACCACTAACACGAGTAACCAGGCCGAAAAATCCACATGAAGTTTCTCGGTCTCGGTCAACACCTGGTTACTAAAGGTCTTACTCACTGAACCACTGCATCCCCAGAAATTACCTTGATATACGCTTTAATTAAAGTTCAAACTTTAATCTCTAAAAGGAATATCAGGAATTCCGTTCAGTATTTACAAAGATATGATGAAATGAAATTCTGTTGATATATACTACCCCTTATGTAAATGTTGATATATGCTACCCCTTATGTACTTGGTTCACTTTAATTATGTTGATATATGATACCCCTTATATAAATGGTTCACTTTAATTTGTCTATCGTCTCGTTTTACTTTCTTGGTGAAATCTGTCGACAAACAAATAGGTCCAGGTATCTTGCAAGTTGAAGTTTCCGCCATTTACTGTTACGGTAGATTGATCACCAATGTGAAGTTTGTTTACCGTTGAAAGACGTCATCATAGGCGTACGGGCTCGATGACAGTTAGGGGGCAGAACCCGAAATGCCCGAAAAGATTTCGGGTTTACAGACAGCGGTGCCGGTCTTCGTCAAGAGGCGAAGAAGCGGAACTTACCGGTATGCCCCCCATCCTCCCGCCCAAGTAAATTTTGGAATATTTGACGGCTGCAAACATGTTTTCCGGCTATTTCCGCCGGGGGGGGGGGGAATGGCCGAATGGTTAGCACATGCGTGCTGTATCATAAGACCTGTCATTGAGTCAACTGGCGTGGTTTCGAATCCCCGGTTGTACGTCACAAGGAGTAGGGTCGCCTGTCCAACCTCGTGAGTTTTCTCCGGGTCCTCCGGTTTCCTCCTACTGCTAAAGACCTCTACGCGAAGGCGAATTATTGAATTAAAACTGAACCATATGTTAGTCCCGAAATGACATAGTTTGTGTCAAGTGGACGTTAAACCCCATTTCTCTCTCTCTCTCTCTCTCTCCCTCTCTCTCTATTTCAGCCCGTGAACAAACCAACTTCAAAGTGGTCTAATATAGCCTAATTAAGATGGCTGACTCGAATTCCAATCAAAAGATCAATCGTTTACAGTCCAGGGAGATGTGACCGTTGGGAGAAGATTTTGAAAATTAAACTGCCGCAAACGCGTTTTCCTGCTATTCGAGCCTGTGAATACAGCAACTTCAATTTGGTCCAATGAAATATATAGCCTACCTGACTGACCCGAATTTCAAACAACCAATCAATCGTCGCGGGGTATGGGGGCCTCACCCTTTCGGAGAAAATTTTGAAAATTTAACCACCGCAAATGCGTTTTCTGCTATTCTAGCCCGTGTAAGCAACTCGAAAAGTATCCAATGGTATTGTAACTGAAATCCCACTCTGAATTCCGACCATCCAATCAGACTGTTGCAGCTGCATTCACAAATAATAATCGATGCCCGAAAAATGTCGCACAAAGTAGAGTGGCTACAGAGAAAATGTTTTAATCCATAGTCAACTCAGTAAAAAAATCGTTGTTTTCAATTAAAAGAAAAGTAAAATTGGGGTTTCATTAGGGCTCGATGACGTAAGCAAAACTAGAAATGTCCGAAAGAATTTCAGGTTTACAGACAGAGGCGCCGGTTTTCTTCGAGAGGCGAAGAAGCGGAGCAGACCCTATATGGACCCCCAAAGAAAATTTTGGAATATTTGACGGCCGCAAAAGCATTTTACTGCTATTACAGCCCGTAAAATCAGTGTTTTATTAGATTTCGGGCACTTTATTTTGCCAAGTAGATGAAATAATTTTTTTTTTCACTTTACCCGTCTGCCAGAAAAGTCAGCTTGCCCGAAAATTAGGGGGGCAGCCCCCCCCCCCTCCACCTGCCCCCTAGCTCGTTCGCCTATGGACGTCATGATATTATAACACGCCCGCTGGCACCCTAGGTTGATTGCGATCAGTCTGGTTTTAATCCGGTGTATTTTGAGTACCTATTAGCGTGGATTTAGCCGTGAGGCAATTGATACAATCTGGAAAATACAAATCACACATCGTTACTTTAATAATGCAAAATAATAATGTTAAAACAGCCCTAACATCGCTCAGTAATGAAGTAATCTAGTGTTTAACTATTATAGCGAGAACTGTAAGCTCTTTATCAACGTCTAACATAGTGCATCTTTAACTATTACAGCGAGACCTGTCAGCTCTTTATCTAAATCTTACATAGTGTATCTTTAAGTAAAGAAATACTTTTACCTGACCAGGAAGTTTTACACAGTCAACAACATTCATATTGTTGATCAAGGCAGGATTGAAGGATGGGTATTGTATGCATGAGTGGGTATCATAAATGAGTACATTCATATTACGGGTTATTAAATATTGTATAGTGTTATTTTCGTGTGAAGGGGTGTGTTCATTAGATGGGGTCATATTTACTTCTTCAGACAATTGAGTACATTCATATTACGGGTTATTTAATACTGTATAGTGTTAGTTTCGTGTGAAGGGGGCGTGGTCATTAGGCCAGTTCATGCAGAAAACTAGCAAAGATATGTCATGTAAGTTATGTCAACATGGTGATTTTGTTACTGCAACATTCTCCATTAAAACATGTCGGTTTAATTATAATATGTATCATAGAGGTCTCTTCGTACTTCTAAAAATCAGTCTATATCTCTACTATTCATTTTTACAATAGAATAAAATATGAATTTGTAGGTCGATGAATCAAGGTATGTGTGGTTTTATGAAAATGAATACGAAGACAGTACCTGTATGTATGTATTCACTTGGTGTCTTTATAATGGTATTAACTGGACATATGAGGGTTATTCAAGGTTAGTACGTCATCGTAATATGAGGGTTATTCAAGGTTAGTAGGTCATCGTAATATGGATAATATAAAGTATTAAATTGGGGTAATATAAAGTTTTGAATTGGTTTGATCTATTATTTAATTTCTATTAGTATTGGGGCAAGATCGATATGATCATATATAGATAAATTCTGTTTCTTCACTAATAGTATTATGTTAATATTTGGCTTTAAGATGTCGAACATAAATTCGGTTGTATCTATGTATTTAATAACCCAAATATTTCACATTTTAGTATGTTAATTTTATTAATGTTCACTTTTACCCTTTTCAGGACAAGAAAATTGTCAAGGTAAACAATTATTTACCTTATATATCTTGACACCATAATTATATAACGTAAGTAATATCATATTAGCTATGTGAAATATACAAGTATTGTGTGTTCTAAAAACAACAATTAAGATTTGACTATTCAACGTATGAAAAATAAAACCTCAAGAATTACACACTGACTTAAAAAATCAGGTCATTTTTACCGCCGGCAGCGATATCAAGAAAATGAAATGGGGTTTGACTATCTGCACCAACTTGGCTAATGTAGACGGACATGCGTCATACAGTGTACTAACTACTATCAGGGAAATTTTGCCCGGGCAGCGCCATACAGTGTACTATCAGGGATATTTTGTCCGGACAGCGCCACTACTTTCTACTTGTAATTCAAATTCGTTTACGCCAATGTGTACGCAGGACCTCAGTTTTGCATCCCATCCGGACGATCATACACTGTCCCTTACCAGAAACTGTGCCCTGCACCACTGACAAGGGGCAACCTCGCCGGAAAAGCCAAAATAATTATCTTGGCTATCATCAATAAGATAATCTGTACAACAAAACAAAAAATGGATATTATTTAATCTGTTTCATTAAAGGGTAATGTTAGTACCCACTAATATCACATTCTAATTCAGCCTGTAAGGATCACTTGTTTCCCCCCCCCCCCTTTATTTGGCGCCACTTTCCGTTTTTTCAAATGTTGATTACATAACTAGAGTATCACAGATTTCTATGTTAATATTATATTTGGAATGTGTTGACCAGTTCTATTACATATGTAATATTGATGGACAACAACATTGTCCTTTAATTGGACTTTATATTTCTTTAATATGGAATGCAATTACTGCTTATTACTGAGCGACGTTTCGACCAGGCTTCTCTAGTCATTATCAAGCAATGATAAACTATGAAAACATAACAAGACAATATATGTACACAACAATACTTGGTTAATACTGACCAATCAGAGATGTCCCTTCTAATTACATGTACCTTGTTTAGTTGTTTATTATAGATTAAATGTCCAATACAATAAATATGATATTATGGACAGATTGGTTTAATTAAATTATTTACACATAATGCGTTAAATAACAATGTTAAAACACAAAAATAAAAAAGTCCTTGTAATTCAAAAAGTCATCATTCATGTTGATGTAAGAGAAATGGGGTTTAACGTCCACTAGACACAAACTAGTTCATTTCGGGACTAACATATGGTTTAATTTTATTTCAATAATTCGCTTTCGCGTATGGGTCTTTAGCAGTGAGAGGAAACCGGAGGACCCGGAGAAAACCCACGAGATTAGACAGTCGACCCTACTCCTTGTCACGTACAACCGGGGATTCGAAACCACGCAAGTTGACTCAATGACAGGCTTTATGATACAGCGCGCACGTGCTAACCATTTGGCCATCCACCCCCCCCCCCCCCATGTTGATGTAAGTGATTCCACTAATATACGAAAATCCTTTAGACCAATGACTGCACAAATCATCAATGGTCCCCTGAAGGACGATTATTTGAATTAGTGAGTAGTATTTACACTGGATGCTATAAGGATTTAGAAAGACAGAATTTGAACTATTAAGTGCATTTAATTTCAATAACAACAGCCCTGAAAAGCAAAATAGTAACAAATTATTAATTATTATTTTTAAAAATAGATTGTAATTATTACAAATTTTAGATTATTAATCTTGAATAGTGGTGAAAATATTGTTAAGTATTAAATATCGATTAAATATAATTTATTATGCTTAGCGCATGATTATATAATAATACGCCATGGGGAGGAACAATCTATGATCTCTGTCCATCACATATTCCTGAAGCAATGGCCCGGGAAATCCCTCTCTGGCCTTTGCTGGACTGGCTTCTGATACTTGAGCTTTTGAGTGTCTATTCTTCCCGTTCAATCAAATCTATCCCAAGTACAGCAAACCTTTCGTTTAATCTGGTGTCTTCCGTAAAGCTTTGCCAGTGATTTAAGATATTAAAAACGGTAAAAGTACCGTTCGTCCCCAAACAGTATTGTTTACATTGTATCCGTGTTGATAGTATCGTCTGTCACGCGTTAGTTTTTCTGCAATATTCTGCTATGCACTGATTAATTGTATTTGGTCCAATTTGGAACTCTGTTTAAATTGTAATGATAATGTTACGCAGTTAGCTATAAGTGGTTGTTAATCGGACTATTGACCAGTCTTAATTTGGAACATAAATTTGCTTCATTTACAGCAGTGTTAAGTGGAATTAGCTCTAACCAAACGAAACACTGCGAGGAGTATGTGTCCATCGTTGGTTTGTGTCTTCGTATTTGAATGGCTTCATTCAATCGGCGCGCCCTCTTGTTGCTTATATTCTTGCATAGAACTTTAACATGGGACCACTGGACACAGTAGCGGGGGTTAAAGTTCAAGTGTTCAGTTACAGCTGAGTTATTGGTTGCTGCTCAATATTTAATACTTAACAGTATTCTCACCGCTATTCCAGATTAATAATCTAAATTTTGTCATTAATTTTCTAATATAAACATTATTTTAGTTCCAGGTTCCAGTAGTTCTATATGCAGTACATTAGACCTACAGGGAAGTAAATTTAATATATCCGGTTTACAGCCTGGCCAACAGGTTGCCGGTTGTCTGTGCATTCTGACGTTTAACGGTTCGTCATATGTTAGTGGACCCATAACTATCAATGCCACAGCAAATATTCCAGCGGGGTGTCAACATGAAGTCTACTTTATACATAATTCAACTACCAAGAGGTACAGCTGTAAGGTTTTTAAACTTATGTATACTTTTAATGTTGCCGTCCAAGATAAATTACAGATGATTCTAGTTTCTGGTGAAAGATCAACTGGTGGATTTCAATTCTGTTTCAAGATTTCCACAAAACCAGGTAAGGAAAGTTAATAGATTCACGATTTTGATTAAAATACACAGATATCTTTTCCCAAAATATATATAATATTAACAACTTCATTATATTCTATTATGATGTTATATATTTGTTTATAATTTGTTACAATAGAATTAGATATGCGCCTTGTCTGCAATGAAACAAATACAACTGGAATGATACCACCAACTACTACTACTGCGATTATCTCAGATACAACGTTGTCAAGTATACCATCAACTACTTCTACGGCGATTTTGTCAAATTCCACGGTGTCAAGTACATCGACTACTACTATTACGGAGATTACGCCAGATACAGCCCGGTCAAGTATGAATGGAATGAACCCATCAACTACTACTACAGAGATTAAGTCAGATACAGCTCGGACAAGTATTAATGGAATGACACCATCTACTACTACGGAGATTATGCCAGATACAGCGGTGCCAAAATCAACACAGACAACCACTGATGAAAGGGTTACTGATCAAAACACAAACTTAACATCTACAGATGAAAATGATGATATTGTTCAAAGTAAACGTAGGTTTATATTAATATGACACCTTTTCGAATCTCTTTTCCCGCAGTGAATTTAGTGTTTTAAATGCAAATGTAGAACAAAAACCTTTTCACAATGCTTTCACAAAATATTTGAGTTCATTCTTGGGCGTTGTTACACATTTCGTTCTTTGAATAGGATTTGGATGGCAATACTGGTTTAACTTCATATGATACTTGTATTATTCTTCCAACATATAAAGTACAAACCGTAAATAATGGTTAAAGGCACCGTAATTAGCCTGTGTTGAGGGAGGATGATCCTGGCATGGCTTGGAACTCTCGGGTGTCAACTCCCAACTAACGTACATGGCCGCTATCCGATCTTAACTGGGGACCTGCCTGGCCCCATGTTAACTTCTACCAATTACATCTCTGCTTATAATCCCCTTGTAGACAAAGGATGATCGAACAGATTATGCAGCTGGCTATATTGCATCATAGCAGACTTAACGTTCAGTACAGCTTCCTTTACAAGCCAAAAGACATTACATAACACTAGCCAGCTATAAGTTTCTATTATGGTAATGACTAAGGTAGGTGCCATCTGGACAACCATGGGTGTCAATAGCCGACGTAGGGATATTTTCATGTGTCAAGATGGCACGATAACGTATCCATAACATCTGCAGATTGCGTAACAGCTTTTCCCTGTTTGAAAACATGTAGGTATTAAAAAGTGCTCAGATAGCATTTAGACTCTCGGGTTAGACCTGTCTGTCAGAATATTTTATGTGTTTACAATACAACTGGATATAAATTATATTTTACAGTAGGTGTTATTATTGGATATAAATTATATTTTACAGTAGGTGTTATTATTGGATATAAATTATATTTTACAGTAGGTGTTATTATTGGTGGATCTGTTGGTGGGCCAGCTGTAATAATCGTGATCATTATCATAATTTTGTGGTAAGTGTAAATATCTTATATCTTTAATAAATGAATTCTAGGCCCAGATCTGTGTGCGATACGATTTACGCTGTTTACAATATATATCGGTACCGTTATAGAGTATGTTTTTATGAGTGGTGAAGACCCAAATGAATTTAATTACATTTGATATAATATATTTCTTGTTTTCCATTATAGTGTAATACGTAAGAATAACTTACTTCTACTTATTTGTATATTACAGTGTAAGACGTAACAGAAGGAAAGACAAGACTTAGAATAGAGCCTAGTGGAGATGATCAATGATGATAAACGTAATGAACAATTTAAAATAGGGCCAAAGGGAAATAAATATGCTGTTTGTCAAGAAAGAGGAAAGGAAGAACAATGATGTGCTGTGGTTAATAAGGGGTGGGGTCGCACCACAAATAATTAACCCACGGGTTGATTGTTTAAACATGTGAAGAGGAAGTTTAACGTACACCATGTTGTACATAGGGAGACGAGTAGATGTTTGTATACCTTTGTGAAAATATAGTTTAAGGACTGTCAGCATATTGTGTACAGTAATGTCAAGTGTATAGTGAAAACGAGAAGGTAGTTTATACCCCTGTGAAAATAAAGTGTATGTACTGTCAGCATATTGTGTATAGTGATGTCAAGTATATATTTACTTTTCGAATTTTATATAGATTTTATGTTTTATTTTATACTTTAATTACCTACATATAAAACCAGGCTTTTAATGTTTTATTAGCTTAGTATTTATTTTAATTCATTATTTTATAATTAAATCATATATTGTGTAACACTATATCTAACAGATAACAGAATATCAGCATAATTATAAGACCTTTATTGAGAACATGAAATAGACATAAATCGGGGGAGGGGGCTCTATTCCAAGTCTGACTTGCTCAGCATAATTATAAGAGCTTTATTGAGAACATGAAATAGACATAAATCGGGGGGAGCTCTATTCCAAGTCTGACTTGCAGTCAGTAAACGCCTGCTTATATAGCGTCTAACAATTAGGGGAGATGGACAGTAGTGATACTCATATATGGTATTGTTTATTATCAAATTATGGTGTTTATAATTACACTGCATATTTCTTTGGAAGCCATTGTCAGGTCAAGGTATGATGCACTGACCACTAATACTTTCTCTTTGAAGTTCTGTCTAGTGTTACACACGGATCATGTGTAGCTTGTTAAGAACATATTGAATGAACTAGATGTTTAATAAGATCGTGCCTTAACAGAAGTTTATAGAGAGTTTAAACGTCAACTTCAGGGATAGATCACTTTGTCACAATTGTTTAAAACGTGAAAATTCATGAAACGAGACATTCTAGCAAAACTACCATGGTTCAGTTAAAGCCCTATATCTATATACGATTCCGTTATATAATGGAACGTTTTGGTCTAGAGACCTTTCTTCAAAAGCTACAAATTGATGCAACGTCATTTAAACACGTCACCACCACGCCATGAGACGTGTATATATTTTTACGTGGTCACATCGTTCCTACAAACGTATTGGTGTAATTACGTTAAATATTTGTGATGTTGCGGAAAATTTCAATCTGTTATCTAGCTAATCCTACATTATTTTATATTGTTGTTGTTGTTCTTAGTGTTTAACGTCCGCTTCCACCGAAGGTGATATCGCAGACAGGATGTCTTATTTTCATTATCTTAGCGCAAGCGCAGTAAACCCACAAAGTTGTGAAGTTGTGAAGGCGGCCCTATCTCCGAGCACACACAAGTAATCGAAACCACCACCGGCCAGCTAGAGGTCGAAGTGCGACACTCTAGACCACTAGGCCATCCTAACCCTACTTTTTATACTGAATATTGAGATGTGGTTATACATGTAATTGCATACACTATAGTCCTATATCAGTATGTGATATGTCTCTCTTCATTAAAAGTAGGACTTTAAACCACATTTCTTTGTTTGATATCATTTTATATAGTATTTTAAAATATGCCTATATTACTGTTAACTACTCTATGTACTCAACTATAACGTTTACTGTATTCTTGGGTTGCTGTATATAAAGTTATATGTAGATCTATCATGGTGTCTTTATTGTTACTTTTAAGTGATTTACAGTCGATTATTTACAACTGTAAGATTAAACCAAGGCCTGGCTGTTTGTATTCATTAATATTAAAACGGATGAAAATACAAAGAACAAATTTACAAAACAGGTTGGGGGTAAATTAACTTGGAAAGGTTATGAGTTATAGGGACAAACATTAAAGGGACAAGTCGTCTTCTGCAGTTTGTCTCATCATTACTAGAAATAGACATCAGATTAAACAAATTTAACACTGTATTGTGGTCAAAAATGTAAATGAAGACTGGCATACGCTAGTTTATGGAAGACCAAACAGCTCTTTATCCAGTGCACTTAGTCCTTATTTCTTAATTCATAGTCCTTATTTCTTAATGCATAGTCCTTATTTCTTAATTTGTTGTCGTATTTCGACATTTGTATACTAAAATTAACCTTTGTATCGTAAAATAAATGTTTGTTTTACAAATCAGACATTTGTCATATCAGATTTGTAAAATGTATTTTAATTGTATCTCAATATAAAGATAAAAAATGTTTTAAAAAAATTATTAATTAGTCTACATTTACATTTCAGTAGAGATTTACAATGAAAAACAAATCTGGAACCAAAAATTTCTAAATACAAATCTTCAAATACAAATCTTGCAAAACATTTCTCAAAAAAGATTTCTTCAATAATATTTCTCCAAAAAACATTTCTCGAAATCCATCGAACCGGAATATCATGACGACGTGAGCGGAAATCAACCTTGCATACAATAAGTCACCATACAATAAAGGAGAATCGAGCAAGCATATAAACAATAAAAATTCATATTGTATCCTGTCCGTAGGTTTATCTTGTGTAATTGTTTGTGGGTGGCGCAGCCCCCCTGTATTGTTAACATGTAATATTAATACAATTTCACAGAATCCTAAATCAGACGAGTCGCGGTCCGATAATTTAAAATGAAACCGATTGGGCTAATGAAGACGGGTATACGTCATACAGTGTGTGCTTTAAGGCATATTTTACCATGACAGCGGACCCACGGCCTACTCTTATATCAAATACCACCTGCCCGTCAAGGGTTCTTTTACGTTCACGCCAACGTGTACACGGGACCTTGGTTTTACGTTCCACCCGAAGAACTATTAATAAAAGAGGCCAATCGTAATATTATACCATGGCATTATTATAGGTGAGTGGTGGTCCTATAATTTAAATGAGTATTACCTCTTTCACCACAATTTGCTTAATCTGATGTCTATTTATAGTAGTGATGAGACAAACACAATGTGTATCCCTATAACTCCTAACCTTTCTAAGTTAATTTACCCCCACCCTGTATTGTTTTCAGTAAATTCAGTGTATTCCCGTACCGTGACAAAGCAGCCGATAAAGAAGACATTTTGAAATACTGTTTTAAATTTATTATTTTGCATTATTAAAGTAACCATGCGTGATTTGTATTTTCCAGATTATTTCAATTGTCTCACGGCTAAATCCACGCTAATAGGTACTCAAAATACACCGGATTAAAACCAGACTGATCGCAATCAACTTTAGGTACCAGCATGCGTTACAATATCATGACGTAATCCAACAGTAAACAAACTTTACATTGGTGATCAATCTACCGCAACTGCAAAATGTTGGAAACATTAACTTGCAAGATACCTGGAACTATTTTCTTGTCGACAGATTCGTCCGAGAAAGTGGAGCAAGGACATAGAAAAATTAAAGTGAACAATTTACATAAGGGTTAGCATATATCAACAGAATTTCGCTTCGTCATATATCCTCGTAAATACTGAACGGAATTCCTGATTTAATTAAAGGACATGGCATGGTTATTTCGCCTATTTCTGGAACCGTAGTGGCTCAGTGAGTAAGACGCTGGCTAGCTTTTACATAATGCATATTTAAAACTAAAAGAGGATGTGTATGATAATTACATATTGGGTGTTTCTATGAATATGTACGTCGCTTTATCTTCGTGTTTATGCATGGATGATTGTAATTTTATTCGTCTGTGAACAATTTTATTCAATTTGCATATTTCCATTTTCTTTTGTATTTTCAGTGGTTTTAATTTCAATGAACACAATCAGCCAGGCCTTGGTTTAATCTTACATATTACACAATATCACTTGTAAAGAATCGTGAGGTATCTCTTCAAGCGTGAATTAAATCATTGAATATTTGACTTACATATAACAATAAAGACACGATGATAGATATAGCTTTATATACAGCAACATTAAAGTCGAGTACATAATATAGGAGTATAGTTAACAGTAATATAGGCATATTTTAAAATACTATATAAAATGATATCACACGAGGAAATGTTGTTGAACGTCCTACTTTTAATGAAGACGGACGGGCATTTCACACACTGATGAATAGGATTATAGTTTATAGAAATTATAACCATATCGCACAATGATTAATATAATTATAGTTTATAGAAATTCTGTAGCGCATCTCGAAGCTGTGAATCGGAGGCGGGAGTGGGTGGGGTCTGTTAAAATCGAGGGCTCCACCCACAGTCTCACCCGACAGTGAATGTCACAACAATACTGGCTATAACACTGAGCGCCTCCCTGGACCATTGATCGTATTCTCTATTATAGTTCTTCGCCGATTGTTATCTCGCCGGAAAGCAGTTTTGTTCAAATTGACATAAAGTTCATGTCAATTTATGATTGTTATTGAATTTGTTATTGTTTTTTGTGAACCTTAATCAAAACATAAATTAATTATAGACTTATAAATTGAAATATATACTAAGCTAATAAAACGTTAAAAATTAGGTTTTATGTCATTAGTAAAGAAAATAGTCGACTCCACTCTAGATGCTGACAATCCTTAAAATTTAGTTTCTTTATTAACAACAGCGTATTGGTCTCCACTGGGTCCAATTTTAAATTCTTCCCCAGATTCGTTATTGTTCTTCTTTTTCTCTTTTTTAACAATGGCGTATTTATCTCCACTAGGCCCTATTTTAAATTGTTTATCATTATTGATCATCTTTTCGCCTTTATTAACAACAGTGTATTTATCTCCCTTTGGTCCAGTCTTATATTTCCCATTCGTGGTTTTGTTCGCGTTAGATTTGTTTACTTGGGCGTATTCCGCCACAACCGGAAGTTTTGCTTTTACTTTATCATCAACCACCACGTCACCATAACTTATATACAGATCATTTTCTAGATATTCCATCCCTTGGTTACCGTTGCTAGGTTTAATTATATCATTATCAATACTGGTATATGGATCATTCTCCTGATGAACCAATTCATTATTCGGTTTAGGTTGGTGAGTTATTTCCCCTGATCTGTTTTCTGGAATATTCTGGTAAGGATGAGCATCAGTCTCTACAGCTTCTGGACTTTCGTAAGTCTTGTCTTTTCTCCGTTTACGTATTACACTATAATGGAAACAAGAAATATAATATATCAAATTTATTTGAATCTTCTCCACCCATAAAGGCATACTCTAGAACGGTGCAACTAAATATTGTAAATGAGATAAATTGTATCTCACACGGGTACGGACCTAGAATCCATTTATTAAAGATATATAAACTTTTGTTAATTTAAACTCACCACACAATTATGATAATGATGACGATTATTACAGTTATTCCTCCAACAGATCCACCAATATTAACACCTACTGTAAAATATAATTTATATCCAATAATAACACCTACTGTAAAATATAATTTATATACAATTGTATTATAAACACATAAAATATTCTGACGGACTGGTCTAACCCGAGAGGTTGTTACCTAAGGCCCACATATCATTTCCTCATCGAGACTGAAAGCTATCTAAGCAAATTTTAACACCAACTTGTTTTCAAAAAGGTCCCCCCCCCCCCACGGAATTAACTCAAATATATTTGTAAGAACGAAAGGCGGTGGACCGAATTGTCGTAAGAAAATACAGTTATAACAGTGTTATGAATATAAACCTTACTTTGAACAATATCACCATTTTCATTTGTAGATGTTATGGTTGTGTTTTTATCAGTGACCCTTTCATCAGTGGTTGATTTTGGTACTAATGTATCTGTCGTCATCTCCGTGGTAGTTGGTGGTGTCATTCCCTTTATACTCGACCGGGTTGTATCTGGCGTAATCTCCGTAGTAGTAGTAGTAGTTGATGTATTTGACACCGTTGATTCTGCCATAATCGCCGTAGTAGTAGTTGATATCGTTCCAGTTATATTTGGTTTATTGCAGGCAAGATGCATATTTAATTCTATTGTAACAGATTATAACAATATACGTATTACATTTATACCAATATAAATATTAATAGAATATTTAAGTAATCAAGTGAGTTGTACAATGTCTGACACTGAGTAAAGATTATGTAGCTATTATAATGGATGTCGTGTATTTCGAAAGTCGAAATATAAGATCTTTCGCTCTTTTCCTGATGCTACCTCTCAACAATTTATTTTATATATAGCCCCCCCCCCCCGCAACACACACGCACACCCACACACACAAACACTACATCCATCGACACATATCCGGCCAAACAGTGAGATTTTATTGAAAGATAATCAAACCCTACAGAATATGCGTTAGATAGTTTTGGGGAAAAGGTAACTGTGTATTTCTACGATGTGTCGTCAGTTGTACAAGATAGTGAGATAATTGGTCCAACACTTTTACTGCATATAGTATGTATACTCATTACAAATATGATGTCTTATAATTAACTCTATAACAAGATCTCTATTTATAGAAATTATTACAAATTACCATAATTTAATCAAAATCCTGAATTTATTATTTTACTTACCAGGTTCTGTGGAAATCCTGAAACAAAATGCAAATCCGCCAGTTGATGTTTTATTCGAAACTAGTATTATCTGTAATTTATCCTGAACGGCAACATTAAAGGTATACATAGGTATATAATCACGACAGCGGTACATCTTGGTAGTTGAATTATGTATCAATTGTACTTTATACTGACACCCTCCTGGGTAGTTTGCTATGACATTGATAGTTATTGGTCCACTAACATAGGACGAATCGTTAAACGTCAGAATACACTGACAACCTGTACCCTGTTCGTCATACGGTAAACCAGATATATTGAATTTACTTCCTTGTAGGTCTAATGTACTGCATATAGAACTACTGGAACCTGGAAATAAAATAACAAATTATGATTTTAAAGAAGTATGAAGTCACGCCCCAATTGAAGGACAATGTTGGTGTCCACCAATATTATATATGTAATAGAACTGGTTAACACATTACAAATAAAATATTAACATAGAGATATGTGATACTGTAGATATGTAACCAACATTTGAAATAAAAGGAGAGTGGCGCCAAACACGAGTGATTCTTATAGGCTGAGTCAGTGAGTAATTTTGGTGGCACAAACTTTTTTTGTTTCTGTTTTACAGATTGTTTTATTTACCGAATTTACAATAATTTTTAAACAGTACGATACGCTGACTGTCACACTGTTAAAATTTTTATGTATTTTTACCTCGTTTTAACTGGCAGAAATATTGTCATCGTTATAACTGTATTTTAACATTGCATGTTATTTCACAGTCTGTAATGTATCTTTACCTCTAGCTATTATACATCCAAGGTGAAATTACATGTATGTAAATGGGTTATGTGTAAATGTTAATTTACATAAATTTGTACAATAACATTTAAAACAAAAAATATTGTGTATTTTGATAGAGTTTATGTAATAATAATAATATCTCATAAATGTTGTAGAATTACATATTATGTAATTTGCCAAGGTAACATTATTCAAAGGAATGTGTTTGTCTCCGCTTGGCTAATTAGTCCTAGGTTCGATCCTGGCGAACACAGAAAGTTTTCGGAACTTTCAGCCGAGCAGGTAAAACAACAATCGATAATGTAAAGAAAATAAGTGAAATGGGGTTTAATGTGCACTTTTCTGTTCCTTATAATGGAAAGAGTAGGTGGCATGACACAGTCCAAGCAAAATGCCGCACTCAACTCAATGTATGGCACATGCATGTCTTTATTAGCAAGTTCGGTGCATTCAGATTTTGAATAACCTATTTCTCTAAAATGGACTAAACTGACTGACAGAACAGTAAATATTTTGTATAATATTCGATATGTGGTCAAAGGTGGAATAACCTATGTGACCACTATTGGAAGGTAAATTTACAATTTTCTGTAAAAATAATATTTCCAGCGGCATTTCTGTTAATATACAGCTGACATATGGTTGTATTACTACATTAAATTTGATGTAATTTTACATAAGCCTTGTATTCATATGCATCGACATCGTTTTAAATGTAAATTAACAAACCATGTGATATTACAAATCCTGTACTGTATTTTTACTATAATTATAACTGTAAATATACATATAATTTTAACAGTGTACAGTATACTATATCAAGTTAGTTGTAGCTGATTATTCTGAATAACTAATAGATGTTTTTAGACGGATTAGACAACAGTTTCATTTGGAGATGGGTTTTACTTGACAAAGGGACCCGCCCTGACTCAGTGAGTAAGACGTTAGCTCGCTAGCCTGGAGGTCCCCTGTTGGTATTTGATGTTGGCCGAGAAAATTCATCTGGATTTTCCGGCGTAATTCCCCGTTGTTAGTGATACATGGCAGAAGGTCTATTACGGGAAAACGTATAATCGTTCGGTGAGATGGAAAACCAAGGCCCCGTGTAAACAGATTATTTGTGTGCACGTACACGAATCCTTGACATTTGGAATTCGAAATAAAAGTAGACTGTAGTGGCGCTGTCCGGGCAAAATATTCCTCATAGTTCACGGTATGGCGCATGTTCATCTTCATTAGCTAAGTCAGTACAGAACAGTTTCATTACATTACATTTTCTTGATAGCGTTGCTGGCAGTAAAAATAACCTTTAGGGCAGTTTGTAATTCTTGGGGTTATATTTTTTATACATGCACGTTCAATGGTCAAGTCTTAATTGTTTTTTTCAAAACACATAAATACCTCTGTAGATTTCACAAAGCTAACACGATATTAAGTACGTTATATATTGTGTCACATATTTTATTTACCTTGGCAATTTCTTTGTCCTGAAAAAGGTAAAAGTGAATATTAATATAATATTTAATGTGCAGTATTTGTGTAATTAAATACATAGATAAAACCAGTATTAAGGTACGGCCGAATTTATGTTCATCTTAAAACCAAACATGAAAATAGATTTAGTGACGAAACAGACTTGCTGTAAAACTGTGGAAACCAATGTGATCGTATTGAGCTTACCCCAAAACTAATCGAAATAACACAATATATCAATCCAATTCAAGCCTTTATATTACCCCAATTTAAAACCATTAGCTCATTGACAATGACGTACTTACCTTCAATAACCCTCATATGTCCAGATAATACCATTATAAACACACCAATATATAATGCAGGTACTGTCTTCTGTTCCATTTCCATATACGATTGATCTTTATACAGGCACCGTCTTCTTATCCATAGAGCTTTATACGACACATTCACCTTGATTCATCTAATCTACAAATTCATATATGTGGTTACATAATCTATGCACACAATGGCTCTAACAAAATCTATATCCTGTTGGGTTTGAGTACATATATGTTAAACTATTAGTATATACAGTGAAACTAACTAATTCAGGACGATATATTATTGAGGTAACAAATGCATTCATTTCTGGACAAATCACATGAAGGATAAGCCTCATCAAGTAATTCCTGATTATATTTAGACATGTATGATCCTCAATAATATTTGAGGAAAAGGATAGATAATTGACCTACTTTTATTGATTTTATGTAAATTTTGATCATAAGCCCTGCCACTGAGTCAAGTGTCGTGGTTTCAATTCCTCGCTTGTACGTGAGACGCGGTAGGTCGCCTGTCCAACCTCGAGGATTTTCGGCCATTACTACAGACAGCTTCACGCCAGCAAATTATTGAAATACAACTGAACCATGTTAGTCCCGAAATGACCTGGTTTGTGTCGAGTAACCGTTAATTGAAACAGGATATTGGCCGAATAATTAATGACCAAAGTAAATCCCATTCCCTTTTATTTATTAAACTGAAATACAAAAACCAGGTCCTTTTTATACATAATCTGTTTTTTGGGGGGTTTTTTGTTTTGTTTTTTGTCCTTTAATCACAAGGCTGAACGAGTAACTCACTGTGTAATACTACTATTGTCTCTGTGACCATATTGTATCTTTAGCTAACTATTAGATTCACACATTGTAGAGAAGTCATATCTCAAGCACTCAAATTAAAATGAGTGATGGATTGACACATAGAAAAAAAGATTTATAAAACTAAAATATGACCAGATGACTCGTGGTGGTAAATTATTATTGCATCATTTGACTTAGTAACCAATCATTATAATTAATTATATCATATTTGACCAATTAGATAATTGAAAGCCGAAACTCAAGGGTAGAAAACCAACAGAGCTGTTGGCGTTCGTCATACAGTCGCTAAATTCGAGTGAGACTGCTGAGGTTCAAGAGACACCAGCTGGGTTGAGTAGACCTCACGGATTTGTAGGAGAGCCATATGATGTACGCATTCCGTCAGTAAACTTGATCTGTGAGTTAATTTTAAGTATGCTAATGTAATCTTTTATTCATTGTAACCATATGTATCCATCTTGACATAAAAATCACGAAACGAACTGTTTTCCCCGGTAAGACAAACGTCTTAACTACTAAGATAGTAAGAAGAAGAAAATACATAATGAAGCGACTCGATGAACGAGACTGAACATATCCCACAGGAGAATACTACCGGTGTTACCTGGAATAACCATACACCAAGGACTGCCATTCAATTTATACTAATAATAATACTAGTTGTATTCTATACCGCTGAACATTCAGTCAGTCTGACTGCTCTGTGTAGCTGTGGACTCTTCGGGAATCTCGCCGAACATAACTGATTAGACATTAGAGTAAAAACAGAAACGAGTGAATGTAAATAAGTTTATATACATTCATATTACATTATTATATGCGTTGTGACCCATTTGTGTCAATTTCTAGTTGCCAAAGAATAGCGATTTAGCTCCTGTAATGGTGACATTGTGTATAGCTTAACGGTGACCTTTTGTGTAGCTTAACGATGACCGTTTGTGAAGCTTAATGGTGACATTTTGTATAGCTTAATGGTGACCTTTTGTATAGCTTAATGGTGACATTTTATGTAGCTTAACGGTGACCTTTTGTGAAGCTTAATGGTGATGTTTTGTATAGGTTTGTGTAGCTTAAATTGCTTAATGGTGACCTTTTGTGAAGCTAACTGGTGACCTTATGAGGACCTAGCTACTTCTTGGGAATAGCTAACTGGCGACCTTACGAGCTGTTGACTTTGATCCCATGGTTATCTACTACCCGAGTATCAAGCATCGTTCCGTGTTGGCCCTCAGAATACAAAACTGTTCTTTTACTTTCCCTCACCCCTTTATTCTTGATGGCATTGTGAAACAAAAGCGCGGATTTAAGTGCCCTCTCCCATAAGACCAAGTAAGTGCCTCTCGAGAGACGGGGTCCCCTCTGGTCCAGTCCCCCAAAAATTAAAAGCTCAGTTACATATCAGAAATGTTTTCGCTCGATTCCATTAGGTCATCATTCTTCCACTCCTGGGGGGGGGTGGGGGTGATGGCCGAATGGTTAGCACGTGCGCACTGTATCATAAAGCCTGTCATTGAGTCAACGGGCGTGGTTTCGATTCCTCGGTTGTACGTGACAAGGAGTAGGGTCGCCTGTCCAACCTCGTGGGTTTTCTCTGGGTCCTCCGGTTTCCTCCCACTGCTAAAGACCCCTACGCGCAAGCAAATTATTGAAATAAAATTAAACCATATGTTAGTCCCGAAATGACCTAGTTTGTGTCGAGTGGACGTTAAACCCCATTTCTCTCTCTCTCTCTTCCACTCCTCTGTATTCTTATATAAGCTCATCACTCTCATATTCACGATTATAGTGAACCGCTCAGTTGGTTGTGTCGCTAGTGCGAGGGCCGCGGAGCGACAGATTCTACAAATGTTCTGTCCACACTTACAAACCAGGCGGAATGGACAGACAGATCTCGAGATTCTGTCCCCATTTCCTCCCATTTCTGGTCCTCTCGTTCGCAAGAATTTGCTATTATGTTTACTATACAGTAAAGACTTTTAAGTATATGAAATTTGGAATTCTCTGACTTTCAACCTTAAGAACGATGAGAGTTTAATATATATATATATATATATAAAGAGGAAATGATGTTACACAGATTTGTCAATTAAAAGTCAAACTATTTGAACATCGGATTATGTAAGATTGGATCTATTTGAATATAACTAGCAGTTGTAATTTGAAATCCAAGAACAACACTTATATAGCTAATATCGTTTGATGTAGCTGTAAATATGGCCAGGGAGAAAATACTCATTCGCAGCACTCTTGAGATGTTCAAACAACTACGTTTTATATTTAAGTCAGTGCAGAAGACAATAGATTTAAAACATCAACTGAAATGGCGTATTATGACACGTCAGCACCAACCGGGATATATATGGATCCGAACAACACAAGCTAACGAATATATATTTCCAGATAAATATCAGATTCTCCACAAACAAATGTGGTCGGACGGACGTCCCAGGGGGCGACGACATACACACTCATATGGTAATGTGGGCGTATAAAATGGTCCCATTCTGGTTGAGGTTCTCGCTAAGCTGAATTTACGGGTGAAAGAAGTATGACCAACGTTACATTCGACGATGCTAATATCAGATTATTACCGCGTAAAATTTGATTGTTTTTATCCCAAGGTCTGACCTTTTCCCATATATCTGTACATGTATGGGGGGTCAAGTGGCTACGTGGGTAAGACGCTGGCTCGCTAGCCTGGAGGTCGGGTGTTCGATCCCAGCATTGGCCGAGAAAGTTCATCCAGATTTTCCGGCGTGGTTCCCCCTTGTCAGTGATGCAGGACGGGAGGCCTGACAAGGACAGCTGTCTAGTCCTTCGGATGAGACGAAAAAACTAGGTCCTGTGTATACATTGGAATGCACGTAAAAGATCCCTTGGCAGTTGGAATTCGATATAAGAGAAGGTGATAGTACCGCTACCCGGGCAAAATTTCCCTCATAGCACATTGTATGGCGTATGCCCGTCTTCATTAGCCCAGCATAGGAGCAGTGTTAGTAAAAAATAAATAAAATAAATCTCTAGTTGTAGAATTATCTTCTTCAATCCTCCCTTGATCAACAATATGAATGTTAATTGTAATGTGACGGTGTATACACACTGACAGGTAAAACTTCCTGGTCAAGTAAAAGTATGTATTAACTTAAAGATGCACTATGTAAGATTTAGATAAAAAAAATTACTGACAGTTTTAGCTATAGTAGTTGACAACTAGATAATATAAAGGGAATATCTTGAAAATTTGAATCAAAAGTACTTCATTCTGAGCGATGTTAGGGCTGTTTGGAGAATAGCGGAGTCTCGATTGTTATTTCTATTGTTGCTATGATAGTAAACAAAGTCTCTATTATCCATTTTTAAATTAAATCATTAAATCAACCGTTTTACTATCAATGAATATAAACTATCAGCCAGACCTTGGTTTAATCTTACCTAGTGCACAATTTCACTTGAGGAACTGTGCCAATTTCCGGTCTTCCTGTAGGCCTTAAATGTTAAATAAATTATTAATTAAATAAATTATAGCAAGAACGGCCAGTCCTTTATCCAGGTCTTACATAATGTATCTTTAAGTGTGAATTAAACCGTGGAAAATTGGGACTTATACATAACAATAAAGATACCGTGATAGATATAGCTTTATATATAGTAATACAAGAACACATTAAAGTTGAGTACATAGTGTAGTTAACAATAAGATAGGCATAGTTTAAAAATACAATATATGTTATCACAGATAGAAATGAAATGTGGTTTAAATTTTAATAAAGACGATCATATCACACAATGATATAGGACTATAGTTTATAATTTATTAGCTAGACATCAGATTGAATCTTTAAGCACGGTGACGTGGTGACGTGTTTAAATAATGTTGCATGAATTTGTAGCTTTTGAAAAAAGGTCACTAAACCAAAACACGTCATTACGTAACTGAACCATGTTATTTTTGCTAAGATTTCTCTTGTGTTATGTTAATGTAAATATAAAATCTATATCACGTTAATCTAAATATAACATGAAACATAACATCTGTATTTCACTAGAAGGTAAATATATACTTGAAATCATTATATACAATATGCTGACAATCTTTAAACTATGTACAAGATGATATAGGTTAAAGTTCTTTTTCACATGTTTAAACAATTAACTGCATGGTGGATTAATTATTTGTTGTTCTCCCCTCTTTATTAACCCAGGCTTATTCATCTCCACTTGGTCCAATTTTAAATTCTTCCCCGGCTTCTTTATTGTTCTTTTTCTCTTTGTTAACAACCGCGTATTTATCTCCACATGGCCCTATTTTAAATTGTTCATTACGTTTATCATTATTGATCATCTCCCCACCTTTATTAACAACAGCGTAATTATCTCCCATTGGTCCCAACTTAAATTTCCCAACCGGAAGTTTTACTTTTAGTTTATCATCAACCACCACGTCATCAGTGGCATCATCAGAACTAATATCAAGATCATTTTCTAGATATTCCATCCCTTGGTTACCGTTGCTAGGTTTTAGTTTATCATCAACGATCACGTCATCAGTAACATCATCAGAACCAATATAAAGATCATTTTCTAGATATTCCATCCTTTGGTTACCGTTGCTAGGTTTAACCAATTCATAATTCTGTTTAGGTTGGTGAGTTATTTCCCCTGATCTGTTATCTGAAATGTTCTGGTAAGGATGAGGATCAATCTCTACAGCTTCTGGACTTTCATAATTCTTGTCTTTTCTCCGTTTACGTATTACACTATAATATACAAAACAAGTTAAAGTGAGTTACTTCGACTGGTAAAATGTTTATTTATTAAACTGTAATATAAAGAAATGAAGTGAGAGAGTTGTTGTCTAGCAAGACCCGATGACAGGGACGGATCCAAGAATTTTTCAAAATTTTTAAATAAGGTGTGTTAAGATGAAACTTGTATCATCAATTAATTGAAATATTCTAAAATAGTACAATTTGTTGACCAGAATAAAGATTCGGGCACATTATTCAGTCACAACAAGAGGGGTATTGAGCCTTTAAAGAGAGAAATCCAACATCCAGCTTGACGTCAATTTGTATATGATGATAAAGGATAAAGATCACGACAGTTACACTTTTCTCGTGAAGTGTTGTTTGACAATGTTTTTATGTAGTTGAGCTACATATCCGCCCCCTAGATGATATATTTACTTTAAGATTACACTTCTGGTGATCACAATCAGTGCTGGAGTAACACCGTGTAGCACTGCAGTTGCTGTGAGTCCTCCCCCCCCCCCCGTTAATATTTCAAGGGGAAAATATTGAATTTATCTAATTAGTCAAATGTTTGCTTTCGCTGTAGTATTTTTTTTTTCTAGTCAACATTTAAGGCTGAAGATACGTCTTTCGTGATTGAATTTATATGTTAGAAATGATGTAACTAATCAGTGAGTGACTGTAGCTATCATAACTTTAATCATTCTGCATTATAAATCACAGTGTATTTGATATTAACCTACCCGAGGTTGATATGATAGAGAACACGCGGAGAGAAGGTTTATATCCGACATATCATACAACGTCATAGTTTTAATCACCCTTAAATTAAATGGACTATTCCATTAAAAGTCAACAATGATTGGATAATTGTTCGATAGTTTTCGACAAATAACGAAAATTACCGAACTAATCACGTGAATGCATTCTTTATACCCAACTACCTTGTCGCCATTTTGGAGTAAATAGAGGTTCAATTGAATTAAAAGCAAAAACAAAATGGGCAGTAATACATTATCAGACGAATAATCAATCCTTTTTAGCCAACAGATTGACGGTGGAACAGATTTAAAAGCAATTCTCTACGAGAATCTATTCCGATAATTCTGACAGTGAACCGTAAAGGTTTTCGGTATGTTCAGAGAAGGATTTGACCGACTGTGTTAAGTGGACTGTACCCAAAAATAATTTACAAAGGAACTCTTGGGCTATAAATACTTTCACGTCTTGGATCATCAACGCGTTATGAACAGAATATATCAACCTGACATGACGTCATGACAGGTTGATATGACCCCAATATACCAACCTATGGTAACGTAATGACAGGATGATATGAGATATAATTTCTATGCCCATCAAAGAATGGGGAGTTGGATGACCGAATGTATAGCACATGCGCTCTTTATCATGGGGCCTGTCTTTGATTCAACTGGCGTGGTTTCGAATCCCCGGCTGTACGTGACAAGGAGTAGGGTTGCCTGTCCAACCTCGTGGGTTTTCTCCGGGTCCTTCGGTTTCCTCCCACTGCTAAAGACACCTTAGCGCAAACAAATTATTGAAATAAAATTAAACCATGTGTTAGTTCCGAAATGACCTAGTCTGTGTCGAGTGGACGTTAACCCCCATGTCTCGTGGTAATGATATAAATTACAAGGAATATAGAGATGATACTAACCATATTACCATGGTAATGATACAAGAAATATGATACTAACCAGATTACTATGATAATAATGATGATGATTATCACCATTAATCCTCCTACAGCTCCACCAATTATACCAGACACTGGAATATATATAACATGAGAAATAATAACGATTTATTCTTTCAAAAATATAATTTATAATAAACTACATAAATGCAAGAAATGAATATCTGAATCCCACGATTCAACTGTTAATCTATCTGAACAGTTTATACTGACAATCGAGCAACTCCTGTATACAGCTAAATATGGACCAGGGTTAAAAGGCACAACAGTCAACTGCCTGGTGTGTTTAAAGGACGGCGTTATCGTCCACCGACTTAACATAACTACGTTTGACGCTGGTTAGAAATGAAGAAATACATTTAAGTGGTCCCGTTCCTCTGTAAACAAACTTACTCGAGTTATCATTCTTAGATGTTGGTGTTGTTGGTTGGTTAGATTCACTACCAGGTGTTGTTGTTGTTGGTTTGTTAGATTCGCTATCAGATGTTGGTTGAATAGATTCACTAGCATATGTTGGTTGGCTAGATTCATCACCAGATGTTGGTGTTGTTGATTCCATATCAGATGTTGGTTGGATAGATTCACTAGCAGACATTGGTGTTGTTGGTTGGTTAGATTCATTACCAGATGTTGTTTGGCTAGATTCATCACCGGAAGTTGTTTGGCTAGATTCATCACCCGATGTTGTTTGGCTAGATTCATCACTGGATGTTGATTGGTTAGATTCATTACCAGATGTTGTTTGGTTAGATTCATCACCGGGTGTCGCTATTATTAATGAGAAGTAAATAGATCTATGTTTATATATACTATTCAAAAAAAGTAGGGGATATTTGATTTTTAAGTGTTATTAAATTCACCTAATGAAACTGACGAAGAAACAAATGACAAAATGAAATGAAGTTCACATTCATCGATTTATTCCAAATGATCGTTAGACTAAGTAAGGCACAGACTGACCATTATAAGGGTAAAATGGTACCCGGGGTCAAACAGCAAAGTTACCACAGCATCACAACCAAGTCAGTAACGGGTAAATCCTCCTCTGTTTGCCAAACAAGCATTGATCCGACGTGGCATACTCCTAATGAGACGTCTAAGGTCATTTTGGTCCAGATTGTCCCATTCCTATTGCAACGCAGCAGCAAGTTCTTGGACATTGGCAGGACGTTGTTGACGTTGACGTAACCTCTGTCCAAGCATGTCCCAGACATGCTCGATGGGGGAGAGGTCGGGACTCAGTGCTGGCCAAGGTAATGTGGTGATGTTCTGTTGTTGGAGGTAACCTGTAACGATCCTGGCCCTGTGACATCTTGCGTTGTCATCCTGGAAGATGAAACGGCGGCCATGACGTCGTGTGAACGGCACAACATGGACTGCCAAGATGTCGCCAGGTAGTACTGGCCTGTAACACGCCCTGCAACAACATGTAAAGCCGTTCTTCCAGCAACAGTGATGCCTCCCCACACCATAACAGAACCACCCCCAAATCGATCATGTCTGGTGACGTTAACGTCTTGGAAGCGCTCGTTTCGACGACGCCACACCCTCCTACGTCTGTCCAAAAAATCAACAGTGAACCTTGACTCATCTGAAAACATCACATTGCTCCAGCGTCGATTATCCCAGTGTTGACGATCCCTACACCAACGACGTCTTGCCTGAATGTGATGATCTCTCAAACAAGGGATCACGCGAGGACGTCGGGCGCGAAAGTGACCCCTATGCAGTCGATTCCGAATCGTCTGGCCACTCACTCTCACACCAGTGTCTGTTTGAAGACGAGCGCTGATCTGATTTGCAGTGATGACATGATTTCTCAAGGCCAAGGTACGGATAAATCGATCCTGGGCTTGAGTTGTCGCCCTTGGTCGACCTGAGCGTGGTCTGTCCTGTACAGATTGTGTATCACGGTATCTGGACCATAGCCTGCTTATGACAGACTGAGAAACATTCATCGTCTGCGCCACAACCGCCTGTGTTGTGCCGATCTGTAGCATGCCAAGGGCACGTAACCTTTCATTTTGGGTAAGCCGACGCATATCAAAATTTGTTTTCTGGTCACTAAAACAATTAAACTGATGTTTCCACCCTGGAATTCAATGCCACAATGACTGTAACATTCAAAGTCAGAGTCGTGCAAATCTTGGGTTGGACCCCCATGATGATCCCAAGCATCACATGCATTCCATGCGGTAGCTATTGGTGCGTTTGGGCGTCACATGTAACTGGAAATGTTTCTTCTGTTAGGTTCTATAGTGACTTTTTTCGTAGTCATTTGCATATTTTAGTATTATGCCCCCAAAATCAAATATCCCCTACTTTTTTTGAATAGTATCCAATAAAATAACCAAAGTAACATTTAAACAATCACATATTTATTTTATTTTTTTTTTCAGGCTAATTTAATTTTTCAGGGAATGGCTACAGAAAATGGCTATAAACCTAAAGCCGGACGCAAATCTTGAGCTGATTTTACCACCAAGTAGTGGTGTTATTTGGTTGTTTCTGACATTTGTTTGTTTGGTAGTATGTGGTTACTGTTTCTGATGTCCAGTTAACTGCACAAGTCTGTTCTTTTATTATTTGAATTAATGTGGACCCGCCTTTGTGAGCCATCGCGGCTCAATGAGTAAGACATTGGCTCGCTAGCCTGGAGGTCCCGTATTCGATGCTTGTGTTGGCCGAAATAGTCCATCTTTATTTCCGGCATGGTTTCACCTTGTCAGTGGTGCAAGAAAGAGGGCTTGGCAAGTTACAACATATAGTCGTTCGGATGGGACGAAAAACCGAGGTCCCGTGTACACATTCATATGTACGAAAAAGAATCCTTGGCAGTTGGAATTCGACATAAAAGTGGGTCATACCGTCGCACTTCATAGCACTGTGTGGCTTAAGTAGGACGTTAAACCCCATTTCAATTCATTGCATTTATGTAATCTAATGGTTGTGAATTTAAACCAAGGTTTGAAGACGATGTTGACCGATTGACAATGAACACTGTTCTTGGATGGAATGTGATTAGATGGAACAGAATATTAACAACTAACTTATACTTTCTGTGAAAGATGTTTCTATATCATCAGTAGGTTTAGAACTTGTTGTTGTTGACCATCTTGATTTACCACATGACAGTGTTACAGGTGTTGATTCTAGGTGAAAATAAAACAAAAACAACGTGAATGAATGATATAAAGGATAATTTGTATATTTGGGTGATTACTATATATACATACCAATCAAATTAGAAGTTCGTGATTAGTGCACGAATATAGTGCAAACAATCAGGCGACAAATGCGGGGGGGGGGGTATGTCCTGCTCAGTCTTAAGGGATTCGTTGCCCGAAATGACCGGAAATGGCATCTACAGCGTTGGGTGGTCACGAATTGTGACTATAATACTACAATTAGGCTGTCACCCCTGTTTGTGGGTGTGGATGGAGTGAAAGTGTACGGATGTATGTCTGTTGATCTCCGACAGGAAGCAATTCGTAACAGATCGTCTTGAAAATTTGCATTCTTATTCCTTACACCCTAGCGATAGGGTCACGCACATGGTTTTTTTTATGTGTATCCTCTAGTGATCGCATTTTTAAGATTAGGTTGGAATTTGGTATACTTATGACTAATTCCGGCGCCAACTATTGATTTTGGTCCAAGGGGTGGTGTCACTCCCAGGTCTTTGTTAATATTTTGTCTGTAAATATTCTACAGATTACAATTATTAACCGATTTTGTTCAAATTCGTCTTGTTCAATCATTTTAATCAACGGATTGTACCATATTTACATTGGTTCACGTACCACCCCCAAGGGCAGTGCCACGCCCACCTTATTGTTAATATTTTGTGACTGAACTTCCTAACCGATCGTCATGGAACTTGGCACACCTTTTCCTTCAACTATCAGGACGACATCTTTTGATATTGGTGCTTGGTCGACTCTCAGTGTCATGCCCACATTTAATATTTTAAACCGATCGTCTTGAAACTTGCAAAACATATTGTTTTTGATGTATGTCCGACCTCCAGACTGCATTTTATACAAGCCTTTGTCTAGATGTGACATGCTCGTTCATTTGAAAACAAGGATTTTTGTGCATGTACAGTGTAGGCATTCTACAAGCTGTAATTATTTACACATTTTGTCCATGATTATTCATTTCAAAAAGATGACGGAACCTATTGATTTTGGCGCATGACCCACCCCCTAGGGTTTCCATATTACACCCATTGCAGTCATTTCATATTGAATTTAAAGCAAGGATGTGGACATGCCCGGCGTGGGTTTTCCCGCTTTCAACTGCCGCTAAACACTTCGATATGGAGATATAAAAATCCTGGAATCTCCCCTGAATATATAATTATATTATTACCTGATGTTATTTCCAGACAGGCGCTGAATTCTCTCCTTTTACTTATATCATCTTGTGATAAGTTTATCGCGACACTACCACCAGTTTGTATTGGTATGATTGATTCGTCTCTATCTCTACATGAATATATCCTGCCCCCAATCATATAAAGAAACTGGAATTTATAAGAACATCCATGTGGTATCCGATGTTCTTTTATTGTAACATTGGTTGGAAATCCAGTAGATAAAGAACATGAACATTGTGTAGTATCATCATTTCTTCTAACACCAGACAGATAAACAATGTTACCAGTTATAGAACCATCATTACATACTGGTATAGATAAACGATCTGTAATATAAAATATAAAATGTCGCGTGATCAAGATTTACCAGTCAGAGAATACTGATGTTTAATTTCCTGAAAAAAAATGATAAAATAAGAATATATCAAGATTTATTTTATAATTCATCGCCAATGATATACAATTGATACGTATGGACTGTAATAAAAATTGAAAACAAAAACTGCGTAAGAGCAGTACTGAAGTGCTTTGGTACGTCAGGTCACGCCTTGTCATGTCACTAATCAAGTTCCACCTTGAACTATTGAGTATAGTAACATCCAATACCTATTTCTCAACGGATCTTCGTCGGGTTTTCATTTTTGGAATCTTTGGACGAATCCCATAGAATTCGGAAGTTCGCTAGATTAGTTTTAGAATCAAAGATTTGCGAAAGCTTTCTTCGGCATTTTCTCGATGTTCAAAGATGGCGTATCTCAGTCACTATTTGGGGTAGAAATAAGGAACACATTAAAGCCTTCATAATGGCATATTAAAAACTTCCGAAAATTACCGAGGCCTTCCGATTTTCCCTGAACATAAATAGTTCTCTTCGTTTTAAAAATGGACTAAAAATGATATATGATGGTGTTAGTCCCAGATGTTATCTTTCATTTTCAGATACCTTGCCCCATAACATTTTCAACCGTTTGACCGCCATATATATTGGATTTTACAAAATTCAGATTTGATTCCGATTTTCAAAAACTTTTGTTTTGTTTTTAACCTACTCGAAAATCCAAATGGCAACAGTTTCGACTTTTGATCTGTTATCTGGTGACCTAGCTATTCAATGACCCTTGCCCTTTGCACATATGAAGCCCGGGAACCTCTACTAACAACTAATTTCAAAATGGCAGGTTGTCCGCGTTAATAGGTATCAGACGATATTATACTCAGTAGTTGATGGTGTATGGATGTAACCGTGTGTAGCGTGACATGGCGTGACTTTGTCGATAGCGTAAAATACAGAAGATATATAGGTAATAACTTTTTTCAAAACAATGTAAGTACAAATTATGAACGCAAGGGGGCTAACTAATTTTTATGGCCACAGATCACCAATGTTTCCCCATTGACTTTAATGTTAATTCTCGTCTCGTAGACCGCCCCTAACTTTTCCCCAAATTTCCGTTGGGTAGAACGCTTCTATCACAGATAGAGCAACATGTGACAACCTCTTGACCTAAAGCATGTATGAGGTTCTTCATAAAAAACCTTGAGATACAAAAGCCTGAAGTAGGGACAAGTAAACATGCAATTTTCCGCCCTACATTTCAACCTAACCCAACTCTTAACTCGTGTATCCTTCTGCCTCCAAATCATGAATATTCACCAAAACCTGGCAGAAAACGTATATTCAAACCTTTTCCTTCAATTATACACCAAAATGGCAAGAAAGATCGGCATGCAAAAGGGGGGAAAAGATAAAGGGGGCGGGAGGTAAATTATCTGCGCCACGCTTGATAAAGGCTATTTAAGCCTTGAAAATACAAGTGAAATGGTGACGCCACGTGAAACATTTAGCCGAAACACGTCAGTAGTCATTCTTCTGAGTTCTAGTTGAAAATGTTATCACTAAAACAGTTTTGCAACCAGCTATGCTCTACTCATTTTTGTGGCTTTGTGGGGGTTGGATGGCCGAATGGTTAGCAGGTGCTTGTTGTATCATACGGTCTGTCATTGAGTCAACTGGCTGGGTTTCGATTCCCCGGTTGTACGTGACAAGGAGTATGGTCGCCTGTCCAACCTCGTGGGTTTTCTCCCACTGATAAAGACCCCTACGAGCAAGTGAATTATTGAAGTAGGATTGAACCATGTGTTGGTCCTGAATTGAACTAGTTTGTTTCGAGTGGACGTTAAATCACATTTCTCTATCTCTCTCTCTCTCTCTCTCTCTCTTTCTCTCTTGTGACGTTATATCTGATCATTAAAGTACCGTATAAAAACATTTGCTGCGTATTTTAAAAGAGGCAAGTCGCTGACTCAATATCATCCACAGTCTTCGACATTGCAAATACTACTTATTGGTCAATTTAAATCAACATTCATGTTGATATCTTGGGCTGATGAAACCCAATCTTCAAGACAAAAAGAATATTTTAAAATTGGCACGCGAATCGCGTCAGAATGTGTTCGAGTAAAAACAGAAACTATTGAATGGAAATCAGTTTATAAACATTCATATTACATCATTACATGCGTTGCAATCCAGTTGTGCCTATTTCAAACTCTTTTAAACATTGAGCATTATGTCTTTATATTTTGTTTGTAAAAAAGTGTCTTACCATTTGAAATGCAATTGTAACTACCTGAAAAGACAAAACAGAACTTGATGACTTAATTCGATCATATACAAATTTGAAACAAATTATTAGCAAACTTTTTGCATCTATTAGCCTGTTGATTCATTATTATGTTGCATATTATTTTGTCTTTAAACGATTTGGTGAAGTAAATTACTGGTGATCGTTGTATTTAAGCTTTTTATCTACGCAGTAACCCACAGATAATTGGTTAATTAAGCTACACGTTTTTCAGTTAAAGTATCACCTTACACATGAAACCACCCAGGCTCAGGGCCCCGCGGTTTAGGGGGGGGGGGGGCGGTTCATGGCAAAAAAAAGAAAAAAATCATTTCCGCGCATTGTATGCCATTGGGAACTGAATATATTTCGTATGTGATCAGCTATTATGTAATTATTCTTGTATTACAGACCATGCCATTCAAAGTGATATGAAATAATCTTTTCGTCGCGTTAGGGGCCCCGCAATTCTAGTTAGGTCCAAGTCCTCGGGACTCAAACGCGGTTGGTGTTGAATCTTGCGCCATAAGTTTCGAATTGAAAATATTTAGAGATATTGAATTAGAGATAATCGCGTAGACTTGTTTTTCGGGGATTATAATATGGAGAAAGGCCGTTTATAATTTTATGAATGAATTTAAAGGTCGCCGGAAAAGGTTCATAATTTTTTTAAATAAAGCAAGTAATTATGTCAACATATCCTTTCCATAAGTATAACACGACCCCGAATGTCAATATTACCTGCAACAGGTAAATTTCAACATTACTAATTTCCGCCATTCTTCGTGGGTAGTCGTAACTTTCCGTATCTGTGACGTCATTTTAGCCCTTCTGCTCATATTACTAATGTTGAAATTTACCTTTTGCAGATAATATTGACATTCGGGTTCGGGTTATACTTATGGAAAGGATATGTTGACATTATTACTTGCATTATTTTTAAAAAAAAAGATGCTTTTCCGGTGACCTTTAAGTTTATGTCTTCTGCGTTTCTCTTTTAGTGTAATAAAACTGGTTTCTTCATAAAACAGTCCATGGATGGTACCCCTTACAGTACCAGCTAAGTGCATCCAGTTGTAGGTGCTCTAATTTGTTAGCTAGTTGGTCCGTGCAGTTGTCCCAAATGACGTCACAATAATCAAAATGAGGTAGAAAGAAAGAGGTATAGATGGTTTGTAACATTTACGGTTAAGTCTGTATTTGAGGGATCTTAAACGATTGGCAGATTTGCTGTGGGGTTTTTTCAATCATGCCGTTAATATGTTTATTGCAGATTCCTTGAAAAGTTAAGCCTAAATGTTTAATTGTGATCGGAGACCTCCTTGATATGAACACTATTTAGAGTAATGTTTGGTGATGTAGAGTTCGGTTTGGTTGTCAGTGCTAGTGCTTAGGGCTTTAGTGAGAGGGAGAGAGAGAGAGAGGGAGCGGGGGGTGGGGGTAACGTCCACTCGAGACAACGCAGGTCATTTCGGGACTAACACATGGTTCAATTTTATTTCAATAATTCGCTTGCGCGTAGGGGTCTTTAGCAGCGGGGGGAATATGGAGGACCTGGGAAAAAACCCACGTGGTTGAACAGGCGACCCTACTCCTTGTCACGTAGAACCGGGAATCGAAACCACACCAGTTGACTCAATGACAGTGTGTTGAAGAATACCGGCCATGTTTTAGCCCATCAGTTAATTTTATCCAGATCATTGTTTAGAATATTTGCGAATTTAGTTGGGCTATCAATTTTCAGATAAAGGGAATTGTCGTCAGCGAAAAGTCGGAACATGTGATATCATTTACAATGGCATTTATATAAATGATAAAAAGGAGAGGACCAATAACAGAGCCCTGTGGCACGCCCGAGGGAATCGTTTTGGTGGAGGAGGAGACTGTTTTATTCCCTCTAAATAGTTGTGAATCCATTGAGGGATGTCGCCCCACAGCTTCAAGCTTGTGACATAGTAAATCTTTACTTATGTCACAGAACACTGCTCTCGTGTAGAATCCCTGTCCAATGGCTTAAGAAAAGTAATGTGTGATATCGGTAAGTTGGTAAATACATGTACTAGAATCCCCATGCAACGTGTACACGGAACCTCGATTTTTCATTCCATTTGAAGAAATAGTAAGAAAAGAAGGTGCCATTCGTAATACGATACCATTAGTATAGAGTGACAGTCCTAATATAATGTAAAGATACCACGCTATATAGTGTTTACTATTCACACGCATTACGTTTTTTGACAATATGTAACAATATGGAACTATTTCTTTCCCGAATAAAATCTCTTTATTTTAAATGCACTACCAAAGGTGGTACACAATTACTTCTTTGTATTCAGTTTTGTTTGTTTTTTTGTGACGGATGGAACATGTTCCCTAAATGTATTCAATATACCTCGATTCCATTGAATACTGAAACGTTTCTTGATTAATTTAGAGCATTTAGATTTAGACAACTTTTGTTTTATACATTTCACCGGTGTGGTACTTGTATAGGCCTAGTTGAATTTTACTACAATATGCTTACATTCGTATTTCTTGTAGTATATAGCATATCATGACTCATGCTGACATTACACAATGGTTTCTTTGGGCTGTATTCCTGATTGTTTTCAAATTTGAGTGAAGTCTATGTTACTACAGGCCTGAGACTGTAGGCCTACAGCGCAGTGGACGCTTATGGGTAGCCCCAGGATCTATTCACTTTTTTAAAATTATTTGTTTATTTGTGTTTTTCTGAGTATGATGTCTTGTCCATGTATTTGTGTTTGTGTAAATTATGTGTGGTGCAGTCCCTCTGCACTTACTGTTTGACAAAGCAGCGATAAAGGGGGCTTTTTAAAATTCTGTTTTAACGTTATTATTTTACATAACGATGTGTGATTTGCATATCTCGGATTATATCAAATTTCTCATGGTTAATATGTACCCAGAATATACCGGATTAAAACATGACCCATCAATTATAATTCGCGATCAACTTAACGTGGCAGCAGGCGTGTTAATGTCATGACGTCATTCGACAATAAACAACTTGGCATTGGTGATCAGTCTACAGTAGTTGAAAAATGGCGGAAACTTCAACTTGCAAGATATCTGGACATTTCCACCACGAAAGTGAAGCAAGTAGATAGAAAAATTAAAGTGAACAATTTACATAAGGGGTAGCATATATCAACAATTACATAAGGGGTAGCATATATCAACAGAATTTCTTTTCATCATATATTTCTAAATACTGAACGAAATTGAACCATTATTGAAATTCCATAGCGCTAAAATCACGTTTAGCGAACTTTATTTAAAGCACATTAAAGTGTCAAATATAGATTGACGGCTTTCGATCCGTGCATTGACCGAGAAAGTTGATTTGGTTTCAGTGGTGCAGGGCGTAGGACCTGACAAGGGCAGCTGTCTAGTCGTTCGAATAGGACAAAAAACTGATGTCACGTGCATACATTGGCGTGCACGTAAAAGATCCCTTGGCAACTGAAATTCGATATAAAAGTAGGCCACGTGCCGCTGACCAGGAAAAAATTCCCTCATAGCACACTGTATATGGCGTATATCCGTCTTCATTATCCCAGTCGGAACAGAACAGTGGGACGTTAAACCCCATTTCATTTCATTTCTTTTCATTTTATTTGTAGACAGCTTATACTACTTAAAGATACATTATGTAAGATTTAGATAAAGAGCTGACCGTTCTTGCTATAAAAGTCCAAAAATAGATAATGCAAAATGAATATATTGAAAATTTCATTCAAGTTACTGGGAGAAGTAATAACTATTCGAAGATATAGCGTAGATTATTTATTATCTTAGCAACGGTACGTGACAACAGATTCTTAGATTCTATTGACAATTTTATCGTTAAACTATTAAATCTGGCCGATGTTTAAATCCATTTTAATATCGGCCATCCGATGCTTTAGAGAATTGTTAATAGGCTTGGCATGTTAATAAAAGTCTAATTAATATTTTAGATAACATTTCAGGCCTAAAGAAAGACCTGCAATAGACAGATTTAGCTCTTACATAATACATGTTTGACATCCGTTTATGTGGTTTTAATTTACAACCCCGCTCCAATTCTCTCTGGATTGTCAAAAAATGACACGCTTACACACGTGGGACTTGATTGGGTTTTTATATTCACTAAAGCTATCCTATTCAAACAGAATCATGTCCTGTTAGTTTTTTTTTTAAACTTTATCACAAGTGAATATCGTAAGAAAATATGCATGTTAAACAATAATATAAACAAGTCTATCAAATATCATACACGTGAAGATAGTTGATTCAGGAAGACATGCCAGGTATATTTATAGATTTGTCTAGTCATTAAATAAAAACTATATCTCAGGAGAATGAGAGAGGGTGAGAGAGAGAGAGGGGGTGGGGTGGGCCGGGGTTTAACGTCCACTCGACACAAACTATGTCACTTCGGGACTAACACATGGTTCATTTTTATATGAATAATTCGCTTGCGCGTAGAGGTCTTTAGCAGTTGGAGGAAACCGGAGAACCCGGAGAAAACTCACGAGGTTGGACAGGCGACCCTAATCCTGTCACGTTCAACCGAGGAATCGAAACCACGCCAGTTGACTCAGTGACAGACCTTATGATACAACGCACACACGCTGACCATTCGCCCCCGCCCTCCGGGAGAATAAGAGATAGGTTAAATGTTTTAATAATAAATGTAATTGGTAGACAGGCTCGCGAATGAATCTGGGAATGGGTGGCAACTTTTGCCGGGGTGGGAGTGGTCGAATGGTCTAAGATATGCGTTCGTAAGGTCTGTCATTGAGTCAAGCGACGTGGTTTTAATTCCCAGAATATACGAGGTCCCCCGATTTCCCCCTACTGCTAACTACCTCTATGACAGGACATTACCCCCCCCCCCTTTCTCTCTCTCTCTCTCTCTCTAGGTAAAATTAACAAGACGACCCCATGAATAAGTTTGCCGAATTTATTATAGAGGCAATCCAGGCTTAAAATGTCCAATTTCATGTCAATAAAACCTACAGTAATTTCGCTAGTGTCAACTTAACAAACGGGTTGGAGGTAAGCGCTTTAGATCATAAGGTCTGTCATGTTTCGATTATCAGCTTTCGATCCCAGCATTGGCCGAGAAAGTTTATCCTGGTTTTTCGACGTGGTTTCACCTTGTCAGTGGTGCAGAACTGAGGGACTGACAAGGACAGCTGTCCAGTCCTTCGGATGAGACGGAAAACAAAGTTGGAATTCGATATAAAAGTAGCCGATAGTGCCGCTGCCCGGGCAAAATTTCCTTCATAGCACACTGTATGGCGTATGTCCGTCTTCATTAGTCCAGTATAGTAGCAGAACAGTAGGCGTTAAATCCCATTTCATTTCATTTTATTTCGATTATCAGCTACAATAAGTATGGTCGCCTGTCAAACCACGCACTGCTAGAGACCCCTGCTCACAAATGAAATTGAACTCTCTCTCTCTCCAGTGTCCCTCGAGGCATGTCAACCAAACACAGGCCTGGCCTGGTTATTCTTAACTTAAATAACATAATTTATAAACATCCAGTCATACAAGATATCTTTATAAAGGACCTGGTCGATTGTGACTACATTCATCTGTACTCGGATATCCAGTCAATCTATTGTATTAACCGTTTCGTTATTGAAGAATGTAGGTCACGTTACTAGTTTATGTAATTGTGTACGGTTAATCTGTTTTTAAAATGTACAAGATGTTGATGAGGATTTTCTTTGTGATTTTATCATACATCACAGGTAAATAGTTTTTATTATTTATATATTAGTACAGGTGTATCCAGGTGTGTCAGGTGAAAATATATTCGCCACTGTCTTATTGTCGAATGAATCGAGCAAGACCATCTTCAAACTACGTTGCTTTAAAAGAACAATAAACAACTACTTGTGAATATTTTCCTGCTAAAAAAAACATGTGTATATGTATTTGGGATATATGATACTTCATACCATTCAATATTAAGTTTATAAGATTTTGTTTATATCACAACAATAGCGTTACAAAGCAATAAATAAACCTATACCTGACTAGGTATTGTCGTGACATTCATAGTTAATGTGTCATATCCCTATTTATCGTTTACCTATAATTACAAATTACCCCCCTTTATTTTATAAACATGTTCGATCGTATTCTATAAAATACAATCCCTGAGACCTTAAGTTTCTAGGACACCAAGAAGCAAAGATGGCTATTTGAGTGCAGGTATTTGACTAGAATGTTAAACGTCGTATAGAAAGTAGGGCGATGTCAAGTCAACCATGACCAGTAATGGCGTCTCTCAGGTATGCGTCATGCGTCGTATGTCTCTGATAGTATAGACCTATGACAGTTATACAGGTGCAATAAAACTCAATGTGATATCTTAAACTGGTAATATAAAATTAAAACAAACGAAGAAATCTGTCCAATTAATAAAATTACGTTTATATCATTCATTATTATTAGCCTATTATGGTACTATCTACCTTGTACTACGTTGTATTATTATTGAAATGATTTTTATATTAATGTTTTGTTATCAAGTTAAAGGTTACATGAATATATTAAAAAAATTCCCTCCAAATTCCCATCATGTTAAGCCGCGTGACGCCATTGGTTTGTAGAATTCCTTAGCATTTGCTTTAACTACTCTTGAATTAATGAATAGAATAGAGCTGAACATAGAAAGCACCTTTAGTTTGAATCGCAGTTTATTGTCAATGAATCGCAGTTTATCAATAACCAGATTTCATAGTAGAATGCTTTCTCCGTCAGAGCAGCTAAAATGTGAAATGATCTTCCAAAAACTCTTCGAGAGTCCTCTTCCATCCAGAGCTTTAAGACTAACTTAAAAAACATACTTATTTCAAAAATGTTTTTGAACTGTGATGTTGTGAATGCGCTTAGAAACACTCATGTGTAATGAAGCGCTATATAAATCGAACAATAATAATAATAATATTAATTGAACTTTGTAGAAAATAGATAGAATTGACAAATGAAGAATATTATTGTGGAATATATATAAAGCTGTGAATATAAACTTTTGGTGTATTTTATTCAGTATAGGTGTCTATGGCAGTATATGCAGAATTTAAATTTAACAATTATTATCGTATATGATCTGACTTTAATTACGTTTCCCTGAAATATTGAAAATAGAAAATTCAGGAATGCATTTCTAGCTTCTAATGAAATGACCAATGTTAAATACAACTCTATAATAAAATGAAATGGGGTTTAACGTCTTACTGTCCTGCTCCGACTGGGCTGATGAAGACGGGCAAACGCCATACAGTGTGTTATGAGGGATATTTTGCCCGGGCAGCGGCACTATGGCCTACTCTTATATCGAATTCTAACTGCCAATGGGTCTTTAATGTGCACGTCAAAAGATAAACGAGACCTCGGATTATCGTCCAATTCGAACAACTAGACAACTGTCCTTATCACGCCCCCCACCCTTCCCTGGTCGGAAAACAACTATATTATAAACACCGGTGGTAGCATACACGGGACCTCGGTTTTTCGTCCCAACTGCCCTTGTCATCACACCCCCCCCCCCCCCGTCGGAATACAACTCTATTATATACACCGGTGGTAACATATACAGCTTTACTAGATATTAAACTTAAATGATAGTTTTATAACCTGAAATGGTCAGGTAAATTGTTTGGTTCGGATTATAATTAACACAAGGTACAAATGTTTGACATACTAAACTGATGCTGTCTACAATTATCTCCGCTTGAGAACAGACATTAAGCTAGTTGACCGCCATTTTAAGTCCTAAATCGACGATTTTAGTCGAAAACACTGAGCACATTTCGCGAATTTTAAGAGGTAAATATTCTGCTTTTATTTAATAGAATTGAAAAGAAGAATAAGTCGTTTAATGTGTAACAGATGTGTAACAGGTGTGTAACAGGTGTAGGACCGCATTACAGAACAGTATACTAATTGTTAAATATGGCGGCCATTTAGGACAGAGATTTATTCTCGAAGTATGAAGTAGATGATTCTCTGTGTGCATAATGTTCTATAGATACACAATTACTGCATTTATTATTATGTAACAATGACGTGCACAAAATTTGTAACGCCCTCGGCCAGTGCTTTATTGTAAACAAGGGACTCGTGTCATTTGTATAGTATATAGAATAGAATTACAGATTACACGTAATTTCAAGGTGCAATCTCGTGTCATATTATAATCCTGTTTCTAATTTATAGTTACTCAACTTTTTATATAAACTTTATACAAATGGTGTAAATAATAAACCATAATATAATGCAGAATTCTCGCGTCTTTATCACGAAGAGTGGGGATGGATGGCCGAATGGTTAGCACGTGCGCGCTGTATCACAAGGTCTGTCATTGAGTCAACTGGTGTGGTTTCGATTCATCGGTTGTACGTGACAAGGAGTAGGGTCGCCTGTCCAATCTCGTGGGTTTTCTCCGGGTCCTCCGGTTTCCTCCTACTGCTAAAGACTCTTACGCGCAAGCGAATTATTGAAAAGAAATTAAACCATATCTTAGTCCCGAAATGACCCAGTTTGTGACGAGTGGACGTTAAACCCCATTTCTCTCTCTCTCCCTCTCCCCCACCCCTCTCTCTCTCTCCTTTATCATGAAGATAGAGTAGCCTAGTCGCAACATCAATAATACATGAAATGAAATGGTGTTTAACGTTCTACTGTTCTATTCCTACTGGGCTAATACGCCATACAGTGTGCTGTGAGGGAAATTTTGCCCTGTCAGCGGCGCTAAGGTCCACTCTTATATCGATTCCAACTGCGACGGGATCTTTTACGTGTACGCTAATGTGTTCACGGAAACTCGGTTTATCGTTACATCCGAACGACTAGACAGCAGTCCTTGCCAGGCCCTCATTCCTGCGACACTGACAAGGAGGAATCACGCCGGAAATCCCAATGAACTTTCTCGGCCAATTCGTGTAGCGAAGCCATGACCTCCAGACTAGCGAGTCAGGGTCTTACTCATTTAGCCACCGTGGCTCTCAACTTCACTAAATTGTATTCTATAGAATTTATTTTAAAATGCATTATTCAAGAGTTAAATCTGTTTACTGTGGATCATTCGTTTATTTGGCCTCAAATATTATATCAATTATCAATTAGACATTCATAAACTTGTCAAGTCCATAATCAATTCTCGAGACCATCGGATGGTTTTGACTTTCAACGGATTTGCCAGTTAATAATTTGATTAAAAATAGATAACCGAAACTTTGTTTATTATCGTAACAAAGATAGCAATGACAATCGGGACTACACTGTTCTTCAAACAGAATAAAGTATTTTGACTGAAATTTGCAACATATTCCCTTTTCATTATCATTTTTTTTTAACTAGCGAGAACTATCCGCTCCTTTTCTAAATCTTACATCGTTTAAGGGGAGATAGAGAGAGAGAGGAGTGGGGTTTAAAGTCCACTCGACACAAACTAGGTCATTTCGGGACTAACATATGGTTTAATGTTAGCCTTTGGAGGAAACCGGAGGACCCGGAGAAAACCCACCGTACTCCTTGTCACGTACAACCGGGAAATCGAAACCACGCCGGTTGACTCAATGACAGACCTCATGATACAGCGCGCACGTGCCAACCATTCGGCCACCCAACCCCCTTCATCGGTAAAGGTATGGTATATTACACAACACCAGGTAATAACGTGCAAGGGAGGGGAGGGGGTGTTGGAGGGGGTAGGTCATGGGCATCCATTTCAATGACGTACAGAGGGGGGCGATGTCCACGGGTATCGATTTCAGTCGAGCATCCAATCAAACAGTGTAATGAAACAAGGATTTTGAAATTTGAGATTATCACTGATGACTCTGGTGTACTAGCTGTTTGAATAACAAGTTTATTTCGTGTATTTTGACATATTTATCTTCTCATATTTCTGTGTTCAAGGTCCTATATACGTTGAATCATGGGTGCATACAATCACGGGATTGGCCCAGGGCACCACCCAAAACGTCACTGTTTGTAAACTATAATCCAAGCAGCCATGATGAAAATTAATACTCATTCACATCCTGGTGATTATATTCCTGAATACACTTTTAGAATAGATAACAATGGTCTAGTACAAAATATTATTATTATATTCTCCATAGTATAGTAAATATGAAGAAACCACGGGTCTAAAATTCTGGAAGCCACGGTGGCTAAGTGAGTAAGGCGCTAGCCCGGAGTTCGCGGGTTCTCTCCCAGTGTTGGCAGAGGAAGTTCGTCGGGAGGTGCAGGACGGAGTGCCTGACAAGAACAGCTGTCTAGTGGTTCGGATGGGACGAAAACCCGACGTTCCGCGTACACATTGGTGGTAGCGCCGCTGCCCGGGCAAAATTCCCTTAACTCAATATATTTCGTCATTAGCCCAGTCGGAGCAGAACAGTTGGACGTTTAACTCAATATCATCCACAGTCTTCCACATTGCAAACACGATTCATTTGTCGATTTAAATCAACATTAATGTTGTTATCTTAATATCCAATATTTAAGACAAAATGAAAATATTAAAACTGGCATACGAGTCGCGTGCCAGAATGCTTTCGAGCGCCATTTTTTAATGAAGCGACTCAATGAACGAAACTAAAGATATCCCGCAAGAGAATACTACCGGTGTAGACTGGAATTACCAGACCCCAAAGACTGCCATTTGGATTGTTGGCGTTTTTCACCGAACCTAACTGATTAGAAATAACAGTAAAAACAGAAACGATTGAATGTAAATCAGTTTATGTACATTCATATAACATTATTACATGCGTTTCTACCCATTTGTGTCGATTTTTAAGTGCCAAAGAATAGAGATTTACCTCCTTTAATACCCATATCATTTTATTTAATATATGTCTGCACTCCTGTTATAATATTACATGTACATGCATGCATGGATGCGTTATAATTATTCACACATGCAGAATACATTGTGTCAGGGAAACTTTATATTATGACGCATGATAGATCGTTAAACTTATAAAATGACATTAAAATGACATGTATAACATGTGTCTCTTCATCTCAATATAAATGATAAATTTTAAAATCTAATAACGTTCCAACTTTCTGCACCAATCGGGCTAGTGTGCTATGAGGGGAATTTTGCTCTGGCAGCGAAAAAACGGGAATGCCGCTAGCCGGGGCATAATTCCCGTCATAGCACACAACGTTGCGTATGCCCGTCCCCATTGGAACGATTAATGCAGAAAAGTAGAATTGAAATGGGTAAACGTCGAAATGAAGACGGGCATACACCATACAGTGTGCTGTGAAGGGAATTTTTGCCCGGACAGCGGCGCTACTTCCTACTCTCATATCGAATTCCAACTGTCAAGGGATCTTTTACGTGCACGTCAATGTACACACAGCACCGTAGACCAATAGGAAGCTGTTACACCAAAAGAAATTATAACAAATATAAAACCCGAATAGACAGACGACTCGGATCAATTAAATATTTGTTTTCTTATTTTAATAGTAACCAAATAATTATTAACTTCTCGCGTATTTAAGAATGGTGCACTCTGTGTATTATTATTGTTTTCAAACAAGTGTCTTATTATTTCCGTGCGCTAAATATGGTGATTTATTTCAAATGTTTTATCTATATTCAGTGTGTTAAATATGATGATTTATTTCTGGTGTTATCTAATCAGTGTGCTAAACAATGATGATTTATTTCAGGTGTGCTATCTATTCAGTGTGCTAAATATGATAATATATTCGCCAGACAACCGACATATATTTCATGTGCCTTTGAATGTTGTGGCATTGGAAGTAACAGACATTGCTGTATACCGTATGTATATTACCAACATAGTTATTGTATATTATTTTATAAACTATTTTAATATATTAAACTATAACTTGCGCATCGAAAATATTAGTGACTATTCCATGCATTGCGGACCTGCGGTGTGTCAGTGATTAAGGTGGTGTCGACTCGCTAACACGGCGGCCTCGAGTTCAATCTCGGTGTTGGCCGAGAAAGTTATACTGGAAAGAGGTCCACATAGACCTAGCCTGTTCCTCAACCCAATTTCAAATGAAATAAAATATTGTTTATAAAAGAAATCTTGAATAAAATGGAGTAATGACAAGTCAGCGCCAACCGGGATATATTGCGCCAATCATTTGGTGAAAAGTGAGACAGGCTAAACCTTATCACAAAAAATAATAAATTTATATGCATATAAAAACAAATATCAGAGACGTTTTGAAATTAATAAAAAATAGATGTAACTTTACATATAAAACGTTATTGAGCTATTTCGAGTCAGAGCCTTTATAATAGTATACCTTTATAATAGTATATTGTTGGTGTTAAAATGGTTAACGTTATTATTAAACTATTTCATAGCATATATAATAGTCTTGCTGGCGTTTTATTATTATATTGTATTAAAGTATTGCAGAGCGTATATTATAGTATTGTTGATGTGTTATTATATTGTATTAAACTATTTCAGGGCCTATATTATAATAGTATTATAGTTGGTGTGTTATTATATTGTATTAAACTATTTCAGGGCCTATATAATAGTATTGCTGGTGTGTCATTATAATATTGTATTAAACTATTTCAGGGCCTATATTATAGTATAGTTGGTGTGTTGTTATATTGTATTAAACTGTTTCAGAGCCTATATAATAGTATTGTTGGTGTTAGGAGGGTTAGCGTTATTAGGTGGTACAGCTGTATTATTATATTGTTTATGGAAGAGAAGTGGATCTACGCATGTCGTACATTATTCATCTGGATCAGGTAAGATCCCATTATTGTTTTTATTTTTCCATACTTCCTTTTGCAAATCCCCGTATCCCCTGTTAAAACCCTGGACCCTGATTAAACTAACAGATTTTAAGAAAGCATCCTTTCTATTGGCTAATACCTGAAATCTGTACTTAGAAATGACCCCTCGACCAATAAAAAAGACACATGCTTTAAATATTTCAGTTTACGTTTTTACTAATAATACTCTTGGTATGCCTTATTAATTAATTAATAACATTCTCACTTTGATAGAAGGAATGCGGGGAAGGAGGGGTGGGTGCGTGGGGGGGGGGTACGCCCATACCAATAATCAAAGTCAGACCACCAGTAGCCATCATGCCATGCTTTCAATACCCATTTCGATTATTGGGATTAAGAATGGAACGAGGGTGTTTCACCTGATTTTATGGTAGACGAATGGTGTTCCTCTCTATTTATAGAAATTCTTGCTTTCACCCTTTTCCTTATTACTTGCTTGTCAATATTTCTGTGTTAGACAGTGTGTTTGAATTTACAATTGTATCAAAACGTTAACAGTCATAAATTAGGAAAATCGCCTTTTAAATAATACCACTGATAGATTCCATTTACCAAGGCTAGCCAAAAATCGAAATCTTCCTCACCTCATAACAAAGTCTAAAAATACCCTTCTTCGCCTAATAACTAAGTCTAAAAATATCCATCCTTCCTCATCCCACAAATATGCTTCCTCGCACTAAAGTAGAACAAAACATCCTTCCTCATTCATTGATGGGTATTTTTTCATGAAAAAAGATGACAATATCCTTCCTCACACCCCTCGCCCCCTCCAATCCAAGTGACGAAAATAATATCCGTTGTCCTAATCGAACGATGAAGAATTTGTTTTTTTATGTCATGTACCTTTTCTTCCATACTGAACTTAAGCTGTCTGTCTACAGTTAACTAGGCATGAAAACAGACACTAAGCTATATGACCGACATCGTTGAATTTAGTCGGAAACACAAAGCATACTTCAAGAATTTGGGGAAGTATTGATTCTGCTTCCATTAGATGAAATTTAATAGGTTTATTTGGTCTTTTTGTGTTTGACAGATGTAAAACGGATTAAAACCGCATTACAAAATAGTATTCCAATTTTTGGATATGGCGGCCATTCAGGGCAGAGGTCTATTCTCGAAGTTTGAAGCTGATATATCTCTGTGTGCACAATGATTTTTTTCCTCACCCTGTGTCTTTTTCTATACCCTTGGGGGGGGGGGGGCGAATGTTTAGCACGTGCGTGCTGTATCATACGGCCTGTCATTGAGTCAACTGGCGTGGTTTCGAATCCCCGGTTGTACGTGACAAGCAGTAGGGTCGCCTGTCCAACCTCGTGGGTTTTCTCCGGGTCCTCCGGTTTCCTCCCACTGCTAAAGACCCCTACGCGCAAGCGAATTGTTGAAATACATTTAGACCATATGTTAGTCCCGAAATGACCTAGTTTGTGTCGAGTAGACGTTAAACCCCATTTCTCTCTATATATACCGTTGGTCAACACATGGTTGAAATCAACTGAGAGAGAATTAGTAGTTTAAGACCAATAAACTATAACACATACTTATATGGAAGAACAATTCATCATTTATTCAGGCGACGTTTCGAAGAGTATTCTCTCAACGTTATCAAGGAAACGTATGTGTTATAGTTTATTGCTCTATCCAGTTACAAAATACCTCTAAAAGATCATTAGTCTGAGACGATTTCACTTGTGTTCTTCATTGGATTTATCTCCCCTTATTTTGTATTTACAGGCAAATATCCACCATACCGACACTGATGTTATCGCAGCTTTAAACATCATTGAACCATGATGACTAAACTATGGTGCTGTTAATTCGTGTCCAAACTTTCACCTTTAACTCTTTAACATAATGATTTATGGTAGACTTTAATTGAACTAGAACAATCGGATTAAAATACACATCCCCTTACGTTTCGTTTTTTTATAGTTCAAAATTTTAATCTACTTGCGTTCACTAATGTAGGATCTGGAACAGTTGTTAAATAACCTCTGTTCTTGTTGATGTGACGATTAACTAATCAAATGGGGTGTTGAGTCAAGTTCTTGCACGAGGAAAGAACTCTGGGTAGATATTCGCCGCTATAGAAAACAGATCAAAGCAAAAGTAATATCTCCGAATAGTCACTAAAAAAAACCAGACGCTGAATGGTTAATTGAATAATTAACGTCATAGGGTCAAAAGAAGCTCGTATGATCCCTGAAACGGCCTCCCACTACAGACGGTCAGGTCTTGATATAGTGGAGGCCATTGGAAATATAAAAAAACGAAACGAAATATAGATCTGTATTTTAATCCAATTGTCACTAGAAGGAACAAGCCACGACAGCATAATCTGAACAAAACACTACAAATTACTGAATCTCAAAAAATGTATAATTTCCTCTAGATGGAGACGCCATTTGTAAAAAAATAACGAGATTATTTTTGAACACGTGTATATAATCATTTTATAATACGAATATTCCCGACCATAATATATAATAGTTGATGTTTAATATAAACTGAAAATACAGATGTGACGTCACCCTTTGATGTTGCATTATTTATATATCTACACCTAGTTGAAATATTGGACGATTTCATTGAAATACAGTATCCAAATAGATTTTTTGTACATACACATAACGAAATGTAAGAAATGTTATATTATAAACTTTTATAGCCTTTTTATCTTAATAAAATATTATAATACCGTCTTTGTTTATATTGTCTACTGTAGATATTTGGAGGTTAACGTCTGACCTTTCTGTAGTGTGTTATGAGGAAAATGTTTACCAATGCAGCGGCTGTTATTTTACTAGCACCTCAACGTGTAAACATACACATGGACCTTGGTTGTTCGTCCCATAAGAATCAGAGGTCACCACGCCTCTACACTGGTGTGATGAGAGAAAGAGAGAAATGGGGTTTAACGTCCACTCGACACAAACTAGGCCAATTCGGGACTAACACATGGTTTCCTCCCACTGCTAAAGACCCCTACGCGCAAGCGAATTATGTAAATAAAATTAAAAACCATATTTTAGTCCCGAAATGACCTAGTTTGTGTCGAGTGGACGTTAAACCCCATGTCTCTACAAGTCACTATTTACAATTTTAGAGTGATGAAGCGATCAAATCGTTAAGCATTATTTTATTAGTGAACACTGACGATTGTTCAGTTACTGTTACCTCTTTTAATAACGGATCATGGTGGAATCTTAATTCTTCAAATATTTTTATTATAAACACTGATTGCCTTCAAAAACAATCTCCTAAAGATAACGTTCCTTTCGTATTATCTCCCTTTGACCATGGTGACAAGACGTTAAATATGATAATGAACTCTGTTTATTCGGATATGGCTGTCTTTGGTGTGTTATCAATCACCACAGTTTAATATTCATAACCTAGATGTAAAGTAGAAAGATGCTAATCATGGTGTTACAGGGTATGCTTTTTATCTTTTCACGGCAACTAAAGCATCCAGCGGCGGCTCGCTGAGTTCGGGGGCCGCGGTGTTTCAGTGAGTAAGACGCTGGCTTGCTAACCTGGAGGTCTCGTGTTCGCTCACGGTATTTTCCAGCATGGTTTACTCGTGTCAGTGTTTCAGAACGTAGAGCCTAACAAGGAACAGTGTTCACGTAAAAGGGCCCCGTCCGCGCAAAATTCCCCTCATATGGTTTGTTTTTATTTCAATATTTCGCTTGCGCGTAGGGATCTTTAGCATTGGGAGGGAACCGGAGAACCCGGAGAAAAAACACACTCTTGACAGTGTGAATTCAATGGAGGGTTGAAGAAAACGTCGCCGCCCGGATAACATTTATCATCCGATATTGATGAACTTAAACACACATTATTGCAGGTCCTTTTTTTAGGCCCGAAATGTTATCTAAATTATTAATTAGACATTAATTAACTTATCCAGACCATAATATTGACTCCGATATTTAGTGGATTTCGATACGTTTTGTGGTTGATGAAATAGCCGTAAAAATAGATAATCGAGACTTAACAACGGTAGTAATGACAATCGAGGGTCTAACAAACTGGGACATTTCGGGACTAACATATGGTTTAATTTTATATCAATAATTCGCTTACGCGTAGGGGTCTTTAGCAGAGGGAGGAAAACTCACGAGGTTGGACAGGCAACCCTACTCCTTATCGCGTACAAGCGGAGAATCGAAACCGCGCCAGTTGACTCAATGACAGACCTTATAATACAACGCGCAGGCGCTAACTATTCGGCCACCCAATCCGCCATGATGTAAAGATGTGTGTAATTATAGAGTAGGTTATATATAACCAACTTGATGTTGACAGAAGAAACAGACATATTTACACACATCAAACAATGACCGTTAGATGTTAGACGTGAAAGATGTTTACTCAACATTTAACAAGACATTACTTGAGATGCATAACAATTTATATGTAAAGTTGTTTCTTTCTTTCTTCACAATCGCAACTTTCTCAAATACTCCTGGAAACTTTCGGGCTTTTATTTTCATTTGATGTGGCTGGGTGAGGGTCTACAATGAAATAAACTAAACTAACCTATAAACAGGTCACAATTCTATGGAATGCAATTACTGCTTATTACTGAGCGACGTTTCGACTAGGCTGGAGGAGCCAAGTGACAATACCATAGAGCAACATAGTCGAAACGTCGCTCAGTAATAAGCAGTAATTGCATTCCATAGAATTGTGACCTGTATACTCTAGTTCAATTACTAAATGCCATTAAAACAATTCATTATCCCATTCGGGGCAGTACAGTAGGACATTAAACCCCATTTCATTTCATTTCTCCTGCAGGGGGTCACGGTGGCTAAGTGGGTAAGACGCCGGCTCGCTAGCCTGGATGTCGGGTGTTCGATCTCTGCATTGACCGAGAAAGTTCATCCAGATTTTCCGGCGTGGTTCCCCCTTGTCAGTGATGCAGAACGGAGGGCCTGACAAGGACAGCTGTACGTAAAAGATTCCTTGGCGTGCACGTAAAAGATCCCTTGACAGTTGGAATTCGATATAAGAGTAGGCCGTAGTGCCGCTGTCCGGGCAAAATTTCCCTCATAGTACACTGTATGGCGTATGCCCGTCTTGATTAGCCCAGTAGGAGCAGAACAGTAGGACGTTAAACCCCATTTCATTTCACCTGTACCCCTGACCGTAAGGTCTATTCAATTTATTTACTATTACTTTGTCAAATCCATCTGATACCAAATAGCTAAAACTTTCTGTTGTCCTCTCTACCTGTAGACTAGACAGGTAGGATGTTATTCAGGTAGATGATATTCAGGTAGTCGCCTACTTACTCTCGTATTATAGTAGGTAAATATTATCATCTAGTGTAGTGTTTCACTTATACCTGTGTATACATATTATATACACACCGATAAACTACTTATCTATCTTATATCACATGATTGATGTCTACACATTAATACAGGTACCCGTTTGGCTTTCTCCTACTGGAAAAGGGTCTCAACGTCCTACCTTTCTGCACTTTCTATTGTGGACATTTCGTTTCGCTATAAAGCTGTTACCTTGGAAAGACAAAAAATAAATTTCCCTATCAAATAGCGGTAGTGATTGCTTCTGTTTCGTTCGTCGGACTAAGGACCAACGTTAGTCGTATGGACGGACGAAAAACCGAGGTCCAGTGTACACATGGGCGTACACGTAAAAGAACCCTTGACAGTTGGATTTTGATGTTAGAGTAGGCCGCTGTCTGGGCAAAATACCCCCCCCCCCCCTCTCTCCGCTGGATGGTCGCGTCTGTGGTCATACGAGCGACTTTTGATCCTTTGACGTCAGACATTGATTCATTGACTAATTCCTCACATCAACTAAAACGCCGGTTATATAACAACTCTTCCAGATCCTAGTGTAATAAAGTCAAGTAAAACGAAATTTTAAACTATAAAAAACGAAACGAAATATGATCTGTGTTTTAATCAGATTGTATACCTGAATACATGTAGAGAGTAAATATTTCAATACATATTAGTTTCATTAGAGCAGTGAGGTGAACGTGCCTTAAATATAAATACAATAATAAAAACATGCACTGAAAACCACATTTCGTTTATCAATTTCAATTTAAAATAAATTAATTTTTTTTTTTTTTGTTAAAAATTCAAAATACTAGAATAGAAACCCCATAGGGCTGATTAATGAAATGTTAAAATCGTGCGTGAAATATTTTATGACATGGATTCCTTGTTAGTATTATGTCAATTTTTGTGTGTGGTTAAATATATATATATAGATCATACCCAGCTCTGTGAATTGGTGATATATTAATAATGAAGGGACAAGGAAGAAAATGATATAATATTCAGTGTCATAGTTTATTCCATTGATAAGTCACCCCCTCCCCCCACCCCCCGCCCCGCCGCCTTCACGGCTAGTGATAGATGAAACTCTGGTTTAAACACAATAGAGGAAAGCCGGGGATGATGACGAATGTTCAGTGTATGTAAGAAAAGCCTATGACAGTGTCAAAAATATTATACATCTTGACCTGTTTCGTGTCGTTTTTTATAGTTCAAAATTTTGTTTTACTTGTCTTTACTACGCTAGTGTCTGGAAGAGTTGTTATATAACCCTCGTTCTTGTTAATTTGAGGGATTAGCCAATGAAACAGTCTGTTACGGCGAATTCTTGGCGTACGATGCACGGAACTGTGGGTATCCCTATAGAAACATCAACCGCTAATTTGTTAATCAAATGTCTGACGTCATAGGTCAAAAGCCGCAGATATGACATCTGACACGACCTCCCACTACAGCCGATCAGAGCTTCATGCAGTGTAGGACATCGAAAGTATACAAAACGAAACGAAATTTGGTCTGTATTTTAATCAGATTGCACGTTGGCCGGATGCCCCCTAGACGTTGAGGCTATAGACTTCATCCCGTTAAGCCTATAGGATAATCCGGCACTGCTAATATGACTTCAAAGCAATCTATCCAGGCTACTCTTCTTCAACTTACCAACGGATCTTTAACGTCCAGTGCCCAATTGTACGCACAGTTTAAAGTATTAGACACTCTGGGAACGGCGTGTGGAGGGGGGGGGGATTATTGTATTATTAGGTTAATCTGAAAGGATAATGTTAATCTCTGATGATTATTCAGCTTCAGTTCATTAGTACACGAACACAATGTCTAATTAGAGTCTAGGTGATTAACCCCCTGAACCTGGAATTATCAATAGTTAGTAAATAAGCATTTATTGTGCCAATATTTCTGTATAATAGGGGTTAATGAAGCAATGTTATGTAACATAGTTGAGTCTATCTTATAATATCACATGGTGTTGATAATTATATTTGACATGTAATAAAACATCGTCACGAATATCAGTTATCAATACACGATAGAAACAGCCCTCTTTTCACCAGAGTTGTGGGGGCAACTCGGTCGCCATCATCTCAGCAGTCCAGATTAAAGTAGCTAAGTCCGTAAATCAATATCATCCAAAATCTTCGACATTGAAAACACGAATGTTTTGCAATTTAAATCAGCATTGGTGTTGTGATCTTACCTCGAAAAGATAAGCTTCTGATATCCAATATTTAAGACAAAATAAACATTTTACCATTGGTACACGAATCGTGTACCATAATGCGTTTCAGCGCCATTTGTAACAAGGTGCTCAAAGAATGAGGCTAGACATATTCAACAAGTCATGTCAAACGGTGATATCA